GAGTGCTCTAAACAATACACTACAGGGCTCCCTCAATCTATCATGAACTGACCCTTCACTGAAACTACAAATGCCGTTCTACAATCCAATTAGCCTTTTCACTGCAACCCGCTCTGTTATGTATCGCTCAGTGCACGCTTCTAATAAGTGGAGGCAAAGAGCAGGAAATGAACTCCACTGTGAGACACAATGCGCTGGTAACAGTCACTTCACATCGTCAGTTGATACTAACTCCCGGGTGGATGATCTTTGACTGCCTTCGGGGATTTGGTAATGATCAGGATTGAGTTATTATGGAAACAAGCAAATGAACTTAACTGCCAACCAGGAAGATGTCTCACAGCGCTTCACAGGATATACTGTAAAGTGGAGTGACCGTGTACACTATGGTCAAAATCTCCACGTTAGATGCAGTCCTCTATCAGTGCCTTTCTCCCTCGCAACACCTCACTCTCCTCCCTCCAGTTAGCGGCTTCTGACTTGAACCTTTACAGCTATTTCCAGAGGCTGTTTATTTTTTCCTGTACCCGTTTATTTTTCCGTACCTGTTCATTTAAGAAGCGCTTAGCATGCAGGAATGATTGTTGCGTACCATTGGTCTTGTTTTGAAGAGTTAAAATCTAACCCGTTTAAAACTGATAAGAGGTCCCAACATACCGGGTGAGTCGATAACCTTTTAATCTTCATTTGACTGATTATTTCCCAGTGCTGTGATATGTCAGGTCCCTCTTCTATGAATCCCATATCCCCACAATACTCACCATGTGTGGCTGAATGTCATGGATCTGTTGCCTCCATGTTATCGACAGTCGCTCTGTAAACCTTGCCAAGAATGACTGACTATTATGATGCTAAATAGCCATCACAGTATGAAACACAGCATTTACCGCAGCTCCAGTTCACTGACCTGCTCTGTCCATTAGCAGATTAGACAATATGTCACTGTAATTGCAGACAGCATGTCAATTAGGACTCTGATTTCCAAGTCAGCAGGTTCTTAACCACTACATACCTTGCAGAAACGACTTTCCTGACGTATCAGACAATAATATTAACAATCTTTGCCTTTGATAAAGAGCACGGAACGTCTCATAGGACTTCACTGGGAATTGCTATCGACTAGAGTGACTGTGTATTTGTGGTCAAATGCGGCAACCAATGAAATAACCCTTTCATTTGATGTAGCACCTGTAATGTCGCAAAGTGCTTCACAGGGGGTTTTGTAAAGTGTAGTGACTGTGTATTTCCTAAGAGTACAGGCAGCCAATTTGGGTACAGCAACATTTCACAAACACCCATGAAGTGAGTGACCAATTTTATCTGGGGATTGTTGGTCAGGTCACCAGGAGAAACTCTTCTCATTTTGAATGGTGTCATGGGATGTTTAATATCCACCTGGACAGGCAAAAGAAACCTTGGTTTAATGTCTCAGTCGAAGGATATCATCTCTGAGTATGCTCAGTAGAGGCAGCTTGGATTCTGAGTTTAAGTCTCGAGGGGGATCTTAAATCAGAGAGAGAAAAGAAAAGCACGGTGTCCCATTCATTAGATTGATTTGGTCAGTGTTTGCAAATTGTGTATTTGGAACCAAATAATAATAATAATCTTCATATGTGATACAGCAATGCCTTTCATACCGGGAGGATGTCTGACAGTGCTTCACGGGAGTTACTGTGAAGTATAGTAACTGTGTGTTTTCTAGGCAACAATAATAATATCATGGATTGTGTGTATCCAATAACGCACTTTGCAACAAGATAGTCCCAGTTCATCTTGTGATTAATCAAAAGTGCATCCAGTATTGTACAATAAACTCCTGATAGCTCACCACTCCAAGGGGAAAGGATGAGTTATCCTGAATGGCAGGTTATGTGTAGTATATAATACATAATAACGTGTATAATACATAAATACCCTGTAATTGTGGCCGGGATATTGACAGGATGGCAATTTAAGTGAAGTGATAAGTTAAACCAGGATTGCGTTATCAGGAGTTCACTACACTTCCAATATGTGGCATCACTGCTGTTGCTTGGTCTCGTTATTTACAAGGTTACGAATGGAAGTGATGATTCTCTTCGCAATGTGCCGACTACCAGCAGCTACTCGTGGGAGTATGGTGTCCTGCCAATCAGAGAGTGGAGAGAGTCCGAGCGCTCCAGGACGCTATTTCACGTGAAAAGGCACAATATAAATGCAAGTTGCTGTTGTTGCTGGCAGTGCTGCACTCCCATGTTTGTGACAACAACAACTTGCATTTATATTGCGCACTACACACGGGGCAGCGCTTTAAATGAATCGGGTGTAGATATCTAGTTGGCTCCCACTTGAAGGTTAATATGGATCCTGCCTTGACCATTGCTCCTGGGTTCACATTCCACGTCACAACTCACTGTGCATAAAATATCTTCCTAATCTCTTCCCCATTGCAACTATTTTGAATCGGTGTCCTTTAGTCACTGAATCACCGACCAGTGGAGATAATTTCTCCCCATTGACTCTTATCAAACCACCAATTATCTGAGGGAGGAATGATCCAGGATTAAGCCCCACCATCCTTCTCCTTGACCGCCTGTACAGTTCACTACCTCTCCACTTAGGCTGCCGTCATTGACCTCCTACTATGCTGTAAAGTGCACAGCTACCAATCTGCGGGATTGGCCAGGACACAGGGGCCTCTTTTCAATCTCTCTTTGCAATCTTTTCGATCTCTTTTAATGACATGTAATCTTTAATGTCCATCTGAACAGTCAGATTGGTTTAACATCTCACCTGAGAATGGCACCAACAGCAATGCAACACACCCCCAGCACTGCATCGCTGTGTCACCTTACGCTATGTGAGTTTCAAGTCCCAACGTGGGGCTTGAACCCACAACCCGTGACTCAGAGGCGAGAGTGCTACCAACTGAGCCAGGTTGACACATGAGGCCAGACTGGCTCACTGAAACTCGATAACTGCTGCCAATGTAACACAGCCATTCAGATTGTACGGCAATCCAATAATTGTCATGTTTCCATTGCAACTCCTCTCTCTCTTTGTTAAGGTCTGGTTAAGATGTGCCAGGAGTGCGCTTTGCAAAATGCAGCAACAAATGGGATTAAAATCAAAAGCAGGGGAGCAATTTCAATTTGGCAGGGGAAAAAAAATTGATCCCAAGTGTGATTTGAATGCTCCATTTAAAAGCAGACGCCATATTTCCTCCTGACAGCTTCCCCTTGTAAGTCCTTGCAGAATGAAGCTATTGCCTGAACAGTACCAATAACTAACCCATTCATAGCTGTCTAACATAGTCTTCCACACTTAACCTTGTCCCTCAACACATTGCCATCAAAATCACTATAATGCTGCAAGCACCTGTTTTCTGAGCGGCCAGATTTCCTGTTGTCCTCCACAAAAGAGCTCAAATTATAATAATAATCATTGCATTTGGTATAGAGTCTTTCAAGCCAGGAGGACGTCCCAAAGCGCTTCACAGGATAGACTGTAAAGCTCAATGACTGAGTGTGTCTTGTATTTGATACAGCTGCCTGTAGCATCAAAGCATCTCAGAGTGCTTCGGAAGCAGTTCCTGTCAAGTGTAGTGACTCTGTATGTGTTTGCAAAATGTTCTCGCGCAAAGCCTGGGTGAGTGAGGGGTTATAGGGTGAAGTAATTATCATATCATTGAAAATTTCAGCTTCAGTCAAATGTATCTTGCCTCTCACCCGCCGTCTTACGACTTTGTTGTAGAGTGGTCACTGCACTCTCGCCCTGCGCTTTAGCGATGACAAACCTGGGATAGCAGCCCACTCTCTTTGTTGCTTTCAATTTTACAAACTCAGAGATACTACCCATGTAAAAGACACTAAATAAATACAAGTTGTTATTGTTGTAAACTAGTATCCCATTATCTCCCCTGAGTAGGTTTCCATGGGCGCTCTCTGGTATCTCACCCAAGTGGTGACTGTTCATGTATGAACCTGGACAGAAAGTCTCATCAGGGTATTTAACCAAGGTGTCAGCCTGGCTCAGTGGGTAGCGCTCTCCCTCTGTGTCATCCGTTTGTGGGTTTAAGCCCTGCGTCGGGACTTTGAACACTAGATTGAAATTCCAATACTGTGCCGAGGGATTACAGTCAATCCAGTACAGTCAATTCACTGAGAAAGGGGAGAGGAAGATAACCACAGAGGCCATCAAAGAGGCAGGTTTTAAGCTGGGACTGGAAGACAGTTGGGGGTTGGGTGTGCGCTGGTGGTCCAGAGGTAAAGGTGGCACAATTTAATGGAGTAAGAGGTGACCAGGGATTGGAGAGAACAGCTCCAGTGATAGAGCTCACATCAGCCTAGGTTCGATGGGTCTATTGTGCTCGAAATTCTCTGGTTGTTTAAAATCTCTCCAGCGTCACTTGCCAGAAGAGAAGGGAAGTGAAGCTTCCACCCCCGAGATAGTCCCGGTTCAGCCAAAACTCCATGCAAAGCTGCCAAAAGCCACAAATAACCTCAATAACAACTGCGATTCCTGTGACAATAATAATAATAATGATAATCCTTCCATTTGATACAGTGCCTTTCACGTCGGAAGGTCGTCTGGAAGCATTTCACAAGAGTTAATGAGAAGTGTAGTGACTGCGTTTTTGTCGGAGAAAACGGCAGCCAATGTCCTATACACAGCCACGGAGCGAATATCGCCTAGGGTGGAGATATCACTGGATGGTGCAGTGTGGTTTACATTTAAACCCTGCTTGTGAGCCAGCCTGGGAAGGAAGTCAGGCTACCATCTGCCTCCTCTCTGCCTCCCCTCAACCAGCAGCCGTACATTTTTTTTCATAATTGTAATTACATTTTGAACATGCAGGACCATAAGGGAGGGATTAGTGCCCCTTTGCCAGCCAATTACACTACATTAGTTTAATGCAATTGTCCTGTGATTTACTCTGAGTTCACTGCATCTCCTGATTTATAGCTCCGCAGTCCCTGTATTTAATTACCACCACAAGAAAACTGAGTTGGAGAGCTTACCAGCCGTGGGATCCCTCAACCTTTGTTTCCACATGCTGCTACGGAGATGAGTCTCTGCATTTTCCTTCAGTGCTTCAGCACTTTATAGGCACAGCAATGACCGAGAAACCACATCCTCATACATCACACCCCTCCACTAAACTAGGTGTAAAGTCAGCTGGAGAATACGAGATTGAAAGGGCAGCAAATGTAACGCAAATTAGGACCAACACAGCCACACTTCTCCCCACACACACCCTCCCCCCCCCAACGCTAGAGATGATCATTGCTTCTCCTCCCCGGTGCAGTCCCCATTCCCCCACTGTTGGTTTTCAACTACTTTCTCTTCGCTCTGGGTTCTGGATGGTTTGGTCAGTGGACATCCCTAAGAGCCACAAGGTGGCGCTGTGCTTTCTCCTTCCTCCTCACCGTCGCTTGAGACCACAGGGGCGGGAGGGTTGAAGAAGACCCTTCGGCCCTTGTGATCTCCGTTCGGACCGCCCCTCGCTGCCGACCTCCGATCGCAACACCAAGTCGCTTTTTTTGCCCAGCGCTTTGGGACGTCCTCCTGACGTGAAAGGCGCTATGCAAATGTCATTTGTTGTCGTGGTCGTTTAAATGACTCCAGTGCCCTGGCCTCAGCCAACCGTCCCGGCAGTCTGTTACGGTCGGTCACCAAATGATATCAACATAACCGGTCGTTATCGAGCCGGTTTGCTTTCAGGTCCGGATTGAATCGACAGAATTTTTCCACAATTCTGAGAGACGTTGCCTTTTTCAAGCAAAATGATCTGACAGACCGAGACTGCTCACACTTCACACCGGTCACCCCAACCATTCACACCTGACCACAATCACACCTCACTTCACACCTGACTGATGTGAAAACCGCCACTTGCAAGTCAAATTTAGGTCAGGAAAGTTCCAGACTCCAGCGAACTTGTCTGTGTAATTTTGCAGCTTTAATGACAGGTTTTACACACATTAATATCAATATCGGTATCTGACAACATGGAGCGTAACGTAGCCTGGATTTGACCGGCTGAGTGAGCGGTCTATTTACACCTGTCTTTCTGATAACTTACTATTGTAGATTTGCCTGCGTGGCTAACAAGGGACTGTACGTTTCATGAAGCGCTTTGAGACGTCTCAACCTCGTGACAAGGCGCTATATCAAATGCAGAGATTATTATTATTATTTCATTTCCGCCCCCCCCACCCCCCACTGTGTTTTCAACCATTCTCTCCCCCCCCCCCACCACCACTGAATTCTCTTCCAAAACCCCTCAATGTCGCTCTTTCCTCCGCTTTCAAAAATCCGTCTTAAAAACCTTCTTTGACCACATTTGCTCCCACCAACCCCTCACCACACCCCCATTCCCACCTCCCACCCGGTTCTTTCTAAAGCCGTCTCCTGTAGTCTCCTACAACGCGAGGTGCCGTGTGAGTGAAACTTGTGGCAGATTGCAAAGAAATCAGAGCTACCCCACTCTCTGCAAGTTTACTAACCCCTTCCCCGCCCCCCCCCCCCCACACACACAAACACACGCACACCCACACCATTTTGGAGGAAAGGGATAAAACCTGCACTTCTAAACCTACTGAGGTGCAACAGTAGGCACAACACGATGGTGTCAAGATCATTAGATGAAGTGAGTTTAAAAAAAGGCTATGAGTTGTCACAAAGCATGAAAAAAAAAGCTCCACATGCTTAAGACAGAGTTTTTGATCAACGTTTGGCCCTTGTGGTTTAGTGATCGCCTCACTTCCCCCAAAGCTAAACACCGAGGCTAAAACTTCATCCCTGTCAAGCCCTCTAAGGCGGCCTCCTAAGTGTCTCGAAGGTGTTGCATAAATCTAAATTGTGGTCTCCGCAAAATCGCAGAGTCTCCTCCGAAAACAGCGATCAGCCGAGATATTTTAGGCCTTATCAGCTGATTTTAGCATTTGCTTAAAAACAACCTAACTCTCACTTCAGCTCACTGCTTCCCTATTTTCTGAAACCAGAGTGTGGTCGCTATTTGTGCTTTCCTACGCCACGTGGCTTCTTGTTGAACCTGTCCAAAAAGTCTGCAGTTAGGGTTTTGTTCTGTGCACTGAGGCAATCACACCGCATTTACAGACACTCTCGTGTGCTGCATTCTGACACGTTTACTGACACGTTTGTGTCGTGCCTACGTTGAACAACACGTAGACCTCAGTAGGTATAGAACAGCCGTGCTCGGAGAGCAGACAGGAGATGCATGTGAAGATCTTGTGGAAACTTGATTGAACAAAACTTTAAATGAACAAGTCCTTCCGTACAAACCCACTGTCTAACCTCTTCCCCTTTCATCTCGCTCTGCTCACTGCCTTTCTTCCCTTGGGGAGCGGAACTACGCATAGACCAAAAAGCTCACAACTCGGAGATTGGCAAAAAGGATTTGTGTCGGTGAAGAAATCCCAGGTAAATGGCTACCAGCTCGTATCGATCGCTACTCGTTTCTTCGCTGCTCCAGGCAGGACCCAACGAACAATGGCTGCTGCCTCAGCTTAAAATCCGCCACGGAATTTGTTCTGCAGACCCTTCCCGGCCAGGAGAAAGGAAAGACATTTTTGCAGCGACGTTCCCACGTGCAGGAGGCGGCACCAGTCTTATCCCTGAAGGTGGTGGTGGAGCAGATGGAGATGGTGTCCAGCTGGTCCTTGAGAAGCACCATCTCCCACACGGCGGTGGCCAGGTTCATGAGGGCGAGTCCCAGGACCCAGGCCTCCACCTCCAGCACGGCCGACACAACCTCCAGCTCCAGGCCGTAGCGCAGCCACAGGGAGTAGAGGGCAGAGGCGGCGAAGACCAGGTGGGTGAGGAGCACCTCCATGATGAAGAAGACAAAGAGGCGGCGGTTGCTTTTGGCCACGCAGGTCATCAGGAAAAGGCAGTGGTGGTCGAAGTTCACCATGCACGATTCACACAGCTTGCAGTGCTTGGCTCCCTCGGGCTGGATGATCTAAAAGGGAACAACGTGAAGGGAACATGTACTGCGGGTAAAGCCCCCACTTCCCCATCCCCTCTGCTACCCCGTGTGAAGTTCTGTATAAATGCAAGTTGTTGTTGCCAATCTGGTGGCCTGTTATGTGCCTGGGACATGATTTGCGGCTCACCAGGGATGGTGGTAAAACAACAAAAACCTCGCTGTTCTTCCAAGGACCAGCTTCCAAATTCAGACTGAATTCCCTCAATTGTGCGCAATCCCCAATTCCAGTTATCCTCGCATTTTCGCCCACAGAATACACAGTCGATCCACTTTACAGTCTAATCCTGTGAACTGCTTTGACCCGTCTCGACAATGTGATAAGGTGCAATGATTGTATTATTTCTATTATTATCATTAGTGTTTGACGCAGCGCCTTTCACATCAGAGGGACCTCTCAAAGCGCTTCACAGGATTTACTGTGAAGTGGAGTGACTGTGTACTTTGTGGGCGAAACGTGGCAGCCAACTGGCAGAGCAGTATCCCACAAGCAGCCGTGGAATGAGTGACCACTTTTTTTATTTGAAGATATTACTCCCGGAAACTGATCCGCCAATCAACTAACGACCAAGTTCCTATTTTTCCTGCTCGGTAAACAAGAGCGATGTGGAGTAATGGAACTTGCCTAAGGTTTCGCCGCCTACTGGGAATCAAACTCAGGTCCTCTCACTTGCGAGGCGAGCACTCTAACCACTAGGGACTGCACACTTGCTGTTAACATTGATGGAGCGGACCAGGGTGGGGTGGTATTACTAAAGGATAACAGGCGAGATTTGAAGACAGATAAAGAGTGGGCGAAACAGAGGAGTAGAGAGAGGATATTCCAGAAGGCAAGGGCGTAAAATCTGAGCAATTTTGGTTGCACGCCTGATCTTATTACAAGGCTACCCAGCCGCACAGTGGGGTCAGCTCTCTGTTTCGGACCACTGCAGCCATCGACTGCTACTTTCTGATTTCAGCTTCTTTCGTTTCCCATCTCTAGTGAATGCCTCAGCACAACACTGAGCGGCCCATTTGTTAGCAGTGAACCATGAGCTCAGTGACTGCCGATCTCAGTCAGGCCCCACGAAAAACCAGTGAAGGGAGGTGATGTGGTTTCCCTTTCCAGACTCCGCTCCCTGTGAAATGCAGAGCCAGTCTGCACCAAACTCAAACCTCCTTGTCAGCAGATTATAATAATATCATCATAATAGTCCTTACGTTTCATACAGCGCCTTATCACGTCGTTGAGACGTCTCAAAGCGTTTCACAGAATATAGTGTAAAGTGAATTGACTGTGAATTTTGTGGGCGAAACACGGCAGCCAATTGCGCACAGCAGTGTCCCACAAACAGTCGTGGATTGAGACACTAAATTCTTTTTTTGAAAACCATCTGCCAATTGACTAACAACCGGGTTCCTACTTAACTGCTAGGTAAACAGAGGCGTGTGGAGAAAGGGAACTGGGAACTTGCCTAAGGTTTCGCCCTGCTCAGGAATCGAACCTGGGTCCTCTCGCTTGTGAGACGAATGCTCTAACCACTGAGCTACAGGACTCCACACTAACCAACTTGATTAGCTGCCGCTGTCTAAATTTCATTTTAATCAGCCAAAACTGGCCTGATTGTAGGGCCGCAGGCAGCGGGAAAACAAAGCAAGTTAATCCCGGTACACGATTCAATGCAATAATAATAATAATCCTTGCGCTTGATACAGGGCTTACTGTAAAGTGCAGTGACCCTCTATTATGTTGGCGATCACGCCAGACAATTATACCACAAACAGCTATGAAATGAATGGGCAGTTTCATCCCCAGTTTTATATGGCAATTGTGGACAATTGTAACTCCCTTCTCTTTTTGATTGGTGCTAAAACTTGACAGCCGGGACCTCAGATGTATTCAAAGGATGGCAACTTCAGAACTCTCTCTCTCACTCACTTTCTCTATCTCTGTCCCCCTCTTCTCTGCCCTTAAGGCTGCTCAGTACCTTTGCTTTCAACTACACGTCTAACAAAGTGTGCTCTGGGACGCATCCTGAGTGAAGGGCGCTAGACAAATGCAAGTCGTTGTTATTGTTGCACTCACGTACGTGTCTTTGCAATGCATCAACTTACCTCACAGTAGATGCAGAAACTAGAAGGGTTTTGATTCGCTTCAACTAGCTCAGTGACAGTCGAGTACGTGGGCTCACAGTCGGATTTCTCCATTCGGCCGGGGTCCCTGGTTAACAGTTCCTTCAACATCCAGAGCAGGAGAGAGGCCAGCCCCGTCATAGCGAAGAGCAGTAGACTTGCTGGCCACAACTGTAGCAACAGTTAAGGTTGTTTCCAAACTCTCGGCCTCAAACACGACCTCGCGGTCGATTACTCACGGAATTCGTATCACTTGACGTGACCCGTGCCGAGTCCAAGAGGCAGACAAACTGCTTAAATCGTAGAAAATCCGATTTAATCAACGATCGGCGCGAATTAATGCCGCCGCTAAACGCACGTGCGCCGACGCCTCGAGACCTCGTTTCCCACGGTTCAGTGATGCGTCTCGACCCCTCGCCGCGTGCGCACTTGCCCGCGAGCGACGGAACGGCGAGAAATTGAGTCATTCTGCGCGAGTAATGACGGGTACGGACGTCATTTCCCTTAATTCAGTGCAGCCGATCAGTGCTGGAGTAATGGAGGACAGGGGAGTGGAGTTACAAGTTAGGAAGCGATTGATACGAGTTGTTCAAAGAAATTAAGTGGTTTTGATAGAAAACTGAATGGGACTCGGGTGAGTGTACGACTTAGGTGGTTATATGATTTATATAGGTAAGACTTGTGCGTGTTTTACTCCTATCTCTGTGACCTGCTAACGCCATATTTGACCGGTCTTCTCCCCCCGCTCAGCAGGCTCTGGGCTGGTCCACGTCACCTGTCTGGCCCGCCCTACCCTCGCCGGACGAGCCTTCAGCCTCTCTGCCCCCACCCTCTGCAACTCCACCCCACACTCCCTTTGCCTTGCACCTTCCCATGTTTCCTTCAAGGCTTGTCTCAAGACGCCTCCTCTTCGATCGCTCTCCTAACTCCCACATGAGAGGTGCTATAGATGAAGCGCCTATTAAGTGAGGAGGATACCTCAAAAAGCTTCATAGGATTGTTTGTAATGTCCAATCACCAAGGTAGGCGAATGCGGCAGCAAAATTTTACACACAGCAATGTCCCACAGACAGCCTGAAGTTAGTGACCAGTCTTTATCTGGGGGATTTGTTGGCCAGGACACCAGGAGAAACTGCCTTCTCTCTTTGAACCCTGCCACGGGGAACACCTGAATAGGCAGATGGGTCCTTGGTTTAATCTCTCATCTGAAGGACGGCACCTCCAACAATGCAGCAACCTCCACACAACACTGCGTTAGCCTGCAATCTGGTAAATACAATGCGCTGAAGGATATCTGGGAGGATCTTAGAATAGAAGCAGTACAAAGAGTGGAAGATGCCAGAAGCAAAGGTCCCCAGGTAGATGGGGTTGGGTAACCTGCAACAAAAGAGAACACATAAATAGTGGAGTGTGATTGTTGCATTAGGACATGCGATAACACTTGTTGTAGCATCTGTCGCATCGGCATCAATGCAATTCGCACAGGCTAGGGATAGGGAGGAAGCTGTGGAAACTGTGTGACTGAAAGCACCACGCTGATGGTCGCAGAGGGAGGGATGGCCCAAGGCCACGGAGGGATCTGAACACGAGGGCGAGAGATCCTGAATTCGATCTGCTGGGAGATGGGGAGCCAGTGGAGCCGGGGGAGGGGGAGGGGGTTGGGTTGCGGAGCCTGGGGTGGGAGAGGACACGGGCTGCTGTGTTCTGGATGGCCTACAGGCTGCATTGGGGAGGAGGAGCTGGGAGCAAACAGTCGAGTTGGTAACTGATCTCTCTAACCCCTGAGGGTGACAGTAATGTCTCGGCACATCTTTTTTGTTTTAATTGAAATGAGGAACCGCTCCCTAAGCGGCGTCCGGTCTCAATGCACTGACTGTAACAAGGGGTCACTGCCCAAGTTCAGCCCTGTGTTGTGTTGGCTAACTCGCTTTACTTAGTTCTGCCAGTTCCAGCTTCTACACAAGCAATCTTGCCACCGGCTCAGAACGATGTCCGGCTGTTCATCGAGACCCGCATTAGGACTCAGAGCTCACAGTTTAAGCTGCCAGTCCGGTGCGGTACTGAAGAGAGAGAGAGACGCATAGCCAGAGGTGACGTCCTTTGGAACGATGTATTCAACTGAAATCCCACCTTTGTGTTAGGTTGTTATTCGAGATCCATCTTACACCGATAGATTATTCCGTTATAATAATCCTTGCATTTGATATAGCATCTTATCACTTTGTTGAGACGTCTCAAAGTGCTTCATTGAATATATTGTACATTTTCAGGATCCTCCACGGTTAAGCGCTCCGCGATGCTTCCCAGCATGAAGGCCGCAATATAACTGCAAGTTGTTGCTGTTGTTGTAAAGTGGATTGACTGTGTATTTTGTTGATGAAACACGGCAGCCAATTAAGCATAGCAGTGTCCCACAGTTGCGGATCGAGTTACCAATTTGTTTTTGAGGGATTGTTACCCCAGAAAGCAACTGGGTTCCTGCTTACTGCTAGGTAAAAAGAGGCGTGTGGAGTATGGAAACTTGCCCTAGGTTTTGCCCTGCCTGAGAATCTAACCCCGGGTGCTCTCGCTTGCGAGGCGAGGCGCTAACCACTACGCTACAGGACTCCACAAAGTTATGAAGTTGTAACAAAGAGATGGTCCGGTTTTATCAGGTGCAACCAAACACACTAAACATAGACACAGGTTATAAAAAGCTTCAAAGTTCCTCTGTAAACAATAATAATAATCCTTGCATTTGGTATAGCACTTTATCACGTCTTCGAGACATCTCAAAGCGCTATAAACAGGATCCTTCCAGGGTCTCACGTGGCTCAGTGTCTCCCCGTATTATATGCGAAGTGCATTAGAAAGTGTCTGTATGGTACTGCAGGATACAATGCTCGCACCGACCCTGAGCTACCTGCGCAGAGCGAGACACTTACCTGGATAAAGTGGAGGTTCGGTGGTACTGAAAGAACACTGTCTTAGCCAGAAAGGCGAAGGAAAGTGCACTGAAGATCCCACCGTAGTTTCCAAAGTAGCTGGCCAGCAGAAACACAAGTGAACTGGAGATGCCAGGGAAAAGCAGGGAGCCATAGTACAGACCTGCAAACATTGGAGCCGTCAGATACAGCAACAGTATCATAAGATTATTATTAATAATAATAATCCTTGCATTTGAATTAGTGCCTTATCACATGGTTGAGATGTCTGAAAGCGCTTCACAGAATGTATTGTAAAGTGGATTGGCTGTGTATTTTGTGAGCAAAACAACAGTGTAAGGGATCCTGTGTCTGAAGTGCGTATTCTGTTCGAGGCGCAGGGAAATTTCCATGTGTAGGTGGAACAGTGTCTGGTCCGGATATTCTTAATCAAGTCGCTGGGTTAAGAATTAATTGCTCTGTGTCAGACGCCCAGCTGACAAATACAACACTCCCTTGAACCCTGTTCAGTTGCTGGCTTTGTGGAAAATCAAGGCCCATTGATGGTGGTGGAGCATCTGGGATAAATGTGTGATCTGTGATGATCAATTTTCACCGGTGGGGGGAGGGAGGTAGGGTGGGAGAAGAGACACGCACTTGTTTTGAGGAATTTTGCTCTTCGAGACACAGTCAAGTGAGATTCTGTGCTGTTACATTGCTGCCCCACTGAGGTAGCTGGAAGAATGACTCTGCCAGACAACAGCACTCGCTGGTTTGTTCCCCATTATAATAATGCTTGCATTTCTGATATAGCAGTTTACCACGTCAAGATGTCTCAAAGCGCTTCAGAGAATATACTGTAAAGCGAATCGACTTGTGTATTTTGTGGGCAAAACACAGCAACCAATTGCACACAGCAGCGTCCCACAAACAGCCTTGGAGTGAGTGATCAATTTTACTTGGGGCTTGTTGGCCAGGACACTGGAAGAGAGAAACTCCCTTCTCGTTTCCAATAATGATAAGGGATCTTTGACATCCACCTGAACACAAGTCCACTTGAACCACTGGGACTGACTTAGGCAAGTCCTTCCCGTTCTCACTTGCTTATTGCCGACTAACCAAAAAGTGAAATAGCGGTGAATACTCATCTTCGCATCTGACATAGCGCCTTATTGTCTCAAAACGCTTCACACAAAATTACTGCCAAGTGTAGTGACTGTGTACATTGTAGGCGAACACAGCGGACGATAACGTGCACAGCAATGTCCCGCAAACAACCTCAAAGCTGGGGTATTGTTGGCCAGGACATAGATACAAGCCAATAGTTGAATGCTTCTGGCATGCATTAACTCGACCATTAAAACAAAAAGCATTACCAATGGGCTCCTCAGGCTTCCTGTTCTGTGGTTTCTTACTGAACTTATTTAAAAGTTTTGCCGTCTCCTTGTGCCTGTAAGAAACATGTGGCTGTGAACAGTCAGAGGTAAAAAAAAAACATCCGCACACAGATTTCTTGCTTTAACTCGCTGCTCAGTGGGCGAACTCTGAACGCTGTAGTAACAACAATAATAATAATCCTTGCTTTTGATAAAGCGCCTTTCATGCCGGGAGGATGCCTCGAAGCGCTTCACAGGATTTACCGTAAAGTGTAGTGACTGTGTACCTGTCGGGGAACTTGGCTGCCGATTTGCACACAGCGATGTCCTACCATCAAGCATAAAGTGAACAACCAACTCTATCTATGGGGGATTGTTGGCCAGGACTTCAGGAAAAACTCCCTTCTATTTTGGGGCAAGATCTGTTCCCGTTCTCGCTTCTGCTCTTTCAGTTCAAGTTCAAGATTCTTAACCATTCAGTCAGATCTCTGTTCAGTGCGTTGCCTACTCACTGCTCCGTGTCTGAACAGAGAAGTATATTGAGGGAGTCGACATTTCTACATTCAGCCTTGACATTGGGGCCAAGAACATGATGTTGATGGCCCTGATCAGCACAAGACGGAGAGAAGGGAGTCGGGTGGTAGCAGTGAACCAGAACAGACCATTGCTTCTCCTACCCCCTTGTGGTCCCTTGTTGTTCTTGCCCTCCTTCTGAGAACTTTCTCTGTGAAAATCCCAAATCTATCCCAACGTGTTCTTGGTTTAACCACGTGGACTCGGCTGTTGATTTGCACACAGCAACGTCCTACCATCAGGCATAAACTGAATGACCAACTCTATCTGGGGGGTTTTGTTGGCCAGGACACCGGGAGAAACTCCCTTCTATTTTGAGGGGAGATCTTGAACACTCTCTCCCTGTGGAGTCCTGTAGCTCAGTGGTTAGAGCACTCACCTCGTAAACGAGAGGACCTGGGTTCGATTCCCTGCAGTGAAACGTTGGGCAAGTTTCCTCACTCCACACACCTCTGTTTACCCAGCAGTAAGTAAGAACTCGGTTGCTAATTGATTGGGAGATCGCTTTTCTGGGGGGTAATAATCCCTTCAAAAATAAAATAATAATAATAATAAATTGGTGACTCAGTCCATGACTGTTTGGGGGGCATTGCTGTGCACAATTGGCTGCCGGGTTTTACCCACAATACACAGGCAGTTCATTTGACAGTATCTTCCGTGAAGCGCTTTGAGACATTTCGAAGATGTGATAAGGCGTTGTACCAAATGCTGGGATTATTATTATTGTCAGTATAATAATAATCACTAGGTGGCGCTGTGTTTCTCCTTTCTCCTCTCCCTTGGTTCACAAAATCGCAAAATAATAATATTAATAATAATAATAATCCTTGCATTTGATATAGCGCTTTTCACGTCTTCTCGACGTCTCAAAGCGCTTCACAGAATATGCTGTAAAGTGAATTGACCGGATATTTGTGGGCGAAACGCGGCATCCAATTGCGCACTGCAGATTGAAAATGACCAGTTTATTATTGTGTTTGTTTTTGGAGGGATTATTATTAGGCGTGTGGAGTAAGGAAACTTGCCCAAGGTTTTGCCCTGACCTGCCTGGGATAATAACCATAATAATCCCTGGATTTGATAAGAGCGCCTCTCACAGCGCTTCACAGCGTACACCGTAAAGTAGTTTCGACTGCGCGTTCTGCGAGTGACACACACAGTGGCGAGGGAGACGCTGCCACACACTGAACGTCAACCAGCACTAATCTTGTCGAACGGCCGTGAAACACACCTGTAGGTACTTCCTTGGTTTGCGAGATCTATTGGCGTGCGTCCGTCCTTATTCCGCACGTGGAGCACTGAGAAACCACCGACCCTCATAAAGAGCAGGCATATGGTTGAAGCTCCTGTGTGAGCGGCTGTGTGCATGGGAGTCATACCCAAGGCATCAGTGGCTGTCGCCGGGCATCTCTGCAAAGCACATGGCGTTAGTCTGGGACGCTGCTAAAAAACAGCGATACTTGCATTGGATCTACTTGCATTATTTCTTGATTTAAAAAGAAGAATTATTCTGTATATTAAAATATCCAGATTAGATTTGCAGGTTATTACTTGATGGGCTGCAATATTTAATAATAATAATAATAATCATCGTCATCATCCTTGCGTTTGATACGGTGCTTTTCACGTTGGGAGGATGTCTCAAAGCGCTTCACGGGATTTACTGTAAAAGCGCAATGACTGCGTGTCTCGGTTGAACTCGGCTGCTGATTTGCACGTAGCAATGTCCTCCCATCGAGGGTAAAGTTCTCACTCACCGCCTCTCTCAGCAGATACTTCACTACGTTATCGTTGCCCGTTATCGTTGCCATGTGCAGGGGAGTCAACTGGAGTTTGTCGGTGTCACGGAAACTGAAGCGGCCCATTTCCTCCAGATAGCGGATGGTGGCTCTGTCAACAAGGGACGACATCGGGAGGCAAGGGTCAGATGTGAGCGTGAGACTGAACTGGACTGGCCTTGACAAACGTTTGCTTAAACTGCTGTTTAACGTTTAGTTTCATTCATTCATTTTATTGTTTAATGTTTTAATTACATTTTTAATGTTTTAAATGGAATGATTGATTGATTGATTGATTTAATGTTTAGTGGGTTCCTGCTGTGACGTCAAGTCGGGAGGGAGGGGTGGTGAGGTAGGCTTTCAGGTGCGATCTGATAAAAGGAGAAGGAGAGAGAGGCAAGGCGGAGGGATTGAGGGAGAGAGTTTCAAAGTTTCGGGGGCGTAGTGGCTGAAAGCACGGCTGCCGATGGTGGAACAGAAGGGACGAGGGACAAGCAGGAGGCTGGAGCCACCTGTGCAGAGGCGGCAGGTGGCGGAGCAGGGAATAAACAGGCAAGAATATCAAAAGTGTACGGGGAGCGGGCAGGGAGTTCGAGTGGATAGCTCCAATCTCTGAGCTCATATTAACTGACTTCTTGTCGCTGTAAATTGCTATGTTTCTCTGCGCTGTAAACACAACACTCCCACAGGAATCGAACAGTGATCCGGAGTCATTTCACGATGGAACCTTCATCGCTGGCACAGTAGAAAGTTATGTTTTTTGACTGCCGCTGCACTTGAAAGGACGTTTGCCAGGAAGGGAGGGAGGGGAGCCTGTTGGAGTGTTGGAAATGGTCGCTGTCCGTATAAAATCACCTACGGGGCCGCCTGTTGGACCACCCTGGCTTAGTTTGTGCGGCACAGAGCGGAATCCAACCGGAAACCTTCTGGTCTGTTCAGTTTTTCTGCCAATATCCTGCCTTTACCACAAGGTTACCCGAGGGCCACATGCGACAGTATCATCTTCTGTGTACAGAATGTATCGATTAATTGTGCTTGAAAAGTGAAATGAACTTTGCCTGATGACAGGTAACGTTGTCATTGATTTTGTCCAGTTACTAACACCGCAGATTAGGTTTTGTGCTGTTCAACATTTTTCTCCTTCCCCCCCACCACCACCAGAGACATCGGTGATTTTCTTTCTCTAGAGATGTGACTTATTTTTGGGGGTCCAACTCCATATGGACTTTCTTCTTCTTCTTAATAATATTATTATTGTTGTAGACCGGACTCGATTAATTTATACCGCAGTTGTACGCAGCTTCACAAATTCTGGGATATAAATGTACTCAGAAATTTTAAAAAATAACAATCCAAAAATAATTTGGTCACTCAATCCACGACTGTTTGTGGGACGCTGCTGTGCGCAATTGGCTGCCGCGTTTCACCCACCAAACAAAGAGTCAATTCACTTGACAGTATAGACTGTGAAGCGCTTTGAGACGCCTCGAAGGCATGGTAAGGCGCTGTATCAAATGCAAGGATTATTATTATTATTATTATTCCTGTTAGGCTGAATTTGTCCTTATGTTATTCGCTCCCCATCCCCCAGAGGATTGAGTTCAAGATCCTCGTCCTCACTTTTAAGGCCCTCCACGTTCTTGCCTACTTTTGAATCTGTGTCTGATGCCCACATTGCGCAATATGCTGCAATGTACACACGGTTGAACATACAAGGTCCCACACGTGACACACGTGTTCCCGCATGCTGCGCAATACACGCGGTCCTGCATATAACTGCCCGATCCGGGCCGGCCCCGAGTACTCACATGCTCCCACCACACACGGCGTGATGCAGCGCAGACTTCCCCTGGTCATCCAGAGCCAGCACGTTAGCTCCTTCCTTCACCATCCGGTGAATGATGTGCAGTTGCCCACGCCTGAAAACATCAACAGGTGGAGGAGGGAGAGGGGAGGATGGAGTATAAAGATAATAATCCCCCGCCCCCCGCCCCGCAGATAAAAATCGATCAACGCTCTCTCTCACGAACCGACTGCATTTATTTATACATAAAGCGCCTTAAGGCTCAGGATGAACAGTTTGCGGATTTGGTCAAGGCTCCTGCCTTGGCTTCGCCCTGCGTTTAAGAACGGAGAAGCCTCTTTGTAACCCATCAGGGCTTTTCTGCAGGCAGGCAGGCGGGCTGAGCAACCAGAAACTTTACGTTGCCGCCCACTTGCAGTCTTGCCTCGGCTTCTGCTTTCAACGGGGCTCAGCTTCCTATCAGCGGCAGCGAAGTAAACACTGGCCGAGTCAGGGTCCGGTGCTGCTGTTCTCTCTCTCCCTGTTCACGCTGGAAGTTTTACAGCCGTACCTTCACCCCAAACCAAACCAAACCGCAATTTCAACGAGAAGCCGAACAAAGAGTTTGAGCTCAAGGAAGCCTTTCGTTCTTTGAAACGTGCGTCAAAATCTACAACCGAATAAATACTTTCGCCATCTTATTCTTCTGTGGATGCTGCATTCATTCCGCATATCCCGTCCAATCCCCGGGTGGTGTGTTCACCGGCTGCACGACTGTGCGTGTGTGTGTGTGTATAAACGTGGGGCGTAAACCTGTGCAAATTTACTGTATAAATCAGCGTCAGGTTGCGGGTTCGCGCCCCGCATTGGGAGTTGAGCTCGCGGTCGAGACTGACGCTCGGTGCTGCATTGTCGAAGATGCCGTCTTAGGTGGACGTTAAAGACCCCACGAAAAGGGACCTCCTGATGCGTTCCTCGTGAGACATAACGCGCGCAAACCGCTTATGTTGTTTGCACGTTTTACACCAATTACCCGTGAAGCTCTTACAATAATAATCATAATAATGATCCTTGTGTTTGATATAGCGCCTTATCACATCAACGAGTGAACGGTAGCACCTCCGACAATGCAGAGCCCAGACGTTAGGCCTTTTACTTATCGTGTGTTCCCCCGAGCATTTATTCCAGACAATCCTGTCCTACTCTGAAGACATTTCACCCCACTGGATAAACAGCAGAGAAACCTCCCCCTCCCTCCCCCCCCCCCCCCACCCCACACACACACAGCTACTCAGCGTGATGGTTTCGACGGGGCGCGACGCGCAGCGAAACACGGACTCGCCTGCACGCAAAGTGGAAGGGGGTCTCTCCCGCGTCGCTCGGCACGTTGAGGTCTGCTCCGTGGTCAATGAAGAGGAACGCCAGCTGTTTGTTCCCTCTGTAGGTGGCGTGGTGAAGGGGCGTGAACCCGTTCCAGCCTTCGGGAATCGGAACACAAAGAAGGTAGTTACCGTCACAACCATATAACAAGCTACAGTCCCTTTCGGGCCGACGGGGATCTTCGAACGAGCCCCCATTCCCAGTCCCCATTCCCTCGCTTTCCCCACACCCCTGGAATTTACTCCTGTTTGGATACCTAACGAGATCCCCTTTGGAAAGCTAATGTGGATGCTGCCTTAACCACCGCTTCCGGCAAAGGGCATTCCACGTCCCAACCGCTCGGTGTGAAAACAAAATCTTCTGGTCTCTCCAGTTCCCGACCTCGTTCACCTACAAAACACAGTCACTACACTTTACAGCAAACCCTCTGAAGCACTTTGAGACATCCTCCTGACGTGAGAAGTGCCACAGCAGACGCAAGGAACTCTTATAGAGTATTATTAATCCTGCAAAGCACATGTTTTACAAGTTTATTACGACGTGATAAGGCACTACATCAAACAAAAAGGATTATTATTAATAGCTAACCCTTTCCGGAGCTAGATTCGCAGTGTGCATCAGATTGGTTCAATTGGTGTCACCCTCGCCTCTGGGTCAAAAGATTGTGGAAACCGACAGAAACTCTCATCTCTTGTCAAACCAGTTACAAGGTCTCTAATCTGCGCCCGAACAGCAGACAGGACCTCGGTTTAATGTAATTGGAGGATAGCAAATTGAATTAGTTCATGTTTTAACCCACCCTTCTCCCACCCCCCACTCTCTTTCCTCCCTTTTCTCCCCACCTGCCCCTGTGATACGTCCTTCAGAAGCAAAGAGCATTGCCACCTTGTGGAGAAATTGCAAATGTTCTTACGATAATAATCCTTGCATTGGGTATCGCGACTTAGCACAGGAAATGTCTCAAAAGCGCCTCACAGGATTTATTGTGGAATGCAGGGATTTGTGGGCAAATTTGGCGCTGAATTTAAAACTGTCTATTGGGTTTTGACAGGACTTGCTGATGTGTCATTAACCTGCTTATGGAGTTGGTGGGTGGGGTGGAGGGAAGTCAAAATAATGGGTATTCCTAAAACGCAAGTCATTAATTTATTTAAAGAATGGGTTTAAAATGTGCTTTGCCTTAGGCCCAGACCTCCGCGCTGATCTCACAATTCCACCACATGAGCGCGCAATCCTTTGCAATCGACGGCATCACATCAATAGGTGTTTTTTTTTTTAGCGAAAACGATTTACAAGCCAAACTGAGCAAGTGCGCGTGTTTGACTTGGGTGTGTGTTTGCGTGTAATATTAATTCTTGCATTTGATAGAGCGACTTTTATCACCTCGTTGTGACATCTCAAAGCGCTTCACGTATTGAGGGTGAAACACAGCAGCCAATTGCATGTTTGTATGTGTGTGTTTTGTGTTTGTATTTGTATGAATGTGTATTTGGATCCCTACTTCTCTGACCTCCTCATTCCCTAATCCACTACCTGGTGCCTCTGATCGACCGGCACCCCCTCCTGCTCGTCCCTCGCACCCTCCGCCCCACCATAGGAGGTTGCGCTTTCAGCCACTAAGCCCCGAAACACTGGAACACTCTCCCTCAATCCCTCCGCCTTCACCCACCACTCTCCCCTTTTTCAAATCCCGCCTGAAGACCTTCCTCTTCGACCGTGCTTACGGCCGTCTCCCCCCCCCCAAACCCCCACCCCTGGCTCGGAGTCAGGCCCTACCACTGTTAAGAGCTCTGAAATATTACTCTGCATGGAGAACGCTATATAAGTGCAAGTTGCTGTTGTATGTATGTTTTTCTTTGTTTTGTGTATAGGTTTTGTGTGCATGAGGGTGTGTGCGTGAGTGTGCGTGTGCGTGAGTGTGCGTGTGCGTGAGTGTGCGTGTGCGTGTGCGTGAGTGTGCGTGAGGGTGTGTGTGTGCGTAGGTTTTGTGTGTGAGGGTGTGCGTGAGGGTGTGTGTGTGTGAGGGTGTGCGTGAGGGTGTGTGTGCGTAGGTTTTGTGTGTGAGGGTGTGCGTGAGGGGTGTGTGTGTGTGTAGGTTTTGTGTGTGAGGGTGTGCGTGAGGGGGTGTGTGTAGGTTTTGTGTGTATGAGGGTGTGTGTGTGTAGGTTTTGTGTGTGAGGGTGTGCGTGAGGATGTGTGTGTGTGTAGGTTTTGTGTGTGAGGGTGTGCGTGAGGGGGTGTGTGTGTAGGTTTTGTGTGTATGAGGGTGTGTGTGTGTAGGTTTTGTGTGTGAGGGTGTGCGTGAGGGTGTGTGTGTGTGTAGGTTTTGTGTGTGTGAGGGTGTGTGTGTGTAGGTTTTCTGTGAGGGTGCGTGTGTGCATGAGGGTGTATGTGAGTATGCGTGTGTAGGTCTTGTGCGTGAGGGTGTGCGTGAGGGGTGTGTGTGTGTGTAGGTTTTGTGTGTGAGGGTGTGCGTGAGGGGGTGTGTGTGTGTAGGTTTTGTGTGTGTGAGGGTGTGTGTGTGTAGGTTTTATGTGTGTGAGGGTGTGCGTGAGGGGGTGTGTGTGTAGGTTTTGTGTGTGTGAGGGTGTGCGTGAGGGTGTGTGTGTGTGTAGGTTTTGTGTGTGAGGGTGTGTGTGTGTGTGTAGGTTTATGTGTGTGAGGGTGTGCGTGAGGGGTGTGTGTATGTAGGTTTTGTGCGTGAGGGTGTGCGTGAGGGTGTGTGTGTGTAGGTTTTCTGTGAGGGTGCGTGTGTGCATGAGGGTGTATGTGTGTGTGCGTGTGTAGGTCTTGTGTGTGAGGGTGTGCGTGAGGGTGTATGTGTGTGTGCGTGTGTAGGTCTTGTGTGTGAGGGTGTGCGTGAGGGTGTATGTGAGTGTGCGTGTGTAGGTCTTGTGTGTGAGGGTGTGCGTGAGGGTGTATGTGAGTGTGCGTGTGTAGGTCTTGTGTGTGAGGGTGTGCGTGAGGGTGTACGTGAGGGTGTACGTGAGGATGTGTAGGCTTTGTGCGTGAGGGTGTGCGTGAGGGTGTGTAGGCTTTGTGCGTGAGGGTGTGCGTGAGGGTGTGTAGGCTTTGTGCGTGAGGGTGTGCGTGAGGGTGTGTGTGTGTGTAGGTTTTGTGTGTATGAGGGTGTGTGTGTGTAGGTTTTGTGTGTGAGGGTGTGCGTGAGGGGGTGTGTGTGTGTAGGTTTTGTGCGTGAGGGTGTGTGTGTAGGTTTTCTGTGAGGGTGTGTGTGTGCGTGAGGGTGTACGTGAGTGTGCGTGTGTAGGTCTTGTGCGTGAGGGTGTGCGTGAGGGTGTGTAGGCTTTGTGCGTGAGGGTGCGTGCCATGTAAGGCAGAGTAAGAGCGGGGGTGGTGGGGCTCTTGTCAACCCGACAGCCCTACTGTTGGCCGCTGTGACTGCTGCTGCTGCTGCGGTACCTCTGGCGCTGAGCGGAGCGCGGTCACGGTGGAGCCAGCGAGCGCACGCCTCGGCATCTCCCCTCTGTAGCGCCTCGGCGAAGCCGGCGGCGTGAGGCTGGGGGGCTACGGGCAGCATGTCTCCGGGCGGGGACGGAGGCCAGACTCCAGCCTCGGCTCCGAACCTGGGATCAGCCCTGCCCCGGCCGCACGGAAATCCTGCTGGAGAATCCGGACACTGTGTTTGCAGGATTTTATTCCGGGCAAAACAAGTCAGGCGGTCGGCTGGCTTTTTTATTCTCTCTCTCTCTCTCTCTCTCTCTCTCCCTCTCTCTTTCGAAATCTTGTCTTGAAAATGTCAAAAGTCTGGGAAAGAGGTGTTTCGAAAGAGGATACCTCGGAAATTTTTTTGCATCGTGTTTTATGGCAGTTGGCTGACTCTGCCTCGTAGGGTTTTTTTTTGAAACGTGCAAAGTTCCACATTTTGATGCTGTCATGTTAATTTGTGTTTTTTTTCTTCTTCTTCCCCCCCTCCCCACCCCCACCCCCCACCCCCCACCCCCCCCCTGCTTTTTCTTTAGCTGAACATGCCGCATACTTATGCCCTGTTTCTTAGCAGAGGTGCCTTTGGTAGGTGCCTCTGTGTGTGAGTGTGTGTGTGTGTGTGTGTGTGTGTGTGTGTGTGTGTTTAACCCTTTGGGGCCTGAAATTCCGACTGTTAATGTTTCGTCTTCAAGCGTCTGAAGGAAGAATCAGTGCATTTGATGTTGCGCCTTTTCACATCGGGGGTGGGATGAGATGTTCAACTGAAGTCCCGCTGAATAAAAAAGTTAACGATCCCGCAACACCATTCGAAAAGAAATGGGCGTTTCTCCCAGTGTCCTGGCCGACAATCCTGCAAATAAAAATTGGTCACTCGCTTCACAGCTGTTTGTTTGTGTGCAAATTGGCTTCTGCGTTCACCTATTAAAACACACAATCACTGCACCTTACATTAAATCCTGTGAAGCGCTTTTGAGACATCCTTGCAAGGATTATTAAGGTTGTAATATGACTGATGTGTGTGTTGCATATGCAACGTGAGAAGTGGGCGAATATCGGTAATTTATAGGGTGAGGACAAACACATACAAGAGCTGCCGAGGACGTATCTGTTTCCTAGACATTTAGGTTCGTCAGTCGTAGACTGAGGAGAAGATCATCAGAAACGTCCATTCAGTCAGTCAGTGCAAAGGAACTTTCCAAATTTCCTGCAGAACTGAGCGTGCGGCCTTCGATCTAATGTGCTCCTGGAAACTGATAGCTTCTGTGTTGTTACGACTATTGCCTGGAACGGGGTGATGTGCGTTAATGTGGCCGGTACAGACTTGATGGGCCGAGTGGCCTTATTCTGTATTGTATGTACTATGAGTCTATGTATATAAGGGAAAACCTTGATAGGTACAAGAGGGAGAAAGATCTAGAGGGATTTAGGTGAGGGCAATATTTGGAGTGGAGTCTTGTGTAGAGTATAAACAGGCACAAGGGGCTGAGTGGCCTATTTCAAGGTTGTGATAATATTTATAATCCTTGGATTTGACTCCGTCTTTCACTCCAGGACGTAGCAAAGCGCTTCACAGAATATTACCGTAAAATGCAGTGACTGTGTAGTTCGAAGCCGAATGCCAATTTGCGCCCAGCAATCTCCAAATTCAACCGGATTCTTTCAAATGTAAAATCTTGGGACAGAGGCATAAGGGAAAAACTAACAGTGACACCGTTTACATTGTTTTTTTTAAAATTCTTGAACAATGAATGAAAGAACGAACGAAAGAACGAACGAAAAAGAAAGAAATTTGCGAGTGGAGCTCAGATGACCTCAGCATTGCTGGTCTTTCCGATGTATTCTGACACAACTATGAAAGTGAAGGGGTGGGGGGGAAAGAGGGAGGCAGTCAATTCATTCAAGTTCTGCAAAACGAAATGGAACTCTTTTCACAAGATCATAAGGTCGGTTCGGAAGAAGGAGACACTTCAGCCCATAACACCCTCCCTACCGGCCCCATCATCGCGTCAAGCTGTTTTTTATATAAGTTCAGTGTCCTGGCTTCAACCACCCTTACTGGTAATCTGGTTCAGTTGTTGATTATCGTCTGAGTAAAGAAACATTTCCTGCTGTCTGTCCTAAAATTGCCCTTCACAATTCAAAACCCATTTCCTCTTTTACTATCTTGTTGCATCTTAAGGCCCTCATCTGGATTTACTTTTTTTAAAATCCCACTGATAATTGCAGCCACTTTTGTTAACGTCCAGTGGTTGGAGGGTAAAGGTAGCCAGGGCTACAGCCACTTCTCCTTTCGAAGTAGGAAGTGAACCGTACGGAGTGTGATTCAGTATAAAAGATTAATCGTTGGCCGGGCAGAGAGAAGATATGAGGTTCTGCGCTCTGGTGTAAAGCGTGCCCCGTCAACTGCGAGTCCAGTGTGGAAACCGTCTGAATGTACAGTAATCCTGGCAACTACTGGTGAGCTCTCACATTCCAGTTTAAAGGTTGATTTCTCTCTAGCTTGATAAGCAACTCACTTGCTCTTGCGTTGTTACGGTTATTAATAATATTTGCACTGGATCCAGCACCTCTCATATGTCACAGCCGTTTTCACACAAAGCCTCTGCCTCTTTCAAAGCTCTGCCTGTGTTGGATTCACTTTTGGCTCTTAAGACTCTTAAATAATAATAATAATAATAATAATCCTTGCATTTGATATAGCGCTTTTCACGTCGGGAGGACGTCCTAAAGCGCTTCACAGAATATACTGTAAAGTGAATTGACTGTATATTTGTGGGCGAACGCGGCAGCTAATTGCGCACAGCAATGTCCCACAAACAGTCGTGGATTGAAAATGACCAATTTATTATTGTTTTTGGTTTTGGAGGGATTATTATTAGGCTCTGTGTGGAGTAAGGAAACTTGCCCAAGGTTTCGCCCTGCCTGGAATTGAACTCAGGTCTCTCACTTGCAAAGCGAGTGCTCTAACCACTGAGCTACAGGACTCCACAACAGCACAGATTTGGCTGGAGGCTTGTGGACATTGCTGCTGTACTGGTGGTGAATTAAACACAGGAAGCTCGAGTTGCAAATTTTAAATCACAAACCCAGCTTCATGACTATCTGGGGAACATTTCTGTGCGCAAAGCTGGCTGCTGTGTTCACCTGCAAGTGCACAGTCAAAACTACACTTTACAGTAAAATCCTATGAAGCGTTTGCTGACATCATATCGACATGAAAACCACTATATCAAAATCAAGGATTATTATTGTTATCGTGGAGTTCTGTAGTGTACAGGTTAGCGCACTTGCTTTGCAAGCAAGAGGACCGGGGTTTGATACCCGGGCAGGGTAAAACCTCAGAGAAGTTTCCTTACTCCACAAGACTCTGTTTACTGAGCAGTAAATAGGAACCCCGTGGTTACTTGATTGCCGGATCGCTTTCCTCGGCGAATAATCCCTTCTAAATAAATAAATTTAGTTAACTCAATCCACAACATTTTGTGGGACACCACTATGTGTTTCACTGCAGCAAATTAAATACACAGTTAATTCATTTAACAATATGTTCTGTGAAGCGTTTTGAGACCTTTCAATGACATGATAAGGTGCTCTTATCCAACACAAGGATCATTATGAGGATGATTATTATTGTTATTGTGATTTCAACTTTGTGAGCTGAAAATCACGAGTCTTTTGTTCCCACTGAAAATGTTTGTTTCTTTGTGGTGTGTGTGTGTGGGGCATATTTTCTGTTCAGAGGAAAACGAGGCACAGGGATGGAAAGGGACACAGAGACTTCAGGTCAGCAAGCAGGGCACCAGATCGGATTGCAAGACTCTGTGACCGGCATGAGGCAGGAGGCTGGGAGTGCCCTCACTCCGTCAGAGGAACACGAGGGGAAAGAAGCCACTGAGGAGGTCTCCGCACTCGAAGGACTGGAGCGACGATCTTTGGTCTACCTCCGATCGCTCCCTTCTCTCAGCCAAGGGGAGAAGCAGAGGCGCTTGATCGATCTCCTACCTTTTTTCCTCCAGGCAAGTTCATTTTGCTCTGCCCCCTGTCCTGTCCTGTACCCTTGATTGGTAAATCAGTCCCGCTCTATGGTAGCATTCTCGCCTCTGAGTTAGAAGGTTGTGGGGGTTTAAGCCTCACTTCGGGACTTGGGATCACATAGTCTAAGCTGACGCTCCATTGCAGTGCTGGGTGGGGTGTTGCCATCCTTCGGATGAGACATAAAACCAAGGGCCCATCTGCCTATTCAAGTGGATGTTAGAGATCCCATGGATATTGGAAAAGAGAAGGGAGTTGCTCTCTCCTGGTGTCCTGACCCAACAATCCCCCAAATAAAACTGGTCACTCACTCAATGGAGGTCTGTGGGACAGGCTCTGCCATTGTTAAGCGCTCTTAAGACTCTGCCCTGCGTGGAGGGCGCTACATAAGTGCAAGTTGTTGTATCACATGTAAGGATTATTAATAGAATTATTAATATTTATTATTTTCCTTAATTGGTGGTTGCAGGCTTTTGCTGGTCGCTCTCGGTCTCGATTGACGGTGGTCTTTCCAAGCATTCTACCTTTTGCTACTGAAGTCTCCAAAATGATGGTGCAGATAATGAAGGAGAAACTTGCAAACAAGCCACAAGGTGTTCTTTTATTTGTAGTTTTATTTGCTGTTCTACCCCACTGCTCCCCTCTGCTATCTCTGGTTTAACTGTACATCTGCCCCACCATTGGTGGCTGAACCTACAAATCCACACAATCATGACACAGCAAAGCCCTGTGAAGCCTCTTGAGATATCTCGATGACATGATAAGGCACTACACCAAATGTAAAAATTACCACAGTCATTAATTTGCTCTGCATACCATGCCTTTTATACCAGGTTAACCCTTATCGTAAATTTTCCACGTGGTTTGTTAATCCAAGATGAAGGAATATACCTGATTTTTAAGTGCCCTGTGTAATAATGCTGTGCTAACCTGTGACAGTGCATATGTGAAGGAGCACAAGAGGAAACTTATCACAGCTTTATATGTATGAACCAGGAAGCAGGGCTCGCATAAGGTTAAAGAAACATCTGTGGGGAAATGGTGTGTGCGTTGGTTTAATTGTCACGACTTTCGCTTCTCCTTTCAAGCTTCTCTCAGTCCCTGCCATGTTTGGACAGACATTGTTTGTGGGACATTGCTGTGCGCAATTGTGCTGCCGTGTTTGCCTACAAATACACAGTCACTCCATTTCACAGTAAATTCTGTGAAGCCCTTTTTAGATGTTCCATCGCTGTTATAAGGCACTATACCAAATGCAAGGATTATTATTATTAGAACAACAGCAAGAACTTGCGTTTATATAGCGCCCTTCATGTAGGGTGGCATCCTGGAGCGCTATTACCTGCATGCGGCGTTCCCGAATGCCCTATTTCCCTTTCCGGGAAGAAGCCGGCACTCAGTTTCCTTGTTAATAAACGACCACATGTTAGGCGACAAGTGAAACTTGTAGCAGTTAAACCCAAATCTTTGCAATGGTCGAAAATCATAGGATTTTCTTTTTAGAATCGTGATAGTCCTTCATTACAATTATTTAATGGCACCCAAATGTTTCAAAACACTACGTCGTTATTTGCTATCCAGCGGAGTGACTATTTGTTTTGTCGACAATTTGCGCGTAGCAAAACAAAGTGACATGATCGATCTGATCTGGAGGATTGGTGCATGTTGTCCATATTGACCTGTCCGCTTCCTTTGTTCAGCGGGCTTTGTCCACATTGCCCACCCAGTCCGCCCCACCTTCGGCGGTCGGGCCTTGAGCCTCTACGCCCCCATCCTTTGGAACTCCATCCCATAGTTCCTTCTCCTTGCTCCCTCTCTTGCCTCCTTCAAGGTGAGTATCAAGACCCGGCTCTTCAACCGTGCCTTCGGTCACTCTCCTAATCCCACCCTCCCTGCCCTCCACCCCTTCTGATCCCAGACCCTAGCTCGGGTCCAAATCCCTGCCCGTCCAGCACCTTGGGACGTCCTCCCGACATGAAAGGCGTTATACAAATGTAATTTGTGCTGTTTGTTGTTGTGGGATCTTTAATGTCCAACTGAACAGGCAGTGAGGGCCTCGGTTTAACGTCTCATCGCTTCAGCCGATGAATGGTTGACTACATGAAAGCATCATTGAAGGGAATGAAAACTAACGGAGATTTCTCATTGCAGAGGAAGCGAGATTTGTGGCCGAAGAGTTCCTCAAACAGCCTGGCAATGTGGGGAGCAGTGAGGGCTGGCAGTTACTTCAAACCCTTCATCTCTTGTCGACAGCTGACTCGGTGAGTGAGCCAAGACCAGCTGTGTGCTGTCGGCAAGTGACTCTCTTGAGAAGATACCAGCACCTCTTCCTGTGTGTCCCACTCCTTCTCTTAACATGTTCAGTCAATTCCAACCTAACCCCATCACACCACAAGGACTAACAGCAACTACAGCAACTTGCATTCATATAGTGCCTTTCATATAAGATAAGGTTCACATTTCAAGTCTTGTGTTCTCAACAGACGTCTCAGTCGGTGGGTGTGTCGTTTGGTGTCAGCAGCGGCATGTGCGTTGTTCCATATCATTTATGACTGTGGTAAACAGGAGAGAATGGAGAAGTGAACCCTTCGAACCACAGCAGTTGCTGGTCCCTAGACAGAGCTCGGTTTCAGTTCTTTAATCTGTGTTAACTTTATCAGGTTCATTCGTGGGAGTGCAGACCATTTGTATCCACCTTTATATCTGTTGCCGCAGTTCCCTCTGCATTGAGTTCCAGTCGATCACAGATGCGCTACCTGTCACTTCCGAAACCATGGCTACTAATCAGTCTGGCCTCCATGCTGTTTGGATGAACATTGATGATGTTGAGGTTTTGTCCATTGTGGTGTGTAGACGAACAGGCCTACACCTCATCTGAACCCGTATCGCTCACTGCAAGCACTTTATACAATGCAACTCCTTGCTCCTTTTAAACCTGCAAGCCAAAGCCCTCGCGGGTAGGGTGATCCTAGCTGAACAAGCAGCGGGAAAGTTTGCTAGTCAGCAATATCAATGGCAAGCTATGCAGTTTTAGCTGGTTACCCCAACATACACTCTGGGTTCCTCAAGCCTTGGCTCTTGCCAACCTGCGCCTAATACTTTCCCGGAATTAGGTAAGCAGGATACGTCCCTCCAGGGAGAGAGAGTGCACATTCCATTCCAGCAATCTATCGCTGGAATTTCCATGTGTAGCTGGGATGCATGGAACTCTCAGTTTGGTTTGGATCCTCTTAAGCAATGGTGATGGGTTTTCGCATGTGTCAGACACTCGGCTGACCAAAAAAATAAAAACCATTAGAGCGCTGTTTTCATTACAATGCGGTTACAGTGCAGAACATTTTTGCGTCAATAATCTGTATCTCTGTCTCTTCTGCTTTCAGGAAACCCTGCGAAGCATGATTGTGCTGGGGCTGCCTTTAATTCTTCTTAAATGTGTGCACCTTTTCTTCACTTTCCCGTCCGTAAGAGAGCCTGAAAAAGAGTCACACAGAGAGACCATCGTATTTCAAGAAACATTTACCCACGTAAGTTAAGTTAAAACAAATTTCTTGCCCAGAGGGTTGTGAGAATGTGGGAAAGCACTGCACAGCTAGAGTCTGGTGTCAGCCTGGCTCAGGGGGTGGCGCTCTCGTCTCTGATGCACAAGGTTGTGGTTCAAGCCCCAGTTTGAGCTCACAGCCTTTACTGACGCCCCAATACAGCACTGGGAGCGCGCTGCTACATTATCGGAGGTGCTGATGAGACGTTAAACCAAAGTCCCTTCTGTCCGTTCAGATGGACATTAAAGGCCCCGTGGCACTATCGAAAAGAAGGGAGTTTTTCCTTGTGTCCTAGCAAACAATCCCCCAAATAAAGAAAAATTGGGTCACTCACTTTATGCCTGTTTGTAAATCATTGCTGCACACAAATTGGAGTAAGGAATGGAGGAAGGCTCGTGTGGAGCATAAACAGTGGCATGGGCTGGTTGGGCCGAGTGGCCTGTTTCCATGCTGTACCTTCTTTGTAAATCTTTGTAGATAATAATAATAATACTTGCATTTGATTAACACCTTAGCAGGTCATTGAGACGTTTCAAAGCGCTTCACAGAATATATTGTAAAGTGGATTGACTGTGTATTTTGTGGGTGAAAATTGGCTGCATGTTCACCTACCAAACAATACACTTGGCAGTAAATCCTATTACTGGTTGCTATATTAATCCTATTAAGTTGCTATCTCAAATGTTTTATCATCATTATTATTATTATGATAGTAACTACTTACAAAGAACTGAGATGTTTCCACATGATCGGGTGCTATTTAAGCATTTGCTTAAAAGCGTATGTTCCTCCTTGCTTGCCTTGTCGAGTAAATGGAGCGTTTTGTGACTCTTGTTTTTCTTAAGCCTTAAAATAGGCCAATTTCTTGCCCCCCCAAAAACCCTGCAGCTACTCAGTCCACAATATTATCAAGAAATATTAAATCATATTTTGGAATTGGAGATGTTCTGGACCTGGGCTTCAAACATGGAGCTTGATAAATACCTAAAAAGAAGTTGACTGTGAGGGTATGGGGAAAGGGCAAGTAAGTGGGACTTGTCGGATATCCTTTAAGAAGAATTGACCAATTAATTGGGTACCAATGAAAGCGGGATCAGGAAGTGTAAAGCAGGATGCAGGGGGAATTAACTAGGAGGGGTTTTGGTCATGGGGGTTGGATTGTGTTTTGAGAGCCGAGAATAAAGTAGTAATTTCTACGGTTGAGTAGTGAGAAGAACATAACAGGACTGAAAGGGTCGCTCTTAAAAAGAGCCAGCACAGACACAGTGGAACGAATGGCTGCCTTCTGTGGTGTGAATCTCTATGGCTCTATGAGGAGCTCGGGGCTGAACTTGTGTTCTCTTTCAGACACTGCTAAACCTGTGCAGTCAGGCATTAGCTGTGGAGATGATGGTTCAAAGTAACGAGGTCGAGAGGTTTATTATGACCGTGTCCACCCTGTGGGACCAGAGCTGCCCGTCCTGGAGACACTTTGCCGGTTACACTCTGAAAGCCATTTCAAGAACACCGACGAAAAATACCGTCAAGTACTTACACGGTAGGTAGTGAGTGGCCTGACGTTATCTCAGTGAATCCGCAACTTGAAGATGTACGTTAAATATCAGCCTGGCTCAGTTGGTGGCACTCTCGTATCTGGGTCAGAAGGTTGTGAGTTCAAGGCCTGTGCCGGGGGGGGGGAGAAGAGCTGAACTGTCACAGGTACAGTCTCACGAATGATACGTTAAACCAAGGACGTTAAAGAACCCATTGCACTTTTTGAGCAAAAGAAGGGAGTTCCTCCCGGTTGCACTGAGGAAATGTGTTCACTTACAAAACACAAGGTCACTACACTTCAGAAGCATTTTGAGACGTCGTCCTGACATGAAAGGTGCTATAACAAATTCGAGGATTATTATTATTGTTAATTATGGTTAATAATAATTGCTATTAATCATAGATTATTATTGCTCTCTCTATTTCTGACACTCGTCTTGTCGACTGGGATATGTTTTGGACAATCAGAGGTTTTGGACCCGAGCTGGGAGCTGGGGGCAGAAGGGGAGGAGGGCAGAGACGGTCGGGAGGGTGGCTGAAGGCACGGTCAAAGAGGAATTGTCTTCAGACGGAACTTGAAGGAGGCTATATTGGAGCATCAGTCTAGATCGTGAACTCAAAGTGCTGAAGTGGGGCCTTGAACCACAACCTTGTGACTCAAAGAAACAAACGAGGCATCACCGACTGAGCCAGGCTGGCAGCAGATTCTGGCTGTACAGTGCTTTCCCCCATTCTCCCAACCCTCCGGGCGAGGAATTTGTTATAGCGAGCCAACGGTCGCTTTATGTGTTGCAGAGGTGGGATGCGTGCGAGCGAGCAATCGGGGCCTGTCTGAAATGGTCGACAGGGGGTCGGTGTGCGAAGCAGTGGAGGCAGCCATGAGCGTGCTTTGCTTCGTGAAGGATTCCTATCCCGTGTCTCCGAACCTGCTGGTCGATTTCGAGTGTGCCGATGGCTACCAACTGCTGACAAAACTGCTCCTCGGGCAAGTGCAAGTCCTCGGTGGATGTAATAATAATAATAATCCTTCCATTTGACATAGAGGCTTATCACGTCGTTGAAACGTCTCAAAGCGCTTCACAGAATGCAACGTAAAGTGAATTTACTGTGTATTTTGTGAGCAAAACATGGCAACCAATTGGGTACAGCAGTGTCCCACAACTAGATCTGGATTGAATGACCAAAGTGGTTTTCTTTGGACATCCTCCCGACGTGAAAAATTCTAAATAAATGTAAATTTGTTGTTGTTGTCGTCGTTGTCGATGACCCAACCCCTTCGCAGATCTTTTATTCAACTTGCGCAATCATTGACGGGCAGTGGCACCACTTATAAATACATTTTTTATAAATTTGTGCAAATGGTACTTTACATTTATGGCTGTATTTTACAAGTTACCAAGTGTGACACAAGCAAAATTCCTTCCCTGTTGTGTTGATTCTCAGGGAGGGTAGTGGCAGGAAGCAAAATACATGTACACTTGGGACATTAAAGTTAACTTCTATTTGAATGTTTCTTTTCTTTAATATCAGGTGCAACAAGGAGGTGACGAAGGAGGAGGGAAAGGCAGTGGAAGAGTTGGTGGATTTTATAAGCTCCCTCGCCATCTGTGGGCAGAAGGAGTTGAAGGTTACTCCCGCACTTGCCGGCTCCCAGTTCCCGGACTTCAAGTTTGAGCAACCGATCAAATCAGGTACATTAGGTCAGGTTCAAGTGCAAATTGAGCCCGTCCTTTGGATGAGACATTAAACAAGACCCTGCCTGTCTGTGCCTTTCCAGGTGGATGTTAAAAGTTCCCGTGGCACTACACAAAAAGCGAAGGGAGTTTCCTCCGGTGTCCTGGCCCATGTAAAATTAGTCGTTCACTTTGTGGCTGTGTATGGGACATTGCTGTGTGCAAATTGGCTGCCCGTACAAGATACGGGTGGAATAATCCTTCCCCTAAACATTTGGTCACTCAGTCCACGACTGTTTGTGGGACACTGCTGTCGGCAATTGGCTGCCGCGTTTCACGACAGTATGCACAGTCAAACCACTTAACAATATATCCCGTTGTCATGGTATCTTATCTCTGGGTGAGAATTACACGCTCCTTCCAGGTGCACTCTGAAAGGAGCGATCCTTCTCAAATTTCGATTAGAGGATGTGCCCGATCAGAGCAGTCTCACAAAATACACCCAACACTTGGCTTTTAATAAAATATTTCTTATTTATTCAAACCCATATAATTATATATATATATTCTCGCATTCGGAGCATTTGACGCAGAAATAACAAACACAATTCTTATATAATACTTTGATAATACTCTATTAATGTCACTTTAACAAGGAATAATATCTTATACTTTATAAGATATCGAACCACTGAGCTTCAACACTTGGACCACTGGGGTAAACAAATAGAGTAACCTTACCCCAAATTCACATCGCTTCTAAGTTCCTGAAATTCAGAGTTTTTATAATTAGTGATATTAAAATCACTAATTTTAATATCATAATATAGCTTGTTAAAACTCCAAAACTCTACAACTCCTGTATAACTCAGCTCCTTCTCTTTTATACCTCAAATGTGCCCATGTGATATTTTTACCCAATCAGTTCTCCGTACTTTGACTAACTCAACTCCTAATTGACTAAGAATGACCTCCTTCAATAAATCGCTCGTATTTTGACAGGTCGAAAACATAAAACTTGTTACCTCAACTGTTAACTTGAATTGATGATTCAGACTAAAAGACTCCGACAGGACCACAAAAACCATTAACTCACAAAATCTAGCAAAAAAAGCCCAAAAAACAAAAGCACGTAACCAACATTTTTACACCTTAAGAGAGACAAACAGATTGATATCTCAGTCTAACAGATTCAGCAGATTATCTGGCACCGAACACCTGTGACACCACTCCATGAACCCTTAACTAACTCACACTGCGAATCGCTTTGAGACATCTTTACGACGTGACAAGGCGCTATGTCAAATGCAAGGATTATTATTATTACAATCCTCAAGATGTCCTTTGCGGCTGTTTGTGTGACATTGCCACGATTGCCTACAAACACACAGGCCCTTCACTTCACGTTAAAATACTAGGCGACATGACAAGGCGCTATACCAAATGCAAGGAACATCATGTACTGTATTATTATTTTCTCCAAGGGTATCACTGTTCTTCTCCTTGTTCCAAGATTCAACAGTGAAGAACCTTCGTGCGTTCAAGGTCCTACAGTCGGTATTCATGAAAGCTCACTCCTCCTGCCTCTCCTCAACGATCCTGAGCAGCATGAGGAAAATTTGGAGCTGGAACCGGGCCAATTTCTTTCTGCTGGAGTGGACTCAGCAGACCCTCTTTCACTTTGCTGAGGTGATATACCTGAAGTCGCACCCGGTCCAGATCCAGTACTTTGAGCTGCTCCGGATGGTGATCACCGAGCTGACCTACGTCCCGCACGACGTCTTCTCGAGGGTTCAGGTGATCATCCGCGAGCGGCTGAGCCCGGCCTGCGCTCTGCTGGCTCTGGAATGCGTGCTAGACATCGCCAGGCATGACCAACTGTTCGCCGTGGTCTTCAGGGAAACCCGGCTCCTGGAAACTCTGCTCACGCAGCTCCAGAGGTTTGCCAAGATCTTGAGGAAAGCAGGTAACTCGTTTGCTTCCCATGTTACCAGCCAACCCCCAAACTATCCCCACTCGCCACTGGAGCATGAACTCCGGCACTGACTTGTTGGAATGAAGGGCTCGTGTCCGTGCTTTACAGGGTGTCCACAAAGTCCTGTCAGAAGGTTAAAGGGAAGTGGTAGTGTAAGTTCACTTGAGCCAGGTGTCAGCCGGCCTCGGTAATGCTCTCGCCTCCACGTTAGAAGGTTGTTGACTTATTTTTTTACACACGCACAATGAACTGACCAACAACTGAAACGTGTGGAAGAATGATGGTAATTGTATTCAGAAGTGTGTAACTGTATTTAGACGTAGGGAGGATCGGTGTGAGCGAACGCCATCATTTTCATGGCAGATAATGATCTTGTCGCCATGTTCTAGCGCATGATGGAGTGAGGAGGCGAAATGCATCCCTGGCAGCCTGTTTCAGCTCCTGCATAGTCTCGTATCGCTGTTTTGTAACAGGGGTTAAGAGGATTTTGACACCCTGTACAATCGATGTAAACCTTTACATAAACCACTGTAATCACCAGCTGCGATCTTCTCACTGATCATCAGTTGGGTGCATTTTCCTGAGAGCTTGACACCGCAGTGCAGTTAGGAAGTTTTTTTTGGTCGCGCTCGCGCTAACATTTTGGGTGTCTGACGCGTGCGAGGCTTGGGGATCGCAGAGATGTCCCATCTGCCTGTTCACGTGAATGGTATAGAACCCATGGGACTATTCAAAAAGACAAGGGAGTTTCTCCCAGTGCTCTGGCCAACAATCCTCCCAAATAAAATTGGTCACTTTCCGGGGGTAATAATCCCTCCCCCCAAAAAATCAATAATAATAATTTGGTCACTCAATCCATGACTGTTTGTGGGACACTGCTGTGCGCACTTGGCTGCCACATTTCGTTCACAAAATACACAGTGAATTCACGTTTTGATGACGTGATAAGGTGCTATATCAAATGCAAGGATTATTATTATTATTGTCGGTTGTGCTGTCCTTTGGCTGGACGCTCTTAACAAGGGCTGCATTATATCTCTCAACTTGTGTTCCTTTCTGATGTTAACGTGCTATTCTTAAACACCGGAGATCTGTCTCTATTGCCTCTAACGTTTGTGTTCCCTGATAACCCTGAAGGGAACAGCGTCCCTTCCACTGAGCTGGAGTGCCAGCGAGCCATGTCCTGCCTGATGCTGACAATTGTGGCCACCATGCTTCAGGACTCATTGAAAAACGTAGGTAAGGTTAACGGCAAGCGTCAAAGGAAGTTTTCTCAAGCCAGGGGTCAGCCCGGCTGGTTCAAGTCAGAGCTGCGATCGTCTACAAAATACCCAGTCACTGCACTTCAGAATAAAATGTTGTGAGGCACTTTGAGACTGAACAACGTGATAAGGCACTTTATCTAAATGGCAAGGATTATTGTTATTATTATCACAGTAAAAACTCGCATAAGTCCGATCTGTATAAATCGTATAATCGCCTAAATCGTACATCTGCCCTAATCCCGGTGAATTTCTAATAATTTATGCAAGTTTCACATAACTCATACTTTGCATTAGTCATATTAAATGTAAGGTCCCAGCTGGTATGACTTGTATGAGGTTTACTCGATTACTATTATTATTATTATAAGCTCTTCCTGTCTTTTTTGGCAGTGATTGTCAGGGAATATGGGATGATTCCCTACGTCAAGGTGTTCCTGGATGACCATTTCTACCGCGGTGCATCGCTGGTGATACTAGAGCAGTTGGCCATCGTCAATGCGGAGGAGTACATGAGCATCGTCTTGGGGGTCCTATGCTCGGCCACCCAGGGGGAGGTGGACCTCAAACTGGACCTTCTTCGGGTACACTCGCCTGCAAAACACATAGTCACTACACCTTACTTCCAGTGAAGCTCTTTGTGCCATCCTTTTCACCCACAAAATATACAATCAATTCACTTTAACAGTATATTCTGTGAAGCACTTTGAGGCATCTCAACGATGTGATAAAGCGCTGTATCAAATGCAAGGATTGTTATTATTATTATTATCCTTTCTGTACGCAATTTGACTGCCGCGTTACCCTATCAATACACAGTCACTCCAATTTACAGTAAATCCTGTGATGATCTTTGAGGGACAAGAAAGCGCTATAGCAGATGTGAGGATTGTTAATGTTGTACATCATGATTAATATCTATTATTTTAAATATGTGACGTTTAATCTTCACTTATTATTATGTTGGATTAGTCTCGTGGTGGGAATTAATGGAAGCCAGTCTTTCTCTCTCTCTCTCTCTCTCTCTTGTTTGCATCTGAGGAACTAACATATCTGAGTAATAATAATAATTAATAATCTGCCTGTTCAGCTGGACGTCAAAGATCCCACGACAAATAGTCGAAAAGAGAAGGGAATTTCTCCCAATGCCTTGGTCCAGCATCTTGGGACGTCCTCCCGACGTGAAAGGCGCTCTACGAATGCAATTTTGTTGTTGTTGTTGGTGGTCAACATCTCCCTCCCCCACCTCCATATTTAAAAAAAANCGGTCATTCACTTCATAGCTGTTTGTGGGATGTTGCTGTGGGCAAATTAACTGCCGCTTGGGCTACAACATACACAGTCACAAAGCGCATTGAGATATCCTCTTGACATGAATGCACTGGAAGGATTATGTATCAATGAGTGCGTCGTAAACTTTTTGTTTATTGTTTTGGGAAAAGTTTAGACTTTTTAACATTCCGCACAAGTAAATCAGGAGAAGATTACGATTCCGCACAATTGTTAAAGCCGATTTATTAACATAAATCTAGTGAGTGTGTCTAATTTTGACAAATTGTGAAATGGTTACAATATAATAGCAGCTGAATTTATTATTTGCCCTTCCCTCAGGACTCTTATTGTGTTACGCACAAATTCAGATTGATTTGCTAATATATATTTAGCTGGTAACCCGGAATAAATGTTATTATACCTGCACTTTTTGAGGTTGACACATTGAAAATTATGTGCTGTATCAAATTATAGAATGTGAAGTAAATCCACTTATATGTAACTCAGTTTGCACCATACATGAGACATTAGTTTTATAGATTGAGGCCAGAGGAATATTAAGTCACAGAGGATTAAAGTGTAACTGTATTAAAGGTGGTGCCAATAAGGTTATCTATGGCCTTCACTGAAATGTGTCAAAGGCATTTGCTTTACTTCTATTCAGTTACATTACAGTTGAGTCTTTACCAAGAGAGGCATTTGCTCGGAAGAGTCTTAGGACTCATTTCTTTGTTTCTTCTTGCAAAATTATTTCTTGGCCACGTGTCATTCATCCTCCTGGGAGGCTGGTCTGAACCACGTCAAACCACAACCTGACATTCGTAAAGTGTCCTTCATGTCGGGAGGACGTCCCAGAACACTTCACGTAGCTGATGAGATTCTGAGCTGAGGGGTGGGGCGGGTGTGTGTTTGTGTTTGTGTGTGGAGACTGAGGAGTTGTTGCTGAGTTTGCTTCTACTCTCTGTTCTACTCGGCTAGTCCCCCTGCTGCCCGCACTGTGTGTGTCCCTCCTGAGAGGGACGCTGCTTAATTGCGCTATGCTGATGGCTTCTGTTGTTTAATGTCTTCCACCTTCCCCCTCCCCCCTGGTCTTCCCTACACTGGCTAATCGTTTTAGAAGTTATTTTTCGTTTTAATGAACACCCAGGTTGTGTTATTCAATCCGTGTGGGGCTGCGTAATGTATCGAAAGCAAAATGATTTCAGCAATGAGTGGGGGGGGGGGCAAGGGGGCACATTTTGTGGTTTTGTACTTCATTTAATGAAGCAACTCCTCAGAGCCCCAAACCCACCCACACACACTCACGCTCACACACACCAACACCAGCTTAGAATCCCATCAATTCTGTGAAGAGCTCTGAGACGTCCTCCCGACATGAAAGACATTACATGAATGTCAGGTTGTGGGTTCAAGCCCCACTTCAGGACTTGGAATCAGAGTCAAAGATAACGTTCCATATCAATGCTGCGGGTGGGGAGGGGGGTGTTGCATTGTCAGAGGTTCCGTTCTTTGGATGAGACATTAAACCGAAGTTCCCATCTGCCTACGCCACTATTTGAAAAGAGAAGGGAGGTTCTCCCCGGTGTCCTGGACAACAATCCCCCAAATAAAATCATTAATTCACTTGATGGCTGTTTGGGGGACATTGCTGTGTGCAAATTGGCTATCGAATTGGCCCATTAGTACAGTCACCGCACTTCACTGTAAATCTCGTGAATCGCTTTGGAACGTCCTCCTGACCTGAAAGGCGGGCGTCATATACCAAATACAAGGTTGATTATTATTATTATTCTGATGATGATAGATTGTTGTTGCAGTGCCTTGCTTGACCTTACTATCACTAATGTACTGTCGAGTGGTCAGCTGCATGTTTTAACAGCTGTATGCTCCCCTTGCTCCGCAGTCCCTCTTAAACGTTCTGGAAATTCCTAAGGGTCGGACCGCGTTCAGAACAGCTGGAGGATTCAACGCATTGCAGACTGTGTTGGCTGACATGGAAGGAGCTTTGCATGACCCTCCATTAGGCAATTGGGCCACAGTGGAGCAGGACAACATATGGGGCCTTGTGCACTTAACCCTCTGCACCCTGGCTGCTGCCATGCACTCTGACCCGGTCAACGGCTACTTCTTCGCAACCCAGGGTCAGTTCGGCAAAATGACAGATGACCTGCGGGTTCTTGGTTGCTTTGGCAATGCCCGGGGAGGGTGGGGGAGCACCGCGGAGGCGAGCGAGGGCAGGAAGCTGGGGGAGCTGCTGAGGGCAGCCTGTAGCTCGTCAAGTGAAATGCCGCCAACGTTGAGGAGCTGCGTTAAAATGTACGACCTCCTGGACAGAATGGCCAAAGGCACCCTGAGCTACACCAGTTCTCACCGAAGCTCCAGGAAATCTTCTCACCCGAACCCCGCAGAACACTGTGGCCAGGAGAGGGAGTCTGGCCGACCAGAGTGGACCGATGATTTGCCTGGCGGCGAAGAGGAGACGGCAGCACAAACAGTTGTTGCCGATGCTGAAGACCGGTAGGTACCCACGACTCCTACAGCGCCCTGTGACTGCTCTCTGTGCTCTCTAGGCTAGCAAACGAGGCGCCACCTGTCGGATGAGACGTTAAACCGTGACTCCTTGTCATCGCACTAACTCTCACGCCTGCCATTGAACCTCCACTCACAGTCTCGGGTAGCACGGCCTTGTCGGAGACACTGTCCGTCGGATGAGCCGTTGAACCGAGCTCCCGTCTTGATATCTTTTCAGGCGGACGTCAAAGATCCCTTGGAGCTGCACGAAAAGAGCAGGGAGTCTCTGCCAACAGTTCCCCCAAATCAGATTTTGCATTTGCTTCGGATTTGTTTGTGGGACATTGCTGTGTGCAAATCAGCTGCTATGTTTGCCCACAAACACACAAGTCACCGACTTCATAGTCAATCCATTGAAGTGTCATGGTGTATGCTGTACTGCACAGCACCACACTGCACACAGTACTCCAGGTGCAGCCTGGTCACTGTGCAGTTTTACACAGCTTGTGAATTCCTGTTTGACCCACAAATATTTCTCTTTACCCTGTGTGAAGACGGGGGGAATGGTGGCTGCAGGTGGTGGGTGGGAGGTAGAGAGGGTGGCGAGCCACGGGACGACACTACATTATGGGATGTCTATTATGTTTTGAATTATTTGAGCCAAAATGTTCATCGGTCTTAGTATTAAGAGACTTGTTGATAATACACACTGTGCCACTCAGCGCTTATCACACCATCTTGTAAAATTGTTTTATGGTGTCTGGATACCCTTGTGGAAAAGACTTGAAGATAAGATAAACGCTTGCAACGATTCCATGTTGGGCAATTTACCTTTATTTTTATCCAGTTGGGTTCTTGAGGCTAATATTTATAATGAGTTGTTTTCCAATTGCAGTTTCCTAAGCAATAGAGGCTTAGCTTAACACAGGACTGGGGCCTTGTGTGTCTTTTAATCTTATATAAAAGAACACCTATAAATCTAGGGTGGGCATTGGCATGCGTATCCTTCACTGTCATGTTGATGATGTGTCAAACAATACACAGTATTTATACACGGACCTCTTCAATTTCAATTTGCACATGCGCGCTTGCATTTGTGTAATCTTGCGTATTTTGTCCTTTTTTTAATAAGTATATAATTCGTCATGAGAATAATAATATTCCTTACTTTGGTTATGGCGCCTTTCACGTTGGAAGGATGTGCCAAAGCATTTCACAGTAAAATGCAGTGACTGTGTGTTTTGTGGTTGAATGGGGCAGCCACTTTGCACACAGCAATGTCCCACAAACAGCAACAGAGTGAACAACCAATTTTATTTGGGGGATTGTTGGCATACCTGTGTGTATATTGTTATGTATGTGTATATGTGTATGCGTGTGTGTGTGCGTGTGTGTGTATGTAAGCAAGCATGTATGTACGTTTGTATCAATAAGTAAAACATCCCATTGCACTGTTTGAAAAGAAAATAAGTTTTTCCCAGTGTCCTGACCAACAATCCCCCAGATGTAATTGGGCATTCTCTCCGTGGTTAATTATTTGCCGCAGTCGCCTACAAAATACCTGGTTACTACACTTGACAGCAATCATTTGTGAAGCCCTTCTGGGATGTTTTGCTGTTAAAGGTGAGGTGTCTCCTGTGAGGATTATTATTATTATTTATTATTATTACATCCTGAATTTCACAGCGAGGGAACTGCTCTGTGTTTTCAAAGCTTTTGAATCCTCTTTCTCATTACTTTCCCACAATTACGGTGCCGTATATCCACTTTGAGACGCCACGTGACCAACACCTGAAGGAATTGCAGTGGTAGATGTGAAACTAGATTGAATTTGTGATGCAAGATATTCCATACACCAGGTTATTCACCCATAAATTAAAGGAAAGCTAATGATCTTATCTCCAATATAATAACTTAACCCTTGCAGATGTAATAAAACCCATTCACAACCCTGTGTCTTTCTTTAATGAAGGTTTGCTGCCGGACCTGTTATAATTCACCCAGGTGCTATTTGCGTCATGGTGGACATGCTGCCATATCTATACTGTGGAGGATGCCCTCAGGTACCTGTCATACGTTGGAGATGTTATAATGTGGTGTTTATCATTGCAACTTAAGCCTGAACACTTGTCTGAAACAGCAGACTTCATTGCCTTCCAAACGCGAATCAGCAAGCTATATAATCAAAGCCTATTAAACTCCAGTAGTTACCCCAAAGCACGCTCTGAGTTCCCCAAGCCTTGGTATTAATAACAATAATCCTTGTATTTGATACAGCGCCTTATCACGTCGTTGAGACGTCTCAAAGCGCTTCACGGAATATATTGTAAAGTGAATTGACTGTATTGTGTGAGTGAAACTCGGCAGCCAATTGCACACAGCAGTGTCTCACAAACAGTCATGGATTGAGTGACCAATTTTTTTTTTCGGAGAGATTATTACCCCCAAAAAGCGATCTGCCAATCGGCATACAACCAGGTTCCTACCTACAACTTGATAAACAGAAGCACATGGAGTAAGGAAAGGTACACCCGCCTGGGAATTAAATATTACTACGCCATAGAACAACAATAATAATAATAGCTCCTTATCGCGTCAGCACAATGTCTCAAAGCACTTCACAGGATATACTGTAAATTGGATTGACTGTATTTTGTGGGCGAAATCAGCAGCCAATTGCACACAGCAGTGTACTACAAACAGCCATGTCTAATTCCATCCCAACTCCTTCACGGCAATTTGCATAATTTTCACAGCAATGGCTCAGAGAAGCAACTTTAACTCGCACTTTCTCCCGGTGTCCTAGCCAACAATCACAGATAAAATTATCTGTTAGCTGAGCTGCAGTTTAGTACACAGTGTTACTGAGATAGTAACTGTGCCTCTAACCTCTGAAGCTCCCTTCCTTTCCTGCCTTAAAACCTACCTCTTCAACCACACTTATGGTCACTTCCTCTCCACTCCCCCCACCACCTCACTGTCCAATCCCTTTACTGAAAAGAACTGAGCATCTGACTGTAAAGCACAAAACGTCTCTTGACATGTTATCCTATGTGAAGGGCGCAGCCTTTGTCAGAGAGGGATTAAATAATATATTTGCTTTGTTCCCCTTTGCCCCCCCTGTGTTCCCCTTTTCCCCCTTTCCCTCTGCAGCTGGTCTTGGAGTTCCAGTATGCTGTGGCCGATTACATCCAATCGCTGATACGATCAGACCAAAACCGTCAGGCCATGTGTGGGTCTGGGCTGCTGGATATCCTGGTGAATCGCTGTGAGGAAGCGCTGAGTGACAGCAACCATTCGGTGCACTTACCTCTCATACGGATATTTGAGAAGCTCACATCCCAGGCCATTCAACCATTAACACTCAGGTTTGTTGGCGGTAAATATGTGACCGTTTGTAAAGTCCTATGACGTAGTGGCTAGCGCGATCGACTCACAAGAGAGACGACTTGAGTTCGATTCCCAGGCGAAACTTTGGGCAAATTTCCACTCTCCACCCGCAAGTATTAGGCGCTGATTGGCAAAACCAAGGCTTAAGGACCCCAGAGTGTCCACCGGGATAATTGCTGGAGTCTAATCAGCTAAAACCTGCCATAGCTTCCCATTGAGAGCTAGGCGTTGTATCAAATGTAAGGATTATTGTCATTGAAGACTGTGGGCCAGTGCAATGCTTTTATTTTACATTGAGATCGCTTGTCTTCTTGACAGGCTGTTCCTGCGCCTTGGAGATCCACTGAATTGTGCCCATGGGAAAACCCAAATGCAGGGTTCGTCTCTAACCGCCCAATCTCTCGCTTCCAGTCATAAAACTGGTTCAAATGGTAAGTGAATACCTTATTATTAATGCTCTGCACCCGAGGTCACCGGTATACCTGGGCCCAATTTGTGTACCTTCGGGGTTTCTGAGCTCATGATTTACGTGGCATCAATAGAATCCATTCCAGTGTGTTTAGCTGCTTGCGACACAACTGAATTTCTCACCTGCTGTAACATTGGAGGTTTATTTTGTTGCCGGATCGGCATTCCCTGTTGAAAAGTGCCTACTTTGCATCTTGCTGGGAACAGGACCTTTTCTGTAATTTACTTCACAGCGTCTTATCTTTGCTGTTATTTCTCTTCCGCTTAATCATTGCTCTTGCTTGTGTTAAAGAACGGCAATGATTTAGGCAGCTGAGGGAAGGCCATTGGGGTAGTGGAGTGGGGTGAAAGCTTCTTAACACTGTCCGAAACAGGAACAAGCTGAAAGCAAACACATGCAAATTAGTACCCGTCAAAGTTGTTTGGTTTGCTAAAAATAAATACTGATTTATTTATTTTAGAAAACAAAATTGAGATGGTTGAAAGGTTTTTCTTTTTTGCTGGTCTGAATTTGAACTTGCTGCATGTTTCTTTTTGGCGAGTTATTGCACCATTTGAATCAAAATGTTTTTGCTGGTTTCATCCTGAGTAAAGAATTCAACTTCTGAATGTTAGTGACAAGTGGGAGTGAACATCCAGTGATCCTGAACAAATAACGATGGGTCTAATAATGTGAAGAGTGTTATATAAATGCATATTGTTCTCTGATGTAGTGTGACCCTTGTTATAGTATGGTACACAGGAGTAGTTTTTGATCAACCAGGTGTCTGACACATGCGGACCTTCAGTAGAGTGAGATATGCTGTTCCAGTTGTATTCAGTCGGCTTCTTACGCACGGTGCCCAGGCATAGCAGTGCTCAGCGTCCTCAGCCTCAATCCTGACAACTCCAGAAGCGTTGACAAGTGAACACTATAACGCAATCTTGACACACCATCCAAATGTACAGCGCCTTTCACAACAAGAGGGCTTATCAAAGAGTTTCCCACCATCTGCATGGCAAGAAGCACTGGGAGAGATGGGGAGCTGTACAGGGGTTGTTTGTGGGGGGTGTGGGCAGCTGGTGGGGAGGGAGGGCTAAAGATGACTGAAAGTGGAGGTAGAAAAAGTGCAAGGTGCTTCATCAAATACAATGATTCTTCTAGCCCGCTCCCCAGCACCGCTCCCATCTCGCACACATCTATTTTGTCCTTTCCTTTCCAGACACTGGGTTGAAGCAGGGGAGGTCTGGGAGCCGGAGGAACTCGCTGGTCATAAAGAACAGGCCCATGTCATGTTACAGTTTACTGCGAGCACCGAAACGTGTAGCAGTCCCACAGCACCGCATTGTCAGCCTGGTCTCCATGATGTCGTCTCGCAATTTCCAGCCGTGTGACCTCTCCATGGCTCCATCCTTCTCAGAGTTCGACATGTCCATTGAAGGCTACGGGTATGGATTCGGTTGTCAACCCCAGTGTCCCGACCAACAGAGCAGTTGATGCGGGGGCGAACGTGGGCAGGTGGAAACCAGGCCAATAACAACAAGGGATACGGGGAGAGAGGTTTAATATTAGGAAAAAGACTGAGGAGAAACAACAGCTACTTGCATTTGTACAATGTGTTTCATGTGGGATAGAACCTCAAAGTGCTTCACAGAATATAGTTAACTAGTAACTAAACAACTAAACACCCACATAGTTAATGAGGGTGTTTAGTTGTTTAGGGGGAGTTTTGCTGTCAGTTGATGCATTTTGTTTATATTCGATGCTGACATTTCCATCTTGCCTTTATGAATGGTTCACCTGCAAACTACCATGACACGTGGGTTAGAGAAAATTGTATTGTGATGGTATTGAATGGAGGGAGGGAGGGCGGTGTAATTCAGTTTGATCTGGGGAATGTTTTGCGATGTAGTTCATTGTTATTTCTACTCTCGCTTCTGAGTCAGAAGGTTCTGGGTTCGAGGCTCAGGGCTCAAGTGGAGACGTGCGCTAGGCAACACGCGTTGTGGAGTCCCATAGTGTAGTGTTTAGCGTGCTCGTCTCGTAAACGAGAGGACCGGGGTCCGATTCCCAGGAGGGGCCAAACCTTGGCCAAGTTTCCTTACTCCACACGCCTCTGTTTAACTCGCAGTAAGTAGGAACCCGGTTGTTAGTCAATTGGCGGATCGTTTTCCAGGTGGAATAATTCCTTCCCCCAAAATCAATTCGAATAGTTTGGCCACTCAATCCACGGCTGTTTGTGGGGAAACTGCTGTGCCACGTTTGAGCCCCAAAATACACAGGTCAATTTGCTTTTACAGTAATATTCCATGAGACTTCTCGACGACATGATCCAAACCTGCAGCGTCCTTCGAATAAGGCGCTACAGCAAACGCAAGGATGATTAAGATGATTATTATTATTACAAAATCACGCACAGTCCTGCGCTGTGGAGGACTCGCCCCCCCCAAGTCCTTGCATCAAGCAGCCAGTTGTGAAATGAGATGCAGGCTCATGACTGGTCGTTCCGATCCTGGCTCGCATTCAAGGGCTAACGGAGCCAGGGGTTGTAATTACAATTATGAGCTTCTGATGACTGGCGGGTGACCAGATGGTGCCTCCACAGGCGAAGGGAGATAAGAGATGATGGTAGTTCTCTGCCCCACACCCCGCACCCCCCCCCCATCACACCCGCCTGTCCCTCGCGCCTTCTCCAGCTGCAGTGGCGCAGCCCGAGCAGCAGTCTCGCCGGGGCTGGTTCGACAGCGTGCCGCTATCCATCAGATCCAAAGGGTAAAAAGAAAAACTTGTGTTTGTTCAGGGCTGGATCCTCTTTAAAGCCATCGGAAGTCATCGCAGTCGGGTCGGGAATCATTACTTCAGGCAAACGGGACTTTTGCACCCGCCAGGTCCCACAAACAGCTTTGAAGCGAATGGGCAATTCGTCTGGGGGACTGTTGGCCAGGACGCAGGGAGAAACTCCCTTCTCTTTCCGAACACGGGATTTTTAAACGTCAGATTTTTTTACAGCTCATTGCTGTAAACGCTCGGGAAGTTGGTTAGCAGATTTTCAGCTGGTACTAGTGCATAACACAGACACAATGCACGTTGGGCTGAATGGTCTACTTCTGTGCTGTAAAATTCGGCAGCTCTTGCACAATGCATCATAAGATCTCGAGTTCTGCTGCTGTTTTTGTTGAGTGTTAGTTTAGCGCTCTCAGTAAATAGGCTCATTGCCGCTTGTGGTCATGGGATTGCTGTAGTGAGTGACGAGAAAGTGAACGGAAATTACTCTACTCTGAGAAAAGAAAATGTTAAATTGCACGTTCAAGAATGTGAATGGTTTAAACTCAGACTTTGATTGTATTCCACCAGGTGCTGCTTCTTACCCACCGTGGCCACAGTCATCGGAATAAACGTGGAATCTCCGATAGTTGGCGGGATCGGGGCAGGTGAGATGTTAATGCCCGGGGCCAGGGGTTCTTCCCATTCAACTCCTGTTAATCCCGCAAGTCACAACACTTACGGGTAGGGTGATCTGAGCTGGACAAACACAAATTAGGAAGAGCTTGCATTTTCCTAGCACCAAATTGAGGAAAAATATCTCTAACTATTTCACAGTAATTGCTGTCAATTGTTTTGACTGTTCTTGTAAGTTAACCTTTCTACCGATTTAGTCAATTAGGTCCAAATGCAGGCTCGAGGCTAATGTCAAGTGATATTAATCTGAAGGACACCGAGAGAAACTCCTTTCTCTTTTCAAATAGTGTTAACACTTGAAGAATAGGCAGACAGAACCTTACCCTAATCCTTGGATTGGGTACAGCGCCTTTCACGTTAGCAAGTCGTCACAAAGCGCTTCACAGGATATCCTGTAAAATGCAGTGACTGTAATTACGGAGACAAATACAGCAGCCAAAAGAACACAGCAATGTCCCGCAAACAGTCATGAAGTGAACAACCGATTTTATCTGGGGATCGTTGACCAAGCCACCAGGAGAGACTCTCTTCTGTTTTTGAATAGTGCCGTGGAGTCCTTAACATCCGCACGAATAGGCAAATGGGGCCTCGGTTCATCTCAAAGACAGATCCTCTGACAAGCAGCGCACCATGGCGCTGCACTGGAGCGCTGGCCTGAATTATAAGTCCCAGCTTGAGGCTTGATGAACTACACGGCACTATTCGGAAACAGAAGGGAGTTTTCCCGGTGTCCTGACCAACAGCACAGTGCCCCCGTTGGATTTTCGTCCACTCAGCTGCCGTTTGTGTTTTGTCTGCAGGCTGTCGGCCCTTTCCACCACCTGGCGGCTTCACTTACTCCATATGGTTTCTCGTCAACAAGTTCAGTTCTGCTTTCGACGCTCACCCCATTCGCTGCTTGACGATCATCCGCCATATGTCCAAAATGGAAAAGGACTTCATTTGCCTGTCTATCAGCATTTCAGCCACAGACAATTCCCTGGTTATTTCCACACAGGAGGAGGTCTTTGAACCCTTGGGTACAATAATAATTATCAATAAGTATTAATAATAATTAATAACAATTACTAAATAAGAAATCCTAATAGTAAATGATTACTAATAATTAATGATAATAATTAGTTTTGCATGTTATTAATAGTATTAATCCTTATGTTTGATACGGCGCCTCTAGCGTCAGGTGGATATTTCAAAGCGCCTCACAGCATACACTGTAAAGTGTAGTGACTGTAGATTTTGTGGGTGAGTGCGGCAGCAGATTTGCAAACAGCAATGTCCTGCAAGCTGTCATGACGTGAATTACCAATTTTATCCGGTCAGGGAGAAACTACCCTTTTCGGATAGTGCCATGGGGAACTTTAACATCCACCTGAAGTGGCAGACTGGATCTCGGTTTAAACGTCTCATCCGAAGGGCGGCATCAAAGTCCTGACGCGGAGCTTGATCCCTCTCGAACCTTTTGACTCAGAGGCGAGGGTGTCACCAACCTTTTCTCTTTCCCTCTCCCTCTTGTACACCCTTTTAGATTGGAATGACCCAGAGAGGCTGCAGGTGTCTTCCGCACTGACCACTGTTGAATTCAAGTGTTCCAAGTACCTCCTTGTTGGACAGTGGCATCACTTAGCCGTGGCTGTGGGCAAAGACCCACGAAAGAACAGCAATGTGATTGCATACTTGAATGGAAAAGCCCTAGGGACAGCCAAGGTACAGCTTGTTTTCTCAACGTCCTTTTGATGTTATATTGTTTCAGACAGAGATACCTAAAGGCTAAACGTCAGATAAAATAATTCAAGAGTGTGCATTTTATTCCAACAATCTACCTCTGGGATTTCCATCCGTAGGTGGGATGCATGGAATCCTCGGTTTGGTTTGGATACTCTTAAGCACGGTGATGGGTTTCCGCATGTGTCAAGACACCTGGCTGACCAAAAAAATATATAATAAGTGACAGCTTTTTGATGGCAAATACGGCTGCTAATTTACATAGATCAATATCCCACGAAGAGCTATGAAGTGATTGACTGATTTTATCTAATAATAATCCCTCCAAAAACCAAAAACAATAGTAAATTGGTCATTTTCAATCTACGATTGTTTGTGGGACATTGCTGTGCGCAATTGGCTGCCGCGTTCGCCCACAAATATACAGTCAATTCACTTTACAGTGTGTTCTGTGAAGCGCTTTGGGACGTCCTCCTGACGTGAAAAGTGCAATATCAAATACAAGGATTATTATTATTATCTGTGGGATTGTTGGCCTCGGACACCGGGAGAAACTCCTTTCTCTTTTCAATAAATGCCATGGGATTATTATGGCCAGGTTAAATCTAGACCCAGTTAAAATTTCTACCCAAATAATACTGATGTGAGCATGCCTTAGGTAATACGGTTGTGGCATTGGAGAGGTGGAAATGCAGTATGTTTGCGTGTGAGATCAAGAGTTATTCAAAGTCATTCTGCTTTGCCATTGCCAGATGCAGTACATTCAGACTTTTCCGGGATGCAGCCTGTCAATGGATCCATCCACAGTCATCGATATCCATGGGGTTGTTGGCACCCCTCAGATTTGGAAGCAAAGGTCCTCTCTGGTTTGGCGTCTGGGTCCCACTCACTTGCTCGAAGAAGTTATCTCCCCGGAAAATGTTGAAATGGTTCATCGCTTAGGACCAGATTATTTAGGAAACTTTCAGTCTGTATTAATGCCTGGTATGTCCTTGATCTCACTCCTGTGCAACCTACAAACCGAGGCCCTCACAATTTGGGCGGCCTTTTCTGAACTAGCAGTGGGAAGCTCACCTGGGTCCTTAATATCAAGCTTTAAAAGTGAGGGATCGAGTTTAAAATCCTCGTCCTCACTTATAAAGCCCTCCAAAACCTTGCTCCTCCCTACCTCTGCGACCCTAATAACACCAGACCAACCTGCCCGCTTCTTCCACTTGGGCAGGCACTGGCCTGCTTCATGTCATGCCCGTCACACCATTGGCAGTGGGGCCTTCAGCTTCTCTGCCCCCGCTCTCTGGAACTCTATCCTGGAACCCCTCATCCCTCGCCTCCTTCAAGGCCTATCTCAAGACCTTTCCTCTTTGATGGTCCTTTTGGGCAGCCTCCCACCCTCCTACCCTCCAGCCCTTTTGATTTCAATCCCCAGCTCAGGTGCAGACGCTTAATTGTTCAGTGCCTTGGGACGTCCTTCCGACGTGAAAAGCGCAATTTGTTGTTGTCGGTAAACTCCAGCGGTACCATCATCAAACACTCTTGGGGAGGGGGTCCCTCAAGCCTTGGCTCCTGCAAACATGCACTATTAGGTAATCTGGGATTGTATAAAAAGGGTGTGTCCTTCAGGGGAGCGAGTCCATACCTGCATGCGGACTTTTGTTCTGGTTCAGACACTCTTAATCGCAGTGATGGGTTTCCACACCCGTCGGACACCCGTTCGATCAATAATAAAATCCACACACAACCGAACTGAAATTCAAGTCGATACCGGCAACTCCAACCTTCTCATTCTGCGCTCGTTCCTTTCTCTCTCACGTTCCAGATGACGGCGCGACTGGAGAACCGGTGCCTGTGACTGTTGTGGCAGAAGAAAAAGTTTCCTTCGGAATCAACGCAGTGTCATCAGTGGTAATGACCGTAATGGACATCAGGGACAATTACAATGAAGTCGATAGCCGGTTGATATCCAGTGAGGTGCGTTCACAGTGCGATTTGGCACTTCAGGACAGTTCGAGGTTGGAGGTGTGATTTTTGAGTTGAGACTTTAAAGCCTAGGTCCCGTCTGTCTGTCCAATCAAAGATCCCATGGCACTAATTGAAAAGAGAAGGGAGTTTCTCCACGGTGTCCAGGCCAGCGGTCCTCCACATAAATTGGTCATTCACCTTACTGGTGGTTGTGGGATCTTGCTGTAAGCAAATGTTTGCCCCGTTTGCTTACAAAGCGCTTGCCTCCAATTGTATTTACCCGCAAAGCAGGTTTTGATGTGATGAAGTGCTATAACTGGAGAAAACTGTATTAATATGATAGAATAATCCTTGCGTTTGATGCGTTTCACATCAGGAGGACGTCTCAAAGCACATAACCTTTACTGTGAATACTGCAGGCAATTTGCGCAATGTGCTGCAAACAGCCGTGGTGTGAATGATCAGTTGTTGGCCACCGGGAGAAACTCCCTTGTCTTTTCGAATTATTATCTTTAACATCCACCTGAACAGTCACAGACAGGAACTCGGTTTAACATCTCAACCGAAACACAGCAGCTCCGGCAATGCATCGTTCCTCCAGCGCTGTACTGGAGCATCAGCCAAGACAATTCCTGAAATCTGTTTCCCGTAACCCCTTGCCCCTGCGCTTCTGATTTGGGAGCAAAAGTGTTTTCTCCCACAGGACGTTAGTTCCTTTATTTTTGAACCTTCTCTCTTCTGGAATCTTCTCCTGTAATATACTCCTATTTAGAAATCCCTTTCCCAAGCTAATATGGATTCTGCTTCGATCACCACTCCTGATAGCGAATTCCATACGCTAACTACTCTGCGGGTGAAAAAAGATCCTTCTAATCTCCCCGCATTGCCTCATTTGCCTGCTGTCTTAAATCGATGCCCTCTGGTCACTGACTCACTGACCAGTGGAAATAATTTCTCCCTATTGACTTGCGTTAAGTTTTTTTTTCCCCTTTCTCTCCAATTTTCACTGCAGTTGGGAATTTCTTCTCGAGACAACGCGATGCCCATTATTCTGGCCAAAAACACTGCGAGCCACCTCGCCGGGCCATCCCGAACAATCGGGGCTACCTTTGCCGGCTTTGGTAAGCAACTTTGAATTGCAGAATCCTTGTTTTGATGCCGGCGTAGAAGGGTAACAGTAAGAAAACAATAATAATCCTTGTGTTTGACATAGCGCAATCGACTAACAAGCCGGTTGTTAGTCGATTGGCAGATCGCTTTCCGGGACTAATAATCCCTCCAAAAAATAAAATAAAAAATGTGGTCACTCAATTCACGACTGTTGGTGGGACATTGCTGTGCGCAATTGGCTGCTGTGTTTTGCCTACAAAGCATACAGTCAACACCACTTCACAATATATTGTGTGAAGCCCTTTGAGATGCCTCAACGACGTGATAAGGCGCTATAATCAAATCCAAGGATTATTATTAACTGCCTGCTGCATTCACCTACAAAATACACAGTCACTACATGTTACAGCGAGTCCTGCGAAAGCTCTTTGAGTTAGCCTCCCGGCATGACAGGCACTAAATCAAATGCAAGAATTATCATTCTAAAACAGTGCACGGTTATCGTTCGTGGACGTGGCTTGTTACGCCCTTGGTAGACAAGGGTTGTGCGGAGGGGGAGCGAGAGAAGGGAGGGAGGGGAAGGTGGGGGGGAGGGTGTGTTATGTAAATGGTCTGAACATATCCTGATTTAGTTTTTAAATGCCTCCTGCGATGGTAAATATCTGTTGGCTATGGAGGTTGTGCCGGGGAAATGTCAGAACTAAATTGTTGCTCTGGCTCGGCGCTCCTTGCCATAAACATCAAAAACCAATACACAAGATTACGGAGCGGTTCGGAGCGGGAGCTTGGCTGACGGTTTGCCGAGAGCTGGTGGAGATTGATAAGGGAATAGCTTGCACTATATCGTCGTTATTTATTTGATTGCCTCCATTTGTCCTCGGAAATTGTTCCCTTTATCTTTTGAATGCAACGACAACCCCAAGTCCTGTCTGCCCTGTACGGCTGCCTGGAGATGTGAGCTATCCCTCGACACTCGAGTTAATGAGTAGACCTGCTAAGGCTGAGGTCTTGGACAAATTGCCCTGACTAATTTCTGTGTTATTGTTATTCGCCCCCTACTGTGACAACATTCTGTTATAAACAAGTCATCAAGACCCTTTTAGGCCTTTCTGGGGAAGTATTTTGAGCAAGTCTTATTTTCCTTTTTCTCTCTCTCTCTCTCTCACGCGCGTTGTGACAGTTTTGCCCGAATTCCGTGGCTTTCGCATCTGCTTCCCGTCCACCCGGCCTTATCTGCCTTCCAGTCAGCGGGCGAGCTTTCAGTCATTTTCGCCCCCCCCCCCCCACCCCGCCTTCCGAAACACCATCCCGGAATCCCTCCGACACGATCCCTCCCTCTCTTCTTTCAACGCAGCTCTTCGACCGCCCTTACAGTCATCGTTTCCGCTCCCCACCCACCTTGGTTCCCACCCCCAGCTCAGGTGCCCATCCAGCAATCCTTGCATTTTGATATAGCGTCTTATCACGTCTTCTAGACGTCTCAAAGTGCTTCACAGAATATGCTGTTACGTGAATTGACTGTATATTTGTGGGGGAAATACGGCAGCTGATTGCACACAGCGGCGTCCCACAAACAGCTGTAGATTGAGTGACCAAATTGTTGTTGCTTTTTTTTTTCTTGAGGGTTTATTATTAGGCGTGCGGAGTAAGGAAACTTGCCCAAGGTTTCCTCCCTGCTGGGAATCGGAACCCAGGTCTCTCGCTTGCAAACCACTGAGCTACAGTCATACAGTAAATACAGCCACAATCTGACGAAATTGAACAACAATTTATACTAATATACCTTTCACAAAGGGAGAGCGTCTCAAGATGGGAAATGGGGCGAGGTAGGGTAGGAGGGAGTTGACCGAAGGCACGTTTAAAGACGATTTGAAAAGAAAAGAAAGTTTCTCCCTGTGTTATCCTGGCTGACAATGCCCCCCCCCCCCCCAAATCAAGTTGGTCATTCACTTTTTCTCTGTGGGGACATTGCCTTGTGCAAATTAGCTGCTGCCCCATTGACAGCAATTTTCAAGCACATTGATAGATTAATAATAAAAAAACCCTTGCATTTGATTATCTGCCTTATCACGTCGCCAAAACATCTCGAAGCTTTTTCCGGGGCCTTACTCTAAAGTGTAAACAGCCATGAAGTCAATTTGACCAAGGCACCGAGAGCAGAACTCCCTTCTCTTTTTGTACAGTGTCACAGGATCTTTAACGTCCACCTGAACAAGCAGACTATGAACCAATATTGCAGTTTATGGGGCACTCCCTCTCTCTCTCTATATATATATATGTAACTGTTTCTTTGTCTCGTGCTGAGACTCTTAAGCGCGGCGATGAGTTTCTCCGTGTGTCAGATACACACAGCAAAAAAGAGGCTGCGATTTCTCTTGCAGGAGTAAGGAGGTTTGAGTCGAACCCGGCTGCCAACTGTTTGCAGTTTGTCGGAGGTCCTGCTGTGATCCTGAGCCTTGTTGCTATGGCATCTGATGACCATGAAATGTACGCAGCTGTTAAGGTCCTGGTTTCAGCCCTGAGTACCAGCATACTGTGCCAACAAGAGATGCAGCGCATTAAAGGATACAGGGTAAAACTACCCCTTTAACACGGTTCGGAATATATGTACATTCTGGGGGACGGAGGATGAATCTTAACTCTGCAAAGAGTGGGACACTGTTGTGCGCAATTGGCTGCCGCGTTTCGCCCACAAAATATACAGTCAGTTCACTTTACAGTATATTCTGTGAAGCGCTTTGATACGTTTCAAAGACGTGATAAGGCAGTATATCAAATGCAACGATTATTATAGTTTGGGGAGAGTGAATTTATTTTAAATTTAACACACGTTAAATATTCCTAAAATCCAATAGTGCTCTCATGCCCTTAGCACTTCGGCAGGTAATTGGGGGGGGGGAAATTTCGACCAGCCTTATACCTAACTCCCTGGGCAGCCCCTGACTATAACATGGGGCGGAATCCCATTGAAGACCAACACTGGGAAAATGCTAAGTAGAATTTCTAACCCCGTTGCTTTACCCTCCAATTCTGTCCTAAGCTGAAAGATGGCTTTCTTAAAGCGGACAGAGATTATAAAATAAAAAATCTGCCAAAGGCAAGACTGATTTTAACAATTTTCATAACAAAAGGCCAGGTTGGTACCACTCTCGCCTCTGATTCATAAGGTTGTGGGTTCAAGTTCCACGTAAGGGCTTTGAGCTCACAGTCCAGTCTGCGATGCATTATTGGGAGGAGCGCTGCATTGTTGGAGATGTTAAATCAAAGACCTTTCTCCGTGACAGTGCCTATAGTCACCTCTCTCCCCAGCTCAGGGTCAAGCTCCACCATTGTTAAGCACTCCGAGATGCTGCCTGCTTGAATTGCGTGATACAAATGCAAGTTGTTTTTGTTGTTGTCCCGCCCAACAATCCACCAGATAAAATCAGTCATTTACTTCATGGCTTGGCATTCGACATAGTCCTTTTACATCGTTAAGATGTCTCAAAGCGCTTCACAGGATATACTGTAAAGTGAATTGACTGTATATTTTTGTGAGTGAAACGCAGAAGCCAGTTATGCACAGCAATATCCCACAAATAAGCAGACGGGCCTCAGTTTAACGTCTTATCTGACAGTGTAACATACCCTCAGCACTACATTGGAGTGTCAATTTAGACTACATGATTCCAAGTCCCAACCTGGGGCTTGAACCCACGTAGAAAGCAGGTGTTGGATTTCCACATGTGTCAGACACCCACCTGACCACTCACCTGAATGGTCTGATTAGGGTTAACGTCCTGTCTTGGGGGTAAAATAACTCAAACCCATTTCTTCACGTCCGTCCAGCTTCTCGCTCACCTGCTGAGGAGGAAGGCCCATTTTCTAAACGCCCGGATCTTTCAGCTCATCTTGACTGTGGTCGGAACCATAGAGTTAGGCCACGAGACATCCAAAATCCAGAACTGCGACGCCTTCAGAGATCTCCTATGTGATTTCGAGGTACAGAAATTTGCAACTTATTCCAAGACGTTGGTTCAATACAGTTTACACTTACACAATGCATTTCACGTCGGGAGGACACCTCAAAGCGCTTGACACCGCCGGTTGGGCAGTTGAGCCGGAGGTGAAAGCTAAAAGGGGAGGGAGGGGAGTGGGAAAAGATAACTGAAGATGCGGGTGAAGAGGTATGTGTCTCTTTCTCTCTCTAGATTTGGCTGAATGCTCCAGAAAGACTGGATTTACTTCTGTTCAGACACTTTGTGGACCTTCTGCAGTGCAGGTACTGACACCTTTCCCAGAACTCGCTGAATCCTGAGCTCACCTCATGACTCTCTGGCTAAAGACATTGCCCTGCTCAGCAATAGGCTATATAAGGTCGCAGGATGGATACCTGTCAGTGCTGAAGTAGACAGCAAGACAGCAGAACAGGAGAACGCAGGTTTAGGGTTGCAAAGCGCAATTTCAGTTTGGAAGGAAGTCACAAAATACACAGTCACTACGCTTTAAGGATATTTGAGACATCTCGATAACATTATCAGGCTCTATATCAAATGCAAGGATTATTATGTAATATATTTATGATGCAATGGGTAATTAATGCCTAGAACAGGCTGCTGGGAAGAGTGGTTGAGGTCAGCACACTGGACTCATTTTAAAAAAAGAAAAGAACAACTGTGCTCTTTTACATGGAAAATAACTTTTGGAGAAAAGTGGGGTGTGGGTGGGGGGAAGATTCCTGGTGCGCCCAGATAGAAAAACGAGTCAAAAGACTTCAAGAGAGGAAATGAACAAGATGCAACAACTCACGAAAAAGTGAGGAGCATTAGGTGATACAGTGGATGTGGAGTCCTGTAGTGTGGTGGTCAGTTTGCTCGCCTCGCAAGCAAGAAGACCTGGGTTCGATTCGCGGGCAGGGTGAAACCTTAGGCAAGTTTCCTTCCTCCCCCCGCCTCTGTTTACCCCAGCAGTAAGTAGAAAGCCGGTTGTTAGTTGATTGGTAATTCGCTTTCCGGTGGTAAAAAAAAATCCCTCCTCCCAAAATTATTATCATTAGACTTTACAACTATTTATTATTCAGGGAAGAAGGATAACGTGAGTGACTGACTGATTTATTACATACCTCTATATAATGTATGCAAATGACGTTAAGTTGTTTGTTGTTTGTTTTCAAATCTATTAAGCCCTGCGTGTGAAATTATTGCTGCTTGTTTGTCATTTCAAAGCACTTTATAAATCATTGAGACACTCACCGACCAATTGGGAGTAACTCAGCTGAGCGAGGAGTCCAGATCAAATCAGTTTAAGGTTTCCCCGGGCTACGTGCTCGAAGCCTTTGTGATCTGACACCACGAGAGTCTGTCAGAACCGCTGGTATCCGAATGATGTATATAAATCCTTCCGCGCCCTAGCACCTACATACCTCTCTGATCTGCTCGTTCCCCACTCCTCTGCTCGCCCCCTCTGCTCAGCTAACTCAGACCTGTTGCACGTTACCCCACCCATGCTCCACCATCGGTGGCCGAGCCTCACAATACTACTCACTCCCTGCCTCTCTCCTCCACATCAACCCCCTCTCCAACTGGCCGTAATCTTAAATCCACCTTAAAACCTACGACTTTCACTATGCGCCTATGATCACCTCCCCCTTCTCCCTTGCTCGGCCTCTGACCCCCACCACTATGAAGTGCCCCAAGATATTGTCTTTATATTGTCCTTATAAAGGCGTTATCTAAATGTTGTTGCTGTTGCATGGCTCTCCCAGGAACAGTGGTGCCAATGCCAAGGTCATGCACAGGCTGAAGTTGGCACCGAAACTCATCTTCCTCCTGAACGACCCACTGATAACCAGGTCAAAGGTTGACGTCATATGCACCATCCTAACCAATTTGCTGAAGGGTTACTTGAACACGACAGATATTCTCAGGTAGACCACTCCTTTCTTATTTATTCACAAGCAGCAAAGGGCAGGCAGAATATGGGGGATGTGAAATTCCGTGCAAGACTTAAATGGGGCGTCCCTTTGTACCCAATCGTGTGGCTTTATATGTATAATGTGGAATGATATCAGCCATCCAGGTGTGAGCTCAGCTACTTGGTAGCACTCTCGCCTCTGAGTCAGGAGGCTGTGGGTTCAAGCCCCACATCAGGACTTTGAACTCATGCAGTCTAGTCTGATCCTCCAAAGCATTGTCGGAGGTGCCATCCTTTGGATGAGATGTTAACTCAAGGCCCGCCCGGCTGTTTCTTCAGGTGGACATTAAAGATCCAATGGCACTATTCGAAAAGACAAATGAAATTGGGCACGCATTTCATGGCTATTTGCGGGACATTACTTTGCGCAAATTGGATGCCGGGTTCGCCTGCAAAATGCAGTCACCACGCTTTCCCGCAATCCTGTGAAACACTTTGAAACGTCCTCCTGGCGTGAAACGTGCTTTGTCAGGTGCAGAGATTATTATCATCCTTATAAATTGCCGGCACGATTCCCACAAAGGCAGATACCAAAGGAAAGGACAACTCAATTTCCTGGCTGCCAGATAAAACAACTGACTTAAATTGTAATGAAACATTATGGTGTAATTAGAGACATGTTTGAAGGTTAATCACTGCTGAAATATTTAATATTCTCTGTTGAAGGATTGGATTATTCCTTGCTTACACCTTGCCTCCAGCTTCCATGAATGAAAAATTAATTTCACTGGAAAGGATTTCTGATACCTCAATAGACGGTGAGACTTCTCCCCCCTCACACACACACACACACTCCACTATCTTGTTCACTTAAAGCAATTATACTGCAAATCCATGCACATTGCACCTAACTGCAAACACTCAACTTGATGTATTTCTCCTTTCTATCTCCATGATATCAAGTTATAAATCAGGTGTCAGGAAGAGCGATATGGTTAAGGAACAAGTTGCTCAAGGTGCTGTTTGATATCGTACCATCAGATCCTCTCAGTTCAAAGTAAGTTATTCCGACAGTCATGTTAAACGGCGGATTTGGGTTTTTAAAAAAATGTATTAATAAAAAGCTAAACCTCTGTTGTTCTGTGTTTTTTTTTTATTTCCTGTTCTGTCAGAGATCAGGAAAATCTGTTTTTGTCTCTGGGATCAGACTGGTTCCTGCTGTTTCTACAAGTCAACCTTCACCCTGCCACTGTCATCCTGGGCTCCAAACTACTGCTCCACTTTCTCTGCAATCCAGCACTGTTAGCCAAGTTCAGAGACAGCATGGCAGCCAATGCTTGGCTGGAAAACAGTGCAGCCGAATGCAACGTTTTAATGGGTGAGTATTACTGCATATAGTCCTGCGAGAGGACCCAGGTTCAATTCCCGGGCAGGGCAAAACCTTAGGCAAATTTTCTTACTCCAAACGCCTCTGTTTACCTCGTAGCAAATAGGAACACGGTTGTTAGTTGATTGGGGGAATCGCTTTTCCAGGGCTAATAATCCCTTCTAAAATAATAATAATAATTTGTCACTCAATCCATGATTGTTCGTGAGACACTGCTATGTGCAATTAGCTGCCGCGTTTCGCCCACAAAATATGACAGTGAAGTGCTTTGAGGCGGCTCAACTATGTGATAAGGCGCTATATCAAAAGCAAGGAATTATTATAAGGAACTATTATATAACACCCGCAACTTTTTTTCCAACCTAAGGCATGGAGGGAGAGAGAACCACAACAAATTGCATTTATATTATGCCTTTCACATTTACCCTGTTTGCTCCACGCTGATTTATGTATAACAACAACAACAATAAATAATTGTATTATTAGAGGACGTCTCAAAGTGCTTCATTGGATTTGTGGCTGAAGTGTAGTGACTGTGCATTTTATGGGAGAACGCGGCAGGTAATTTGCGTACAGCATGGTCCCACAAGCAGCCGTGAAGCAAATGACCAATTGTTGGGGGATTGTCAGTCAGGACACAATATCCCAAGATTACACAAGATCATAAGATTGGTTTTGATTAATTATTGAAGATTAACTACTATTATTTAATGGTGCCGAACATGTATTTAATATTAATATAATTTAATATTACCGTTTGTGTTTAATACTTATTATTATTTAATATTTGATACTATTTAATACACATTATTCAGTGTTACTTATGAGTTTTTTTTAAGGTTTGACTCAGAATTCAGGAAATAATGTGACGTGATGCTGAAAATAAACGTTTCGTCCTTTGCTGTGTGATAACAGATAATTTAAAATCGAGGCCACAGGCTCCCAGCCAGAGCTCGGGTTTGATCCCTGGATTGGAAATGGTGCAGATGTTTCTGAGCCATCACATCGATATACCCTGTCTCTATGCGCTGCTCGCAGCTCTCTTCTTACGCAAGTCCCTTGACGAAGTGCCAGTGGACTCTAAGGTAAATAATAATCCTTGCATTTGATACAGCGCCTTATCACAAAGCACTTCACGGAATATACTGTACAGTGGTTTGACTGTTCATTTTATGGGTGAAGGTGGCAGGCAGTTGCACACAGCAAAGTCCCACAAGTGAGTGACCAATTTTATCTGGGGGATTGTTGGCCAGGACACCGGGAGAAACTCCCTTCTCTTGTCGAATAGGGCCATGGAATCTTTAGCGTCCTCTGTTTAACGTCTTAACCAAAGGACGGCACCTCCGACAAATCCACCCACCCACCCGGAGTTCTGCTTTGTAGAGTCAGCTTAAGACTGTGAGTTCAAGTCCCGACGTGGGATTTGAACCCATAACCTTCTGACTCAGAGGTGAGAGTGTTACCACTGAGCCAGACTTTTACATGGTGGGGGTGGGGGGGGGAGGAGGGGAGGTGGGGGGAACATAGATCCAGGAGATGAAGAGGATGTAGGAGGGAGCGGCAGCTTTGAGCGGCCTCTGCCTGCAGCCCCCTTCGTCTCAAAATGGAAGCACACTTTGAATTGTGGATTCTATTTGTTAAATTCAAGACGGTACAATTTGCATTTATACGGCACATTTCACGTCGGGAGGATGCCTCAAAGCACTTTACAGTGCTGGACAGGCACCGAGCTGGAAAGTGGGAGCCGAGGTTGGGGGGGGGGGTGGGGAAGGGGGAAAGATGACTGAATGCGCAGTGGAAGAAGTACGTTTTGAGAAATTCGGTCTTTGTTTAGAAGGCGTTTTTTTTTTCAAGAACTGGGGGGGAAAAGCAGCCGCCCGTATCAGGCTGAGTTTAAGAGTTTTGCCCAGCTCTGTTGCGAGATCTCACATTTTTTTAAGACGAGGCAGACTAACTCTAGGTGGAAGAGGTACCGTCAGCAGAACCTGGTCGCTGGAGGACATCAATGTAAAGAGATGTCAACCAGGTGAAAAAGCAGCCCTGCTGACAGCTGGAAGTACTGCTGAGGGGACTAATTGCTCAGTAGGATGTACAAATAGCAGAACAATAGCATTTCATTCACAGCAGGGTGCAACAAGGTTACAGCGGTTGATGCATAATTGCTCAGTTAGTATGTAGAATATGAAGAAACTGAGATGAAACCATTGGAACAGGATGTAATTGTAATCCAAACAACGTTCCCATCTCATCACAGCGCACTGCACTCGCCAACGTTACATCAAGCACAAGGGAGATAAAGTGGGGCTGCACACATGCTAGCAAAGAGTTGACAGTGTTAGCTGATGTACATTTTGGTCTGGTCTGATACTGCCTGCGTTGTACAGAACATACTTCTGGCCACTCTCTGTTAGTGAGTGACGTACGGGAACCAGCCAGAGTGATGAGAGATTCTTTAATGTTCAATACTACCCAGTTATGTTGGGCTTTGCTTACTGCTCAGTGCTGTCTGTGAATTGATGGGATTTCTCAGGGGATGGAAGGGTGCTATTCAATAATAATAACTAATGTACAATATAGCGCCTTTCACATGGGGAGGACGTCTCAAAGAACTTCACAGGATACCCTGTAACGTGTAGACAAATGTGGCAGCCAATTTGTACACAGCAGTGTTCCACAAATAGCCCAATAAGTGAACGAACAATTGTATTTGGGGGATTACTGACCAGGACACCGGGAGGAAGTCCTTTTCCTTCTTGTGTAGTGCCATTGGGCAAACAGACAGGATCTCGGTTTAATGCCTCATCCGACAATGCAGCTCTCCTCCAATACTGTATTGGAGTGTCAGCTTCGACCATGTGAGTTCAAAGTCCCTGACCTTCTGACTCAGAGGTGAGAGCGCTCCCAACTGAGCTTGGCTGACATCTAGGAGCAGATGGGTACTGTCTGGGAATGGATGGGTGTAATTTGTGAACAGATAGGAGCTAGCTGGGAATGGCTGGGTGAAACAGGAACATAGGAACAGGACTAGGCCATTAGGCCCCACGAGCCTGTTCCACCATTCTATTAAATCATGGCTAATCTGTACCTCAACTCCATTTACTTTGCTTTGCTCCATATCCTTTGATACCCTTACCTAATAAAAATCTACTCACCTGTGACCAGGTGGGCGGTAGCTGGGAATGGATGGGTGCTTTAACATGCTTTGAATGTTCTTCCCAGTCCAGCCTAAAAGCGATGTTGACCGAACTGATGGAGAGCGCCAGGTTGGGCAAACACGAGGGCCCTGTGACCAGCCAGGCTCAGGCAGGCCTGTGCATAGAAGCAGCCTTGGTCCTGCTGGCGATGGTGAGGACCATCTTAAGCGAGGTGAGTGAGCTCAAGCACAGGGTCGTGGTTGGAATCTGTATCAGTGACCAGCAAGGCCACGAGGCATTCTCCTACATTTCCCCATAACTCATTTCAAGGGGCGGGTGACCTATACGCATATCTCGTAAGCAGCTGGTTCCCTCCAGCCTGTCTCCCGGCTTTTATTACATGAGCCGTTGTTTCCCAGTGTGTTAAGTTCCCACCCAGTGTACCACTGCTTAAAGTGTAAGGTTTTCGCAACAGGGGAACAAACAGGAGAGTGGAATACAATAATTATTAAGTATACGTTCAGTACAGGATTTGTCTACTTTCCCTGCGGCTCACCTCAGTAGTTACACGGGTAACGAGATCAGAAAGCTGAGTACCAAAATGCTTTTAAGTAACATCTCAGCACTTGTGTGATCGAGTGTAATCACTGTTTAACACTGTGACCCAGAGCGTGAAGCAAGTGTTAACCACTGCGTTAAATTGACGGCCGATAAATAGCTCAAAGATTGCTGTATTAGCTTCTGTTTTTTTGCCCCCATGTAGTTTGTAGGGTTGCACAGCGCACTCATTCACGGTATAAAGCTCATTCTCATTCCTAGCAAAGAAAACAGAATTTTTTTGTTCGGGGATAAAGATCAAATCGTCTCCCTCCCTCCTGGGGAGATATGTAGAGTTGAGCTGGCTGCAATGTGACATGCTGGGTATCAGAATATCAACCCTCGGGGGGGTGGGTGGCGGTTCCTGAGCCAGGCGGATGTGTGCTGCTCCAGGCCAGTGCTGCTCACGGACCAGCCAGCTTGGCTCGTTGGCAGGTGTTGAATGGGGCAGAGCAGTCACAGAGAACAGGGATCCTCTCCACTTGGCTCCCGTTAACGCAGCAAGCCAAAGCCCAAATCATTTGTGGTGGTCTTAGCTGGACAGAGAGCAGGAAGCTTCCCACACAGAGTTCTGAATGTTAAGCTGGGACTGTTATGGCTGGTTATATTCCAGCAGTACCCCATCACACACCTTGGGGCTCCCCAGGCCTTGGTTCTTGCCTAATACTCTGGAATTAGAGTATTTTGAAAGAATTATTCCTCCAACGCACTACATTCCAGACACAGGCAAATTTCCCCTAAAGTCTGGAACTCCCTCACCTCCCTCTTTATCTATCTTTAAGAATGACCTCTTCAACTGTGCCTACTGTCACTTCCCCTTCTACCTGTGGTTGGCATCCAACCCCACCACCTTACAGCTCTCCGAGACGCTAGCCTGCGTGAAGGGCGCTGTTTAAATGCAAGTTGCTGTTGCTGTAATTGAAGACAGATGATGAAGTGGATTGGTGTTGTTAGCCCATCGCAGGTGCTGATAGTTCCTGGGAGCTGAGCTACCCAGGCGATGTCATGCATTTCTTCTGCTTTGTTTACTACAACGATCCCAAAGAGCCTCTGTGGACATCAGCAGAGTTTGTGCAGTCCCTGGCAGCGACTTGTTTCCCCACCGCCAGCTCACTACACCACAAGGTACGTATCTCCGACAATGCTTGGTGCTTCACCGCTGAACGCCGGGGTCTAAGTCACGGCATTTCTCGGTGCTGTTACGTGTGACCTTCAGCCGATTGAAGGCACATGTAAAGCTACTGTCAGTTTAGGTGTCAGCCTGGCACAGTTGATTGAACTCTCGCCCTGAGTCAAAAGGTTGTGAGTTCAAGCCCCACGCCAGGATGGTTAAATCACACCGTCTAACTCCCTCTGTTCAGGTGGACGTTCAAGTTCTCATGGCACCATTGCAGAAGAGAAGGGAGTTTCACCCGGTGACCTGTCTTGCGTACAAAATACTGTGAAGTGCTTTGAGATGTCCTTGCTCCCAAGGTGAAAGGCGGTGTATCAAATGCAGGGATTAATTTCAACTCCCAGAGTGGTTGCGTGCTGGTTTTATGGTTCGCAGGGTTTAACTTGTGGAGTCCTGTAACGTAGTGGTTAGTGCACTCGCCTCGCAAGCGAGAGGACCCGGATTTAATTCCCAGGTGAGGCAAAATCTTAGGCAAGTTTCTTTACTCCACATGGCTCTGTGAAAAAAAAATCCGGTCACTCAAACCACGACTGTTTGTGGGACACTGCAGTATTTCTGTGAGAGCACTTTTGAGACGTGTCAACGACGTGATAAAACGCCATATCAAAGGATTATGTTTATTATTGTTTTTATTATTATAACTCGTGTGTGTGTGTGTGTGTGTGTGTGTACCAGGCTAGGTCAGCGGTCTGCCTTCAGGACAGTGGGGCTGTGTCAGTTGAGACGTGCGATGCTGGAGAGATGAGGACCCATCCAGCCAGGAAGCAGGTCTCGGACTTTATACGTGTCCTTCTTCTGGACAGCCTCGTGACGGTCCCTGCCAGCAAACATCTGCATCCTGTTGATCTTCTGGTGGAGGTTAGTGTCCGCTTCTCGCACCCATCGACTCCAGTGATTGAAGATCTCGGGTTACTTCATAGAACCAGTGAAAATGGCAGAACAGAAGGATGTCATTCGGCACGTTGTAAATGTTGCATGCGGCAGAACATGGCCCAGTTCTGACGAAGGGTCGTGAGCCCGAAACGTTGACTCACTTTCCTTTCTCCATCGATGCTGCCTGACCTCCTGCTGAGTGTTCCCAGCAACTTCTGTTTTTGTTGTAAATGTTGCTTTTCTCAGAGAGCTTTGCATGTAATCCCATTCTCCTGCCTTTACCCCACTTTTTTTTATATCCATTTAAAGCGTGCTCCACTATCGGCAGTCGGGCCTTCAGCCTTTCTGTTCCCCCCCCCTCCCCCCCGCAACTGCATACCGGAGCCCCTCTGCCTCGCCCCCTCCCTTGCCTCCTTCAAGGGTCCTCCTAATTTAAATTTATTAGGTGTCGGACTATTGTTGCACTGTCAGAGGTGCGGGATCAGATGCTGAACTAAGATCCCATCTGCCTGTTCAGGTGGATGTGAAAGAACCCATGGCACGACTCGAAAAGGAAAGGGAGTTTCTACTGTTGTCCTGGCTCACAATCCCTCAGATAAAATTGGTCACTTATCTCATAGCTGTTTGTCAGATGCCGAGTTAGCTAAGCATGGTGCATGGTGCGTCACTCCAGGAAGAGAGTGCACATTCCATTCCAGGCACGGACATTTCCAATGGATAGGTGGCATACATGTGTGGAGCTCAGTCTGGTTTAGATACAGGGATGGATTTCCACGTGCGTTGGAAACTCGGCTGACCACCCCTCCCCACCCCCCCCAAAAAAAAAATGTGCAAAATATTTAAGAATTCTTTCGAATTCTGCATTGACTTTCAAAATAATTTACAACTTTCACTTCCCGGGTGTGACTTTCCTTTACTGCAGGCTTCACCACAGAGTGCTACGGGCGATCAGAGGAAGAGATTCCAGACTCAGATTCTGCTGTTCATCATGGACATCTTTCACGCCATCGACGAGGATGAAAACATTCTCAAAGTCCTGACAGATGTCGGTCAGTCATGCCGAGAACTTATTGCGCTCACAATCTAGGCTGACACTCCAGCGCAGGCTGGAGAATGACTTGTGCTGCCCTTGAGTGAAGATATTAAACCAAACTATATATTGTCATATAGTTGTATTCATTAAGAGACTTCTTAATATATTCTTATATTGATTAATAGACTAATGAACTGATTTCCCCGATTTTAAAAACAAATGAGCATTCCCTTCATGGCTGTTTCTGGGGACTTCACTGAGTGCAAATTGGCTGCCACGTTTGTCTACAAAATGCACAGTCACCGGACTTCATAGAAAAGCTCTGAACTAAATTGCGACATTTTTCTACGATAAGGAACTGTAACAAATCCAAGCCTTATTATAATTTGAGACATCCTTTCGATGTGAAAGACGCAGTATGAATATAAATTGTATTATTGTTATCTCCATGTTCCTGTAATCTGTATCATGGAGTTCTTGGTTGCAGCGTTAGAATGTTTCTGATCGGCTTTCTGTATCAAGTCACCTCTCAAGGTCCTTCGCTGATGGTGTTGAATGTTCTCTCTCCGAGCAGGTCCTGGGGTCTCGCAGAACGCCAGCGAGGGAAGGCTGACCACAATGTTTGGAAATCTTTCCTATTTCAGCCAGAAGCTTGTCGATAAACTCTACACTAAGATGTTAATAGTGGACACCGGCAAAGTCTTGGGCTTTCTGACTGACCGCATTATTATGGTGAGTAATCTTGTTGCATTCTAAGGTTGCGTATTTAGCTCAATGGTGCAGTGGCTATAGTTAATGGAGTTACAGCATTAAATAACGGTCTGTCTTAAGAGATATCTATCATCTTCCGCCTACAAATCAGAAAGTTGTGGGTTGAAGCCCCACTTTAGCACTTTGAACCCGCAGTCTAAGCTGACACTCCAATGCTTTGCTGGTGGTGGGGGGGGTAGGAGGTGAGGGGCTCCATCGAGATAGCTGTTATCCTTGCAATGAGATGTTAAATCTAGGTCTCATTTGTGCCTGTTCTGCTATTTTTTTGAATCGATTATTACCCCGAGAGAGCGATCCTCCAATCAACTCACAACTGGGTTCCTACTTACTGCTCGGTAAAGGAATTGAGCGCAAGGAATTGACTGCAAGCCTCAGTGTTGTAGTGTAGAGGATAAATTATACATGTTTAGTATGAAGCGCTTTGAGACCTCCTCCTGACGTGAAACCATCAATGCTGTAACAAATGAAAGGACTGCTGTTACAGAAGCAGTGCTAAGTTATTGCATTAAATTCTTGCCTTCTGTTCACTGCCTTCAGGTGATGGACCAGACACATCCGCAGAAGGATCAAGTCATGAACAGCCTTTACAGCAGCTTAAACAGAGGCATCCTACACTGCCTGTCAAAACCCAGGCAGTCACCTTCTGACCTACTGGCCCTGCTCAGCACTCTCAACTTCCTACACAAGCAATGGGACGTCATATTTGCCACGTTCAACTCCAACATGGCTTTCAACGTCTGCCTCATCCATTGCCTTTCTCACATCAAGTCTGGGAGGTACGAACATCGGGAGGCCCCTAAATTCCACCTTGTCTCAGCCTTTAAGAATTACGGAAAAATTCTTAAAGGCTGAGGCGCAGAAATGTGGAAAACGTTTGAAATTGAGCTCTTTGAAGGCTTTCTTTTCCATGTCGCTTTGGGCACCAGCCTCAACTCATGTCTCCTGTTTTTGTCTGTTTGTCCACTTCGCTTATCTCAGTGTTTCGGTATCAGCCCGATCTGCCTGCTCCACTCTGAACAGTCGAGCCTTCAGCCTTTTGGCCCCCACCCTCTGGAACTCCATCCCGGAACCCCTCCACCTCGCTCCCTCCTTTGCCTCCTTCAAGGCGTGTCTCAAAACTTTCCTTTTTGACCATGCCTTTGGTCAACTTCCCTCCTCCACCCCCTCTTTGATTCCATCCGCAGATGAAAACCCCTCATTATCCAGCGTCTTGGGACGTCCTCCCAAATGCTATATAAAGACAATTTGTTGTTATTCTTCCTTGATTACACTTTTGGTCACCTTTCCTCTCCTTCCCTCCTCCCAAGCTCAGTCAGCTATGCGAAGTGCTTTGAGATATCCTATCAGCGACAAAGGCGCTGTCTAAATGAGAGTTGTATTGTTTTTTGCTGGTGGCATTCAGGTACCCCGACGGCTTTGGATTGGACAGTAGCTGCAAAAGAGCCCCCTGGAGTTTACAGGCCTCATCAACCGGTGAAGATTACGATGGATTCTTCGAAGCAATCTCCAACCAAGACGGTAATAAGCACCTGCTGAAGAAATTTGCCAAACTAGTAAAAGTGGAAAGGTGGTGGGAGGTGAATTTTGGCGTAAGGATTGCATTACTGGTGCTATTTATTAACAATAATACTAAAACCTGGTTTTCTAAAGGCCGGTAATACATTTTGTGGCACTATTCGAAAAGAGACGGGAGCTTCTCCCGGTTTTTGCTGCGCTCAAACTGGCTGCCGCTTTTCACCCACAAAAAAAGTACAGTCACTATACAGTAAATCCTGTGAAGCGCTTTGAGACGTCTCGATGACGTGAATGGCGCTATATCAAATGCAAGGATTATTATTCCGATTATTATTATTGTGGGGTTCCTCAAGTGTCAGGCTCTGGGCTGATCAAATGAAAGGGAACAAAAACAGAAGTTGCTGGGAACACTCAGCAGGTCAGGCAGCATCTATGGAGAAAGGAAAGTGAGTCAACATCTCGGGCCCATGACCCTTCATCAGAACTGAAAGGGTAGTTGCAAATGTTGAACGAACAAAACATTTTCTGGTTGATTTTTCGAAAATGCACTTTTCATAGATTCAGAGAATTATACAGCACAGAAGAAGGCCATTCGGCCCATGGTGTCTGTGCCGGCACTTTGAAAAGAGCTACGGAAATCAATCCCGCTCCCCCACTCTCTCCCCATAGCCCTCCAAACTTGTCCTCCCCAAATAATGATCTACTTCTCTCTTTTATTTTGATTAACGTAAAGTTCAAAAAGAAATTGTGACCACTGTGGATTCTGTATGGAATCGCCTGCTATCTCAGCGAAGACACTTACTGGAAGACAGCTACAAGATTGACCTGTCAGTAAAACAGGGATCTAAAGAGAACATTGTCACCATTTCCGAGATTTCTCCTCTGTGGGAAGAATTGGCAACAAAGTCTTGGCAGCAATATATCAGTGAGTATAACACTACTCCACAAAAACCTAGAGGTATAAAATCATACAGTTATTCCTCTTTATTTTATGTTTTTTTTAAAACGTGCCAAGCCCTAGTCACTGTTTTGTAAAGCGAACTGTAGCCTTCAGTCAACAACCTACCTCTACCCTCCCTGCTCTCCAACCTTTCTGATCCCAACCCCCAGCTCGCGTCCAAAACACTGACTGTCCAGCAACTTGGGATGTCCCCCCGACGTGAAAGATTATAAAAATCTAATTTGTTGTTGTTGTCATCAGTGATTCAAGAATAGCTCAGCTGGGGTCACTTGCATAATGCTGGGGGAGTGTTGTAATTTAGGATGAGACGGTAAATTGAGACCTCGTCTGCCTGTTCAGGTGGATGTTAAAGATCCCTTGGCGCTATTTGAAAAAACAAGGGAGGTTCTCCCGTTGTCTTGGCCAACAATCCCTAAGATAAAATTATTCATTCACTTCATAGCTGTTTCAGGGACATTGCTGTGCGAAATTGGCTGCTGCATTCACCTACAAAATACGCAGTCGCTACACTTTACAGTAAATCCTGAGAAGCGCTTTGCAATGACCCCCCCCCCCAAAATGTTTTCTGTTTTCACTTCTAACTGTCCGAGCTTGTTTGTAGACCAAATGGCCACGGTTAAGATGATACCCTCTTGTTTTGACAGCTTCAGAGAAGAAGAACATGCCCAGTAAACCTGTGACCTCTCAGTCACTGCAGAGTAAGTCAGACTGGCTGACCGGCAGCCTGTCCACAGCTGTGAGATCCGTCGGCAAAAGACTAATGAAAGAGACCGACACGCTCACTACCGAGGTAAAGTGTAACACCCCCCAATCCTGTTTCCAGTCCTTTTCACGGTGCAGTGTAAAAGCTGACCAGCTTTACACCTTTTTTTTTTAGTCTTCACAGCCCAAATGCTCACACTGGAGTCTTCTTTCTCCGAACTTATAGTGCTTGATTTTGCACAGTAGGTGTCAGACTGTCTCACTGTCGCTCTGAGACAGAGGGTTGTGTGTTCAAGCCACGTGCCAGGTCTCCAAGGTGATTGTTTGGGGGAACAAATAGAAATAGTTGCTTTAAACCACTTGATTGATTCAGTGGAGGGAAGAAGATTAGTGGGTTTTTTAGCTTTATAATTAAAAAAAGGAAATGAAACCTTTACTTATTTGAATCATGATATTACTTTGTTCCCTTTTTTACTCTCCATATTTAGTTTCTTTCATTAAGTGAATCTTTTTTATTATATATATATATACACACAATGTCATATATATACACACACACAATGATATCATTATATTTATATATAGGGATCTCTGTCCCTCTGGTTCACTGGCTTAGCAATACGGTTAATTTTGATGCTGAGTGTTGAGTTTGCAACGGGTGAGCGCATAGACCTTTCATGAAGTATATCTTGTTATTTTTGTACAGACACCTGTAGAAACACATTGCTGTGCTTAAAGAGTATCCAAACCAGACTATAAGATCCACTTTCTCTGTGTCTGGAATAGACAGCGTGCTTTCTGAGAAACCCTGATTCACTTAATTCCGGAGAGTATTAAACACAGGTTGCCGAGAGCCAAGACTTGGGGACCCCAGAATGTGTGTCAGGGTACTCCTGGACTTTAACCAGCTAAATCCCCATAGCTTGTTATTGAGAGCGCTGTCTGGCAAGCTTTCCCGCTGTTTGTCCAACTAGGACCTGTTAGGACTTTGGGTTACAGGGTAAACAGTACACTTCATAAAAATGTGCAAAAATCCTCTATCATATTAGAGTTACTTTGGTCTCCTCTGTCCTGTTTCTCCTTTGCTTGGGCATCCTTTATAAAGTGCTTGCAAGATCCTACCCTTGCCAGCACTTTATAAAGGATGTGAAGGGCACTGTATAAACACAAGTCGTGATTCTCTTTGAGAGAAGTCAAATATATTCCACACGTTTGCTGGGGAAACGTATGGGACGAGGAGCCAAGTTTGCTCACAGGTACGGATGTCTTCGTGATGTCATAGTGCAGTGTGTTGACAATTTGCCCTAGGGTCTGTTTAATTATTTTTTTAAAAAATAATTTTGATTATTACAGCTGATCACACCTCAGCGAGCAGTGTAATTGATATTTGTTAATTTATCCCTTGGAACATTTTGTAGAACAAGCTTTTGTTGTTGAAGGTTAAAGACTCCTTTATTGGTTTTCTCCTAAATATATCCACATCATTAGTTCCTCCAGTAAAAATGTCGCCATCTGGAAAATGCAGCTTTGAGACGCAACCCGTGCACGAATGCATGAAATTGGTGTTTCTGCAACTTCTGCTGTAGTTTTCTCGGCAAAAAAGACTGTAATTAAGTGAATCGGGACCTGATGAAAGCGTTATTCATTTTGTGATATCCCTCAACATGTAGCCTGCCGACAGCCTATCAAGTCTTTGATAAATTGCCGCACTCTAAGGCTACTCATCCCCACTTCCCGGCATTGTTTGAGTACACGAGAGCTTTCAAGACATCAGTCTCCAAAGCCGCCACTTTATAATTTATGGAACTCAGGAAAAAGTTTGTGCTTTTCAAACTGGACGTTTTATGCTTTTAGAATATATAAGGGATAGAAGAATCTTTTCCATTTGGATCCTGTTAACCATGCAACCAAAGCTGGACAAGCAGTGGGAAAGCTTGCCAGACCCCCTGCTCTCAATAGTAAGCTATGCAGTTTCAGGTGGTTAAATTCCAGCAGTTACCTTCCCCCTTCACCCGGCCCCCCACCCATACACACTGAAGTCTTCACTCATGCCGACCTGCGCCTAATAACCTCCGGAATTAGGTAAGCAGGGTGCATTCCTCCAGGGAGAGACAGCCCATCTCATTCCTGACATGGGAATTTCCATGTGTAGGTGGCTGACCTGGAACTCTTGTCTGGTTTGGATATTCTGGTGATGGGTTTGTGCATGTAACAGACACCCGGGTGACCCCAAAAATATCTAATTTATGTTAGAATATATGCACCTTATCCTTAACAATAATTCTTGCATCTGATATAGTGCCTTTTCACATTGAAACATTTCAAAGCGCTTCACGGAGTTTTGACTGTAAACTGTAGTGACTGTGTAGTAATAATACCAGCATAGTATTATTACTATACAATAGTATTAGTACTATTACAAGTATAGACAAAATGTAGGCAAATGCGGCAGCCAATTTGCACACAGCAAAGTGTTATCACTATAAACAACATGCTGCAGGTAGTTCACTGTATCAGCTAATACAGTAACCTGTGAGTGGTTGGTTGCCTGGAAAGCAATGGTCTGAAATTCTGGTCAGTCGCTCCTTTGATTCCAACCCCCAGCTCTCATGCAAACCCTTAACTGTTCAGCGCCTTGGGACATCCTTCCTACATGAAAGGCCCTGTGCACGTTGCTGCTGCTGTTGTTGCTGCTGACGCCTCAATGGGATTCCTAATAGAATTATATATTATTATTCTATGTTATGTATTGCTCCACCTTCTCCCATGCTTCCCCTCGCATTATATCACTTCACCAAGGCGTTACGCATAACTCGAATCGGAAGTTATAATAATAATAATAGCCCTTGCATTTGACACATCGCCTTTCACGTTGGGAGGATATCAAGAGTGTTTCATTGGAGGGTACCGAGCGTGTATTTTGTCTAGTTTTGAATCTCTGCCCCTGAAGGTGGCTACAGGCTTCAGTTCGGTTAATGTACCTTGTCAGCTGAAGGGACGCCGCAGGTTTTATTCTGCGGGTTGCTGTGCTAATGGCGCTGGGCTGCTGAGGAGACGCTCATTGGAATGAATTGATGTGAGACGTGGATGTGCTTCCCTGTGTTTGCTCAGGATCTAGTCCTGCAGCTATGCTGTCTTTCAGCCAGATGTATATGTATACGGCTCGGAGTTTCATGCCTGCCTGTTGCTCGGGTCTGGGCTGCTGTGTCAGTTTGGGGCTGGGCTGCTAGATGGAGCAGTCCCTCTTATAAAGATGCTCTTGTCAAGCAGTGAACCTGTGTTAGTCGGCCTCTCTCCCTGCTCAGAGTGGCTCACAGGTGGATTTTTAACTGCCAGGGCTGACTTGAGGCGTCCTCACTCTCACTTTAAATTAGCAATGAATGTAAAGCGGTAATCATTGTGTTTGCTGCAGCACCTTTCACATCAGGAGGAAGTTTCAGAGCTCCTCACAGAAGTGAATGTAAAAGTATAGTGATTGTATTTTCAGCCAGTTTGTGCGCAGAAATGTCCCGCAAACAGCCGTGAAGTGAATGACCTGTGTTTATCTGGTGGAGGATGGGTGGGCAGGGTTGTTGGCCTCGATTTAATATCTCATCTAAAGAACGGCACCTCCGACAATGTAGCACTGCCCCAGCGTTGTATTGGAGAGTCAGCCCAGACTATGAATGAACTGATGCAGTTTTGAACAGCACAAAATACAGTATCTGGTGGATTTTCCACTTGCTTTGTTTGGCTGACATTGCCGGGCGCATGGGTTGAGAGCAGAAGGCGAGCTCGAATCTTCGGGTGAATGTTTTCGCCTGCAAAATGAACATAATCATTTGCATAATATGTTTATCCACATATTAGGAAGATAATTAACGTCTCTGATTATCTAATTAAGTTCATTAAGTGTCTACCAACACAGCACCGTGAAGTTGACATTATGTTCTTCTGTCAATGAATGTATTGTTTTCATGGGAAGTAATTAAAATGTAAATTAGCATGATGTTAATTGCACTTCGGGAGGTTTTCGAATTGAATATTAACTTCTGCACCTTTATAGCACGAGCAACCCAGTTTTGTTTCCCTTTGCTTTGAATTTCACACCATTTTCCATAGCAGAAATCACTTGCTGTACAAATATATTGATGTTTCCATTGTTGGCTAAATTGCCGATAAATCATAATGGTCCCAGATAAACTAGATCTACATAATGGATTACAGCATATCCTGTGCAGGGCTTTGGGACATAGTAATAATAATAATAGTAATAATAATAATAATCCTTGCATTTGATATAGCACCTTATGTTGTTGAGATGTCTCAAAGCCCTTCACACAATATACTGTAAAGTGAATGACTGTATATTTTGTGGGTGAAACGCAGCAGCCAATTGCACACAGCAGTGTCCCACAAACAGTCGTAGAATCAAACCCAGGTCCTCTCACGCTCTAACCAATACGCTCCACAATTTCCTCCCGACGTGACAGCCGTTTTCGTAAACGTGAATCGTTGTTGTTTATAGTTCTCTCTCGTCGCAAAAGATAACAGATTGTTCCATCTCCAAATTGAGCTTTTTTGCCCTCTCTCACCCATCCCTGCAGTGTGAAGAGTATCCTTACAACTTTTACACTGCACGTTGCTTTTGATCGGTTATCAGCCCTATGGCCTCTGGGTCAGAAGGTTGTGTGTTCAAGCCTCACATCAAGGCACAAGCTCGTCGTCCAGGCTGGCCCTGGATTGTGGGAGGTGCTGTTCTCCGGATCAGCTTGTCTGCTGGGTTCAGATGTGAGAGATGGGCAAAATCCTGCAGCTGGTGGAAATCTGAAATTTTATTTGTGAAAGGTGGGACAATTTTGAAGAATAGAGAAGAGTCTTCCATTAGGTGGAACGTCTCTCTGTGAAATTCCTTCCAGCATAGTATGATTTGAATTGGCAATGGTTTTCATAGAATTTTACAGCGCAGAAGGAGGCCATTCAGCCCACCGTGCCTGTGCTGGCTCTTTGAAAGAGCTATCCAATTAGTTCCACTCTCCCGCTCTTACCCCATTCCAAACCGTAACAACTCTCTTTGAGTAAATAGGAAAGAATGCAACCATATAAAGTTATAACACAAGTTAATAGGAATAATAAAATATAATCTCTGCATTTCATAGCACCTGATCATGCCATTGAAGCGCAGCTTAAAGTGCTTCATATGAATTTACTGCAAAGTGGAGTGACTGTTTATTTGTAAGCTAACGAAATAGCCAGTTTGCGCATGTACCACAAATAGCCGTGAAGTGAATGACCAATTATATCGGGGGACACCAGGAGAAACTCCATTTGAATAATGCCATGGGATCGCTAACATTCACCTGAACAGGCAGAAGGGACCTCATTTGAAAGGATGGCACCTCCAACAATGCAGCACACTCCCATCCTTGCATTGAGGAGTATCTGTGAACTCAAAGTCCCAACGTGGGGCTTGAGCCCACATGTTTCAGCCTCGGAGTCAGGCGAGGCTGACACATGTATGAGAGACATTCTGCTGTTACTGGTGCTGTATCAGGGATTATTGATTGATTGATTTATGAAGTGAGCTGTAAAACAAGTCAAAACATTTGTTTTTACCGAATCTAATATCACAGCCTTATGAGGAATTCCAGCTGTATGCCTTGTGATGCAGTAGAACATCTGGCAGCGTGGATTGAGGCACTAGCATTAAATCAGAAAAACATAGGGAGTGGCAGATACGAATCCTGATTCTCAATGCCGAAGCTATATTGGGAGAAGTTTGTGGCGTGGCCATTCACCTCTTCTAGGTTTTTGTAAATATCCAAGGAAACTGCAGGAAATTCTTGCTTAAGGAATGGCCAGAATGAAAGTTGACTTTGCATTGACAGAGCTTTAAAATAGGCACGAGCATCTCTCATAGAATGGTAGCCATCGCAGCACAGATTATAGATTTCTAGCAGAATAAATCTCAGCCATTCACCCACCCACCGAGCTAATGGTTTGCCAGCTCCCCCAATGGAGCTTCACACTCTAATCTCCCCCACTCCACAACAACAAAACATCTCAGAGTAACTCACGTGTGTGTCAGCCGAGCTCAGTCAGCACAAGTCTGAGTTAGAATATTGTCGGTTCAAGCGCTACGATGGGACTTTGAGCTCACAGTCTCGGCTGATATTCCCGAATGCAGTGTTGGGGAAGTGCTGCATTGTTGGAGGTACGGTCATACAGTACCTTCTGCCTCTTTTCCTCTCCTTCCTTCCCTCCCTCCCTCTCTCTCTCCCTTATATTCTTTCATAGCTTAGTCCTAACCTCAGTTGTCATTTGTGACAAAGCATTCCTTGTTCTGACAACCCCCTGCAATGCTAAAATCTCCTCAAACCTCCCCATAACGTTTCTGCTGATAATACTAATAGTAATCCTTGCATTTGATATAGCGCCTTATTACGAGGATCTGAACTGATGCCCACCCCCACCCCTTTTCCCACCCAACACCATCACCCCACACACTCCTGTTACACGTTCAGGAACCAGGAGCCAGTCTTTCACCACTACCATCCAAAAAGGTGTTAAAAAGAAATTTTTATTCTGAAACCCTGGTTCGAATTTGCCAGGACTCATGGGTGGCATTGCGACACCAGCCAGTTTAGCAGCCGTGAATGAGCCACCATGGTAGATCGCGGGCGAGAACTGATTGATAGGCTCAGTAACCAGCAACGACCTTGAATGACACGATTAGCTTGGCCGCGTTAACAAAAGCCTCGCTGTCGGCCCGACCGGGGGGCCAGCTTGTGCCTGTCTGATTGGCGAATTCTATGAGCGTCTCAGTTAAATAACAATAATGTTTTCTCAGTGCAGCGCTGTGGCTAAAAGCTTAATGATCCTGTAAGCAAACAGGATGTAATCACCGGCACGGTGGCAAGCTCCAACTTCCTGCTGTGTGCGGCTAATGAATATAACTCAGCAGTGGGATATCATGGACTTGGCCGGGAGCCAAACAGGAGACTGTAGCGAGCAGGGTTTACAGTGTATAACGCAAGCGCTATTGTCTGAGAATAATTGTAGTTGTGGTCCGTTGTGTGGCTCAGACGCAAGTGGCATTAAAGAGCTACCTGTCAAAATGGAACCACGGCTTATTAGAAACTGGATGTGACATGTCTGCCTCATGAGGAGGGGAGAAGAGGCAGAAGCTACCGTAATGACTGATCTTACCTGCGATTGAGCAAACTGGGCCTGAAACCGTGTCAGACATTAAACACAAGTCCCGTCTGCTTGTTCGGGTGCCACGTTCGAGATCCCGTGGCACTATTCCAAAAGGGAGGGGAGTTTCTCTCTCCTGATGTCCTGGCCAACAAATCCCCCAAATAAAATCAGTCACTCACTTCGTGTGGGACGCTCCTGTGCTCAATCTGGCTGCTGCGTTTCGCCCAAAAAATACACAGTCGGTTCACTTTATGGTATATTCTGTGAAGCGCTTTGAGACGTCTTGTCAATGTGATAAGGCACTACATCAAATGCAAGGAATATTATTGTTATTTTTATTGCTATTATTCTTATTATTATTATGGGGCAAATGGGCTTCCTAGTCATTCTCACCTCTTGGGGGTACATCCGCAGTGCCAGATGTACATCACTCTGATTATTAGCTGTATGGGTAGACTTTCGTAGAATTACACAGTCCAGGCTGATACAGGGCTAAGGGGAGCACTAAGTTGTTGGAGGCCCAGCCCTTCGGATGAGATACTAAACTGAGTTCCCGCCTGCCTGTCAAGGTGGATTTTAAAGATCCCTGTGACACTGTTCAAAATGAGGCCAACAATCTCCCTGAATAAGATTGGTCACTTCATTCATGGCTGTTTAGTGGGACATTGCTGTGGGCAAATTGTCAGTCGTGTTTGCCTACAAATAAACAGTGACTACACTTTTTTGTAAATCCTGTGAAGCACTTTGAGACGATCTCCTGACACGAAAGGCACTATATCAAATGCAAGGATTATTATTATTGTTGTTATTATTATAATCACATTACAGCATGGAATTTTGTGCAAGAAGGGGAAGAGAATAGATAAAGGGGTATGCAATTGCGATTTGCCTATGCAGTCTGTGTCGAGGTTTATGAACCTCCACACCTCCTAATCCTCAATCCCACACACCTCTATCTATTCCCTTCTCCCTTTTGTATGAAATTCCACCCAGGATCTAACTTTATTTTAATGCCTTAGCATTTCAGTGAGAGCAGAGCTTGACTGAGTATTGCAGTTGTCTGTGTGGCACAATCAGTTCAGTGGGTTTGGCTGATACCCGAAAGTCCACCCAGGCAAGGTTATCCAGTAGAGCTACTTTATATTCTCTGTGATTCATTCCTCGTTCTTGTAATTTTATTTTAGATTTGTGTGGAGTATAAACACCAGCAACGACTGGTTGGTCCAAATGACCTATTTCTGTGCTGTACATTCTTTGTAAATTTTGTGGGTGGAGGTGGCAGCAAGGTCCCACAAACAGCCGTAAAGTGAATGACTGATTTTATCAAGGGGATTGTTGGCCAGGACACTGGGAGAAACTCCCTTCTCTTTTCAAGTAGCACCACAGGATTGTTTAACATTCATCTGAATAGGCAGACGGGACCTTGGTTTAAAATCTCATCCAAAGGACAGTAACACAGCAACAAAGGACCCCCAACACTGCACTGGAGAGTCAGCCTAGACTATGAGTTCCAAATCCTGTCTGGGGCTTGAATTAACAACCTTCTAACGCGGAGAGAGCTACCAACTGAACCAGGCTGAAAGCTTTGAAGTGGACACACCTTTGGGATGTGAAACACTTCAGGATTTTTTTCTTTTGCTGAGTGTATTTTATTTGTTGCTGATGTACTTAATTTCATTATTTTTTTGTGTGCACAGGAGGTAACTGTGAGCCTGAATGTGCAAAGGACAATTGGACAAGACATGTTTGCCAGCCTCCACAAGGAATATCTACAGGTACCGATCTTAACTTTAACTGATGCAAATACGCCACTCCACAAATACATTACTGTACTAGCCATTGCACTTCACAGTAAATCTCTCTGAAACATTTCGACAATGTGATAAGCTGCAATGTGAAAAATGTGACCTTGATTTTATTATGATACTAAATATAACAATCCTTGCATTTGCGTTATCACATTGTTGAGCCATCTCAGAGTGCTTCACAGGATATACTGTCAAGTGGATTGACTGTATTTCGTGGGCGATTCATTTGAAGGAAGTGACGTCCTGCGGATTTTACGTCTCATCCAAAAGACGTCACTTCTCCCAGCACAATATTGGAATGTCAGAAGTGGGTGCCCTGTACCATCTTAAACCTCAATAAACTATGCCGTTCGTCAGTCCGTTAAATTGAAGTGAATCACCAATTTTATCTGGGGGGATTGTCGGCCAGGATTTACAGGAGAAACTCCCTTCTCTTTGCAAATAATTCCATGGGATCCCATAGGTTCATCTAAACAGGTAGACAGGACCTCGGTTTAACGTATCGCCCGAAAGATGGCACCTCCAACAACACAGCTCTCCTGCAGCACTGTATCGGAGCAACAGCCTCTGTGAACTTATGTGAGTTCAAGGCTCCAATGTGGGACTCAAACTTGCAGCCTTCAACTCGGAGGTGAGAGTGGTACCCACTGAGCCAGGCTGACGCTGAGCCAGGTTGGATCAGATACAGAAACTATTCCTCTGTTGGGGGAATCCAGAACAGGGGGGCGGGGCAGAATCTTAAAATTAGAGCTGGGCCCATTTAGGAGTGAAATCAGGAAGCACTTTATCACACAAAGGCAGTGAGAATCTGGAACTCTCAGTCCCCCCACCCCAAACGGTTGTGAATGCTGGATCGATTCAAAGGTTGAGGTCAATAGATATTTGGTAGGTCAAAGAAACAAAGTATATGGACAAAGATGGGTAAATAGAGTTGAGGTACAGATCAGCTATTATCTAGTAGAATGGTGGAACAGGCTCAAGGGTTGAATGGCCTGTTCCTATGACAGACAAACCTTTGAGATGAGCCCACAAAACGTTTTATTAAGTTTTGCAAAGTGCACCAGTCGAGCTGGACACAGCAGCCGGTCTGTACAGGTCTAAACCTGGAATCTGTGCAATCCAATGCAGAAAATCCCAGGAATTTTCTTTTCTTTTCCCAAAGAAATGTGTTTTTTTTTTAAAAAAAGAACAATTGAGATACCAGCTGTATGGCTGCACATTTGCCATCTGTTGAGGCATTTTGCTCTTGTTCCCCAGATGCAGCAATGCATTCAGAACCAGGCTTGGAAAGACTGGGAGAAGACAGAACAACAGCTGCTTCGGGAGCGAGGATTATGGGGTCCTTTATCAGGGTCACAGCAGGACGCAGCGTGGATCCTGGACATGGCTGAAGGCCCCAGTCGAATGAGGAAGAAGATGAGACCAAACACATTTTACATCAATTATGCTTATGATGCGTGTCGAAATCGAGAGACAGAGAGCGCAGTAAGATTATACCTTTCAGATCATGCACTTAATCATCGGACCCAAACCCTATGCATCATTGTCCGAGCGACCAGTGCGGCACATAAATTATCCGGGGGAGAATAATTAATGTATGTGACCGCAATGTTAGCTGTGGAGCAAACGTGAACATGTGGGGCTCCCCTTTTTGAGGCTGCCATTTGAGGCGATCTTTATCAATGAAGTCTGCACAGTCACTACACTTTTTTAAAAAAAAAAGTGAGGCACCTTGAGACGTCCTCCCGATGTAAAAGGCACAGTGTCAAATAGAGGGGTTATTATTGGTATTACTCTTTATTGCAAGTAATGTGAAGTGCTTTGAGAGTCCTCCCCGATGTGAAAGGCACTGTATCAAATTAGAGGGGTTAATATTGGTAGCATTATTTACTGTAAATCCTTTAAAGGGCTTTGAGACATCACTCCCGACATGAAATGCAAGGTTTGTTATTACTATAAAATAAATCTTTAGGCTGCAATGTAACTTGCAGTAAAATGCCCTCTGCATGACTTACTTTCTTCCCCCACCCCCTCCCTCATAAGAATTGCTGTTACAGAATGCCCCTTGCTTAAGCCTAAGAACACAGGATGTCTGGAGGCTCAGAGGCTTGACATGAACAACAGGAGTAGTATTTATTGACCATGTTCTGTTTGGATCAGAGCACATTCGTCCCCGAAGGCAAGTGCCTTTTGACTTGTTGTGAGGCAAAGGTGAAAGGAGCAAGGAGCTCTCTTTTAAGTAGTATTGATGTGGTGAATGATGGATTAGTGCACGACGATATTCTCTTTGGATTTGCCAGGTGGTGCGAGCTAGCTGTAGCGATCGTTCATTCTATTGCCCCTCTGGTGGGATTCCCTATTTGAAGAGGCAGAGGAAACTTTAGATGAAGCTTGTGAGTGGACAGTGGTGATAATAGTAATCCTGGCATTTGATGTCTGGCCCCTGATCACATCATCAAAATGTCTCAAAGCTCTTCACTGGATTTTACTTGAAAGTGGCTGTGTATTTTGTAGGCAAACGCGGCAACCGATTTGCACACAGCAACGCCCCACAAACAGCAATGAAGCGAATGACCAGTTTTACTGGGGGATTGTTGGCCAGGATACCCGGAAGAAATTCCCTTCTCTTTCCAAGTGAGAAGACATAGAGAAGATGTTTCTACTTCTGGGGGAGACCAAACCCAGGAGCCATAAATATAAAATAGTCACCAATAAATCAATTAGGGAAGTCAAAAGAGACTTCTTTACCCAGAGAGTGGTGGGAATGTGGAACTTGCTACCACAAGGAGTAGTTGCAGCAAATAGCAAAGATGCATTTAAGGGGAAGCAGATAAGTCATGGGGGATAAAAGGAATAGAAGGTTATGCTGATAGGCTTAGGTGAGAGAGGGCAGGAAGAGGCTCATACGGAGCATAACTGCCGGCATAGACCAATTGGACCGAATGGCCTGTTTCTGTGCCGTATATTCTATTTAATTCTATGAGTTGTGGCACTTTTGTGGAGCACTTCTGCGCCCAAATTGCCTGCCGAGTTCGCAAGCTAAACATGGTCACTGCACGTTACAGTAAATCCCGTGAAGCATTCAGAGGCTCTCGGGAAAGGCGCTGCATCAAGTGCAAGAATTATTCTTAATGATTTTATTTAAACGGTTTTACAGGCTAAGGCAAGGTGGAATTTTGGGTGTCAGCAGAGCAAAATGTGTGATGAGCCATGGCTTTGCTGCTTTCAGCTCAGATTATTCCGTTGATATCATTCCACGCTTCCATCGATTGCCCGGCTGTTGTCTTGTTGCAACTCTCTCTTTGTACAGACAGTGGTCGGAGGTGCCGTTAGGGTAAAACAACCCTTACATTTGTTACGACGACTTATCGCAACGTCTCGAAGTGCTTTGCAGGGAATTGCTGTAAAGTGCAGTGACTGTGTGTTTTGCAAGCAATCGCAGTAGCCGATTTGCGCAGAGCAACGACCCACAAACAGTTAGCCAATGACTGTTGCAAAATCAACGAGGGCGTACTGTTCTTGGCTGATCTGCAGGGAATGGGCAGAGAAATGAGACTGTGCATGTTGTAACTGGTTGAGGATGACGCAGTTTAATTACCTGCCCAAGGGAGGGTAACACAAGGCATTGACCTGGTTGATAGAGGTGGGAGGCTTGCCAGTCCCACTCAATATTGTCGCAGCCAAAATTAATGGGCGGCAAAAAGGATTCCCGTCTCCAGGGAGTTTGCAGAGTTTTTTTTTTTTGGCACCTGCTGGACGTGGGGAGTGAGTGAGCAGGAGGGCTCTGACCTGCTTATTGCTATGCAGCTGAGATTACTTAGTGGTCAGCAGCAGAGGGGGTCAGAATTTGAAGGGCAAAGGTCGCTTCCACCCCCTAGCAAGTGACCATTAAGTCTGCGCCTCCCGATCCGGACAGAGCCCAGCAAGGGCTCGCTTTCTGCTGGAATCCTCAACTTTTACTCTAAATAATATTAATAATCCTTACGTTTGGTATAGCCCCGTTCATGTCGGGAAGACAACAACTTTAATAACACCTTTCATTTATATAGCACCACTCATGCATCCCAGATTGCTAAATAGTGGCAGGGACAGACTCACAGACGACGGAATGCAAATGCAAGGATTATTATTAGATCAGATGAAGAAAGCCCTCAGCCCATTTGATCCCACCTTACGATTCATCCATCACAGCATCAAGCTGTATAATAATCCTTGCGTTTGATATAGTGCCTTAACACGTCATTGAGACATCTCAAAGCCCTTCACATGATCTACTGTAAAGTGCAGTGACCGTATGTTTTGTAGGCAAACCCAGCAGCCAATTTGCACACAGCAACATCCCAAAAAACAGTTGTGAAGCGAATGACCAATTTTACGTGAGCAGGATATTTCAATCAGCATAGCCAAAGCCTTCGGAAAAATGAGAAGAGCCTGCAGATGGCGAGAGCCGAATGGAGGAACGATTTGTTGAGAGGAAATTAAAAGCAGCGAAAGTTGCACTTCAATTACTCAGTGCGGTCCGATCACTGGGACGAGGCGAAATTGTGATTTATGATTGCATCTCTCCTGTCAGAGATATAATGACTGTGTTTGTATCGTGACGTGCTTGAACGCCACCACTTACTGAACACTGCGTTCAGTAAGGGAAGCAATCAGCACGCAAAAGGTCACCAAAGTGACTTTGTCAAAGGCAGCTCGGAGACCAGGCTCATCTGCTTGTCTTTCAGGAACCAGCTTAAAGCCAGCGCTCAAGGTTTCACCTCGATTCTTAACGAAGCCTTTTGGAGGCGATCGCTCCGATACGCTCGGTGCCATGGTGAATGCATTGCTGCGAGCCACACTAACCGGCAGCCTTTGCCATGTTTAGCAGATTGCTCGTTGTCCCTTTTCCCAACACAGTTAAAACCTGTGTTTTCCCTGAGCAACCACTCAGGGAATTCAGAGAAAGTGGCCTTCATAATATAGTATCGTTTGGGGCACGACATGTCAAGCGACTGTCAGGATGGTGGAAGGCAAACTAGTCGGACCTTGGTCTTCCTTCACCTAGCAAATTCGTATGTTATTATTTAAGGGTGGCCTCTGAGTAAGAGTTCATTGGTGTGTGAACTGTTTTGCTCCAGGTTTTTCCAGGGTGTTTGTTAAAGGGGAGGTTGCTGAACAGAGATGGTTGCTTGATCAGGTTTGACTGCACATTCGCTTTGGCCACATTGATCAGAGTCTGTGTTTTGGGTTCTGCAGATTCCTGTGTAGCTATCAGTGGTGTAGCTCTGGGACTGGAGCCTATCATTCAAGCCCAAACTCTGTGGTGAAGGGCATTCATTCATTTCATGGCTGTTGGTGGATCAACGCTGTATGCTGACATGGTTTCACCCAGGCTCTTGTCACATGTTGGCTACGTTCAGAAATTTAACTACACCATTATACAGTAGTTCAAATATTTTAATACAATGCTGAACTGCACTACGGTCACTCACTCCGTGGCTGTTTGTGGGACACTGCTGTGCACAAATTGGCTGCCCCATTTCTTAAGTCAACTGTGGTAAATTGTCAGGAGGTCATTGCATCAAGTGCTCATGTTTTGCAGGTCATGAAGAAGCACGCAGTGGGTTCTGGGAACGATGATTTCTACAGGAGGCCCCACGAGGCTGAAGAACATTTAGCTGAGAATCGGGAGAAGCAGGCAAGCGCAGGTAAGAATTGCAGAGATCAACCCTTCAATTTATAAGGGTGACCCCCTCGTGTTAGAGGAATGAGCTTCGAGCAGCAATTGGACAAGCAGGGACTCTTCAGTCTTGTGAGAAGGTGACTTAGAGGGGACCTTATAGCAATGCATAAAATCTTAAACGGATTAAAAAAAGTAAATCCAGAACAATACTTTACCATGCAGCAAGATTGTAGAACGTGACATAGATTTAGAGTTACAAGTAGAAATTTCAGGACAGACATCAGGAAGTTTTTCTTTTACCTAGGGGGTAATTTAACAACCGTCACAACGAGTTGTTGAGATCAGGACACGAGTTTCATTTGAAAAACAGTTTGTGATGGGAGGACGCTAGGGTGGGTGTTCTGGAGGGATGAGATAAGGTGAGCCGAAAGGCTTTCTTCAATCTTGTGATCAGAATGAGATCTTGTGATCTGACAATTCCAGGTTCAAATACTCACATTTTAAAGAGACAGCCAGACATCAGGAAAGTACTTTCTCTTTAAAGGACTCCCCACCATCTGCTTTTGCCATCAGCTTGCTAGGGATGAAGTTAATTTCACTGAGTGATGGTGACCTAGGGGATATGATGGCCCAAGTCACTATACCTGAGGATGTATTGATTTACAAAGCAATTTGAGAGGTCTGGTCGTAATAAGGCGTTGTAAGAATGAAAGGTTAGGGAGTCAGCCTGCCTCAGTTGGTAGCACTCTTGCCTCTGAGTCAGAAGTTTGTAGGTTCAAATCTGACGTCAGGCACTGAACTCACACAGTTGTGGGGGTGAGCTGAATTGTCGGAGGTGTCTATACTTTCTGTGGAATAAAACCTCAAATAAATCTTTTACATTGAACTTTGCCAGGATACAGCATGAATCTAATAGAAGAAAATATCGATGAAAGAGGAATAGATTGCAACGAGCTAACCTTTTTCCCAGCCCTGATCGACAGTCTTCAGTCTGAGGAATTCTTCGAGCAGTGTAAAGAGAGGCAAATTATTCTCCAGCTTTTAGACGAGAGAGAGAAGGTAAGGAACACCTTTAGGGGTTAAAAATGTAATAGGTGATGTGCTGATTATCACATCTTCGATACTCAGACAACAACAACTTGCATTTATATTTATATAGCGCCCCGTGGCCCTTTTCGCAAAGAAAAGGGAGTTTTGCCAGTGTGGTTTTCCCACTTTTTCTGAGACATTGCTGTGCGCAAATTGGCAACTGCAATTGCTTTCACAATACACAGTCATTACACTTCACGGTGAAATTTGGTGAAGTGTTTTGAGATGTCCTCTGAGCATGATAAGGCGTTATAGCAAATGAAAGGATTATAGAACTTGGGACATTGCTCTGTGTCGGGAATAACTGGCTTGATTCAAAGTTTTATTGTTGGGTTGAGACGGTGGCTGGTTAAGATCCAGCCCAATCTGAGGTCTCCAAGTGTTGTCCCTCGAGCTGCCTGCACCAAATACTCTCCAAAATTAGACAAAGCAGGGTGCATCGCTTCAGGGAAATGGGTTCCCACATGTGTCAGACACTCGGCTGACCATAAAATATAATGAACCCATTTTCCTCCGATCTGTTCTGACACTAAAACCCTCAGGTTGCCCGGTTATTTGCAGCCTCCAAACCTCAGCCACCCAAGTTGCAAAGCTGAACATGCTGTGTTCAAAGTCTTTCCTTTCCGCAAACCGTGGGGTCTTGACTCCTGAGATGCCAAGAAAAAGCTGTGTGTGTGTTTTATGCCAGTGCAACTGACTTACCTGAAACATAATTACGCTGCATCTTATAATGCCCATGTGGTAATACCCCTGGCACTGTTAAGTAAATTATGTCAGTTCATATAATAACCAATAATGAAATTTTAAACTGTTCCCTTTCTTTACTGGATTACCTTTCATTCATTAATCATTGTTATGATAATATTGTCAACGTGGCAGATGAAGTCTTTATGCAAACTCTAATTTATGACGCTCGTTGCTCCGAGGAAGAGTACAGCGGGAAAAACAATCTCCAAAGGAGGACTGTTGATGGAGATTTCAACCGTGCATGTTTTACAGCATCGTTACAAAGGCTTCAAATGTTGTACCCTCACCGTGTGCCAGTCTTGGTAGTACTCTCGCTTCTGTTTCCACCTCCTCGCTCCCTCCCTTTCCTCCCCTCACCCTGACCATTTCCCCCCTGCTCGGGTCCTGACCCAACTGTACAGCGCCTTGGGACGTCCTCCCGACGTGAAAGGCGCTCTATAAATGGAATCTTGTTGTTGTTGTTGTTGTTTCAGAAGGTTGTGCGTTCAAGCCCCATGTGGGGACTTGGAATTTGTATACTCTAAGCCGACTCTCTAATGTAGTCGGTGTGTGTGTGTGGGAGGAAGGTTGCATTGTTGGAGTCTCATCATTTGGATAAACTGTCTGCTCAGGTAGATGTTAAAGATCCAACCGCACTATTCAAAAAGAGAAGGGAGTTTCTTACCAGGGTCCCGGCCAGCAATCCCCCAAATAAAAAAAAAGGGTTATTAGTTTCATTGTTATGCACAATTTGGCTGCTGAGTTCACCTACAAAGCAATCACAAACAGTCAATGCACTTTACAGGGTTTCCTGTGAAGCACTCTGGGGCATCCTGTAAGGACTTTAAGGAGTCCTGTAGCTTAGTGGTTAGAGCACTCGCCTTGCAAGTGAGAGACCTGGGTTCGATTCCCAGCAGGGTGAAACCAAACCTTGGGCAAGTTTCTTTACTCCACAGACCTAATAACAATACCTCAAGAAAAAAAACTAATAAAATTGGTCACTTCAATCCACAACTGTTTGTGGGACACTGCTGTGCGCAATTGGCTGCCGTGTTTTGCCCACAAATATACAGTCAATTCACTTTACAATATATTCTGTGAAGCTCTTTGAGACATCCAGAAGACGTGAAAAGCGCTACATCGAATGCAAGGATTATTATTATTATCCTCCTGACTTGAAAGATGCTATACCAAATTAAAGGATTATTATTAGTAGTAGCAGTATTGTTATGAATCTTGACACCAATTGAATAGTTTCATTCTGTCCGATTCATACTAAAGAACGAAAATGTGTTCTGTGTTCACCCACTAATGTTTCAAAAGGCTTATTAGATTGCCTCTTCCTCGTGCCCAATTTTTCAGTCGGTCACATTCAAGAGGAAGACAGGAGGAATGTGTATTGATAATAACAATTCTTGCATTTGATGCAGCACCCTTCACACCATGAGGACCCTTCAAAGTGCTTCACAGGATTTACTGTAATGTGCAGCGATTGTGTATTTTGTATTCTGGAGAGGATGGGATCAAACAAAAGAGGCTTTTTCTACTATTGCTCATCTGAATCTTGCTGTAACTTGTCAACCAAGGGATTCACAAACTGAATAATTTTCATAGTTTCCAAAGCAAGTTGTTCAAGTGAGTTTCAGAGGGAATTGGGATGGGAATTGAGGGTTTCGTTGGAGGAGCAAATGGCAACAATAATGCAGTGGGTCAAGTTGATACCTATTATTAGTTAGCTTCACCCCAAACATATACAGTGAATTCACTTTACAGTTCTGAATTCTGTGACAATTCCATTCTGTGAAGTGTTTTGAAATGTCTCAATGACGTGATAAGGCAAACGCAAGGATATCAAATGCAAGGATTATTGTTAGCGGAGTTGCAATTTCTATCAGTCCCTCCAGATTATCATGAGGATAGAACTCAGCCAAGATTCCTGCTTCTCAATATACCCACCATATCCTCCTGTCTGATCGTGTGTGTGTGTGTATATATATGGGGGCGGGGTGTGGAGGGCATGAGGTGTGCATTGGTCTTGGTTCCTAATGGTCACACGATCGGCTGAGGAGTACAGAGAGGTCTGAACAGAGGAACCTCGAAACTCGTATTAAGCAGAACAATCAAACATTAGTTATGCTTCACTGATCTGCCCGCCACTAGCTGTGTGCTTTGTAAGCGCTATGTTCCTGGAGGCCGTTCCTGTTTGATTCATATTAATTGTCCTCCGCTACCAGCAAGCTACCCAACACATATGGTTGCTGTTTGTAAGTCAAGGGGGAATTTTCTGCATCTGCTACGGTTGATCTGAAAAGGAGCAGGTGCCGCTAGGTGCTTGCAAGTGAAGTGGATAATATCATTCATGCTGGTTAATTGTGCCCCGCTCGTGTTTAAATAGATTTCTCTCGTTCAAACCATAGTCACACCTTAAATAACCAAGGCACGCGTTAGCATTTTGGCATAAGCATAGAAAGGGCCGCTTTTATGAATCCAGTACGATTGTTTTTTTGGGGGGTCGGCCGGGTGTTTGACACATGCATAAATAGTATAAATATTAATAATCCTTATGTTTGATATAGCACCTTTCACGCCAAGAGTATGTCTGAAAGTGATTCACTGTAAAGTAGAGCGACTTTGTGCATATTGCCGCCAAACACAGGGGCTAATTTGTGTACAGCAACGTCCCACAAGCAGCCATGAAGCGAATGAGTCATTTTATCTGGAGGATTGTTAGCCAGAGCACTGCCTTCGCTTTAAAACTGGTGGCACCAACTGAGGTCCTGTCTGCCTTAAGCAGGCAGGACCTCGGTGGAGTGTCTGATCCGAATGATGACATTGGGACAATTCAACGCTGTGTTAAAGTGCCGGTCTGGGAGTTCAAAGTCCTGTTGCGGGCAAGAGTCACAGCCTTCTGCCTCAGAGGTTAGACCCAGGCTGACAGCTCCTGCTGTGCTGCTTGAGTTATCAGATCCCTCTGTCATGTCGAGCCCTGTACCTTGCACCCCCCCCACCCTGCATTGGTCAGTTTATTCCAGGTAGATTGCCGAGGTGAGGCTGGTTTCACTCAGGGCTGAGGTAGCAAGAGTCCAGGGTGGGTCACAAGGGGCTATTGTTTTGCGGCAGAATTTAATTGGCTGCAGTGAAGCCATCTGGGGGTTCCATGGGTTACATCGCTCAGACCCTGTTGCACAGCACTAACCTCCTGGTCTTGTTTGTCTCATCCCTCTGGAGGGAATTGACTTTGTGCCAAGCGTTTAACATGTTCAGCTACACAGCCCTCGTGACACTTCTCTACGTAGGTACCTTTAAGCTCCCCCCACCCGACACGCTACCCTGCCTGAAGGGCGCTGTATAAATGCAAGTAGTCATTCTTGTATCTTCTGCCCGGGCCTAGGCTAAACAGCTAGCTGAAAGTTAAAGAACGATAGCTTTTTAAGAAAGGAATATATTCGCTAGTCGAAGCCAGTTGTGCTAAGTCAGTTTGCAGTTATCAAAGCTAAGTCCGGAATAAAGAACTTGGCTCCTTAAGTTCATGATTTTTTTAAATATAAAAATTGCACTTCCAAGTGTTTATGCAGTTTATAGTTTGGTTTGATGTTTACCCTATCACCTGCGCCTAATACAACAACAACAAATTGCATTTATATAGCGCCTTTCACATCGGGAAGACGTCCCAAGGTGCTGAATTTGGATCTTTAACGTCCGTGCAAATGCAAGTTGTCATTGAAACCAGGTATTGCGAATAACAAACACCTTATTTTCAATCCCCGAGTTTGAGAAAACAAGCGCCTTACTGGAGCCCTTAATCGCTGGTGTGATGGAACATGACTTTACTCTTCACCTATCCTCTTTGGTAGGTCAACATGAAATGTTCCCTGATCGTTGTGGAAAGCCAGTCTCTGGTGGAAGGTGTCCTGCTCTTTGGTCGAGATCATTTCTACGTCGGCGAGAATTTCACACTTTCAACATCGGGCGACTTGTACTGCGTCAATCATCATCCATCGAGGTACTTCCAGGAGCTTTCAAGCCAGAAATGTTTAGGACTAAATAACCAAAACAGCTGTGTGAGGGCTGAGAGCAGTGGTGCCCAACCCGTGGCCCGCGGGCCGGATGTGGCCTGCTGAACCAGCCCAGGCGAGTCCGTTCCAAATCAATGTAGCCGTCGAGCGGCGTTGCCATAATACTCAGTCAAGAAAATTCATTTGGTTGTCCGACCAAAACGGTTAGCCACCACTGGCCTAGAGGCTCGTGTATGCCAATTTATGAGGGTTCCAGCGTGACGTGAACTCACCGATGAAATATTCAAAGCATCACTAAATGGTAACGAACAATAACATATGGAATAACCCCTACATTTGACATTGCGCCTTTCACGTCAGGAGGACGTCTCAAAGCTCCTCACGGGGATTCACTGTAAAGTGTACGGACTGTATCGCAACATCCCACAAACAGCACAATTGGAAACTCCCTTCGGTTTTTTAAGATCTTCAACATGAAAAGGCAGATGGGACCTCGATTTATTATAAGTAGCAACTGTATCACTAATGAACTGACCCCCAATGCACTCTCTTGAAATCAAATGCTTGTTTTTAGGAAATCAATATCCTGTTGTTGTTTTCCTTTTTTTTGCACTTTCAGCGTTGACGATTCCTACATTTATGACATGTGCAAGAAGGAAATGAATGGGGCGATTCCAAAGTGTTCCAGGTATCCGTACGGAGACGTTATGGAAATCCGCAATCTGCGTTTCCTTCTTCAGGTACGTGGAGTGACACCGCTGGACATAAGGAGAGGATGTCTAAGGACATTTAGCCACTTAGTTACTCACTTGGTAAAGCCACTAACTTCTGTGAAGTACAGCCAGGCATCCAGATTCAATCTTCCAGTCCGCGCGAGCTTTGTCAGCTAATCAGAATCCTGTAACTAGTGGTTAGCTCGTTCGACTTGCAAGTGAGAGTGCGCAGGTTCGATTCCCGGGCAGGGGGAAAACTTAGGCAAGTTTACGTACTCCACAAGCCTCTATTTACCTAGCAGTAAGTAGGAATCAGTCGATTGGTCGATCGCTTTTCGGAGCTAATATTCCCTCCAAAAATAATCCCTCAAAAACTGTTTGTGAGACACTGCTGTGTGCAGTTGGCAGCCGCATTTCGCTCACAAAATACACAGGCTCACTTTACAGCTCTTTGCTGCTCGATCTTGCTGCACAGTTTACCTGTCCATTCTTATCTTCCAGGACATTGCGCTTGAAATCATTTTGAAGAATGGTTTTTCAAAGCTTCTCGTATTCCATAAGAAAGATCGAAAAAAGGCCTTTAAAAAGTAAGTACCAGCCTCCACCCACACCACCCCCGCAGGTCAACCCCCACGCCACCCCCCGCAGGTCAAGCAGAACACCCACTGGGCAGGGGAATATTCTCCTCTGAGCAACTTCTAGTTAGAACCATCAATATTGCAAGCACAGGAGCCCACTCACTCACCATACCTGTGCTGTCTCTCAGAAAGAGCTCTCTGCTCAATCCCGTTCTCCTGCAATTTCACCAAACCCTTTCCTATTTCCCCTATTCAGCTATTTAATTCCCACTTGAAAACTAAAACTGGATTCTGTCTTAACCATGGTCGTAGGTAGGTCATTCCATGTCCTTAGAGCCCTAACAACAAAGCCATCTCTCTTAATTTCCTCCTTTTGCTCCATTAGCAATGACCTTAAATCTGCACCCTCCAGTTTCTGATTCCTATGAGTATTATCAAATACCCGTCATAATGTTCTAAAATCCCCCTCGCCTCGGGTTGGCTCTCAACCTGCTCATGGAAAGCAGACCCAGTTCCTCCAGTCTTTCCTTGTGGGTGCAACCGTTCCTTCCTGGTATCACCACAGCCAATCTTTTGGATTTAAACAAAGCTTAGTTGGTGTTTTTTCAAACGTTTCTTCCCTTCAGGTTTAGCCACGCGATGCCATCGTTGAAAAAGGGGTTAAAGGAATCCACAAAGACTGTTAGGTGAGTTAGTTACAGTTTGATCCGATTTGACCATTGTCTGTAGAGTAGAATATCTTCGCACAAATGTTAATGAGCACAGTTCGAAAGCAGATTTGTCTCACAAAGCGAGTCAGTGAAGGCATGAGACAAGAGAGCGAGAGATGGTTAGACTCTTGGTAAATGTGGATTGTAAGGGCTACAGTGAAAAAGGCAGGAAAATTATATTAAAGTGTTGCCTAAAGCTTTTTGGCCGAGCTGGTTTGATGGACCGAATGACATACTCCTGTTCTTAAAGTGTAAGAATTAAATTAAAGAGGGAATACAGAGTAACTCCTCTTTGTGATAATATTATCAAGGAGCACATCTCAATTTTGCCCATCAGCGTTCTGGAGGCATTAAAACCAAGCTCCTGTCTTCCTGTTCCTGTAGTCAGAAGCGTGTTAAAGATCCCAGAGGATGATTGTTTAAGAAGAGGTTCTCCTCTGTGCCATGTTCCACACTTATTCAACCTCAGTGAAAAAAAGCAGATAAAAATGTGGGCCATTCGTCTCATTGCTGGTGCAGATTAGCTGCCGGCCTTGATCACGACTCTTGGCAGTGACTCTTATTGTGAGCTGGTTGGAGTTGTTTTAAGATAAGGCACTTTACCGAACGGAAATGCTGGGCAACAAATACAACACATAATACGTGCAATTTTGCATTGTAACTTTTATCTTTGACCCTTTAACAATGTACCTTTAACAATGTACTTCGCCTTGAGCAATGTACCCTTACCATTATCAATGTACTTTCCCTTTACCAATGTACTATTGATATATTGGTTAGTTTGTAGTTTGAGGTTCTAGAGGGGGAGGAGTCTTTCTGGAAGTGAGTTACACACAACTTGCTGACTTGTTGGAACCTCGCATCAATTTAGATTGCATCGGAGGGAGAGGCAGCGAGTCGGCATGACACAGGAGTGGATTCGAAGGAATTGCTGCCTTTGAAACCCAGGGGGTTTAAAAGGCAGCGATTTGCATTAGAATCAAATGCAAGCAGGAACACCATGCAGTGAAGGGTGGAAACAAACACTCAGAAAGGGACGTGTTCACATTCAAGTTTCATTTTTAATTGATTCTCATTACAGCCCTACGTAACCCAATGCCACAAGATGCAATCGGATTTACTTATCTGGTGGCATTTAGTAGAAAGGTAGTGACAAACATACCCCTTGCTGGTGGTAGAATGAGTCAGTCTTGTTAAATAAGGGTTAAATCCAGCACCGTTGGTTTATCATGAACCGTGATGTGGGCAGTCATTCTGAAATAAGCCATATGTTGCATATCTTCAATGGATTATTCTGAAAATCACTAATTATGACACCAATGCCAAGAAACTTCAATGTCCTCCGTCCGTAATTCACCCAGCGTTGCTTGCAGGATTATTTTGTCTTAAAAATTACCGTCTCCCAAATTACGACTGATTTTAGTCATTTTCCTGGGTTCAAAGAGATTTCCTTTTCTCCAGTCATTTCATATGTGTCAGCCTGCTCAATTGGTAGTACTCCTACCTCAGAGTCAAAAGGTTATGGGTTTGAGTTCCACGTTGTGACTTTGAACTCGCAGTCCAGGATGGCACTCCAATGCAGTGCTAGGGGAGCGCTACACTTGTTGGAGATGTTGTCCTTTGATGAGACGTTAAACCGAGGCCCTGTCTGCCTGGTTAGGTGATTGTTAATGATTAAAGATTGTTAAAGAAAAAAGAAAGGAGTTTCTCCCGGTGTCCTGGCTATTAATCCCTCAAATAAAAAATTGTTGATTCACTTCATGGCTGTTTGTGGGACATTGTTGTGTGCAAATTGGCTGCCACAGTCACCTACAAAAAGAAACAGTTATTACATTGTACTGCGAAGCACTTTGATACATGCATCAAATACAAGGATTATTATAGTAGTATTATTTCTTGATGGTTTAGCTGTTTGGAGAATATTTGTAATTATCTCAACCGCTCTGAGATACTGTCAGAAATATTTAAAATATTGAGGCATTAATTGACATAACTTGGGAGCAAAATCAGAGAAGCCCTTTGTTCCACAATCAATGTGAAAGCTCAGCATCCTGAGTTAGGTGATCGCTAAAAGTAACTAACCTCAGTGTCTTCTGATTAGATGACGGAAAATCAATCAATTCACTGTTCAATCCTCATCTAATGTTGCTCCACCACCTCTACTCAAATGTGTTGACGTCAGATGAGGATAAGATGTGCTGCACAACCCCCCCACCCCCAAAAGCTACAGCCGAAAAGCTTGCCAACACTTACTATCAATGCTAACACATGAATAATATCTACCTGCATGACGATACAGTAATAGTCGTGCAAGTCATATCAGTTGGGACCACACTATTTAATATGACTTGCGCAAAGTACGAATTAGAGGCAAACTTGCGTTATGTCATATAAATTCCGATCGAATCAATAATCTACATTGCGGATGCGTGATTCAATGCATTCAGGACTTAATTTCCCGTGATTCAGTGTGATAGCTGCATAACAAGTTAGGAGATGATTTGCTTTATAAAATGCGGCCCTTACAAAATAAATCAAAGTGTTTTCTGGTAGGAAACTGAATGGGACTCAGGTGCATGTACGACTGAGGTGATTATACGATTTATGAAGATAAGACTTATGCAAGTTTTACTGTATTTGCTGGCTTCTTTTTAGTCAGCCATTATTTGACATACAGAAAAATATATCATTATGCTTAGAGTATCCAAGACAAGCTGACAGTTCCAGATATGTAAGCCACATGGAAATTTCCCCGTGTCTGGAATGGAATGCAAACTCTCTCCCTGTAGGGACAGATTGACAGATAGATGGACGGACTGACACATGCATGAGACAGATGAATAGATGTGTGTGTGCATGAGACAGACAATAGGCTCAAGCTCAACCTAAGCAAGTTGGCAGATATTTGGGATTGATTGATATTAGCGAGTTAAGGCATATAGAGAACGAAGAAGGAAATAAGTAAGCTAACGAGTTAAATGTTTTGCCCTGATCCAATGAACAGAATTGGGTCAGTGGGTTGTATGTATAGTCTTGTTCCTGTGGTTAGAGGCTGGGTATGGATGTGCATGGGATGGGAAATTATAAAGGCCTGTGAGCGAGTGAGGAAGAGGAAAAGTAGCCAGCAATCGCTCACTCTGAGCCGTACCCTAAAAGACAAGCTCATCGGGACAGATTGGAGCAAGTTGACATTGCAGCTTTATTTCACGTAAACCTGGCCAGTTTCCAAGCCCAGCTCCAGAATTCCTCAACAGAGGGCACTGCCCAACCCTCTGAAAAAGAATTCATGTTCTCCAAGACTCCTGTTCTTCTTTGGCCACAGAATTGGGTGTTATGAGGCCTGAAAAATCAGGATCCTCCTTGAGATCGGTCATGTTCTTCACCTTGGTCCACTTCTCTCTCTCGTGCTGAGCCTTGCGGAGGCAGTTGCGGCAGAGGTTCTCCTTGTGAGCGAGGTACAGGTAGTCGAGCCGGTTTATGGTGTCGATGGGCTTGTCCTCTTCCTTGGGCGTGCTGTACGGGTTCCGCAGGCCGTTGAGCTTCTTCAGCTTGGGCAGGGTGAGGATTTTGTCAGGCACCATTGAGATATTGTTGTCGAAGAGCCCCAGCTCGTACAGCTCCTTCAGGGTCCCGATGGACGTTGGCAGGATGTCCACCGAATTCAGCCCGAGGTTGAGGATGCGCAGGTTCTTGAGATGGCCCAGCTCGATGGGTAAGCTGTCCGCGGTTAGCTTGTTGTTGCAGAGGTTGAGATAGAAGAGGTTTTCCAGCTGGCCGATGGATTCGGGAATTTTATCGATCTTGTTGGTGTGAAGGTCCAGCCAGCGAAGCTTTTCGAATTTCTCGATGTACTCGGGGATCTTCTTGATCTGGTTCCTGCTCAGGTCGATCTCTTCGATGTCGGTCAGTTTCAGGATACACCGAGGAAACGTTACGATGCCCATGTTGCTCAGGACCAAGCGTCGCTTGCCGTCGAATGTGATCTTCATTGAGTTTTTGGCCATCTTCAGGGTCACCTTTTTCCCCTTGGGGCCTTTACTCTTTCCCTTGGCCATTTTCCTAATTTAGAATAAGGGAGTGGGGTCGGTTTCGGTGGGTGGGGTTGAGGGATTAGTAGGGGGGGGGGAAGAAAAGAAAAACAGCCTTGAGTTAAAATGATTCTCACGCACAGGGCTTCATGAGCCCATCATCGTTGGCCTCGCAAGGCTCCGCTGCCCCCCAGCAGATCAACTTTAGTATCCCTATCCTCGCCTTCAAACCCTCCACTGTATTGCCTCAGCCTCCTCCTCTGCCCACTCTCTCTGCTCTTCTAACTCTAGGCTGCTTCATGCCTCAATGCACCACCATCGCCAGGCGAGCTTCCAGCTACCCTGGCCTCGCTCCCTCGAGTGAAATCCTACACCTCTCTTCCTCCTTCTCTGCTTTCCGAACCTATCTAAAAGCCCATGTCTTTGAAATATGCTGCTACCTCCCACCCTACCCCCTACCTCCCACCCTACCCCCTACCTCCCACCCTACCCCCTACCTCCCACCCTAACCCCTACCTCCCACCCTACCCCCTACCTCCCACCTTAGCCCCTACCTCCCACCTTAGCCCCTACCTCCCACCTTAGCCCCTACCTCCCACCTTAGCCCCTACCTCCCACCTTTGCCCCTACCTCCCACCTTACTCCCTATTTTTCAAGCACTCCGAGATGCAACCTCACGTGAAGGGTGGCTATATAATTACAAGTTGTTGTGGTAGTGATGCCTCCCACCTCACCCCCTATCTATCTCCTACCTTAATCCCTATCTCCCAACCATTTTGGCCTCCCACTCTGTCTCTGTCACGTCCTCTCTCCTTCAATCCCTCAGCCTTGTCCCCTCCTTCCCCATCGAAGGAATGAAGGAAGGATGGAAGAAAAAGCGAGGAAGGAAGAAGCCAGAGGAAAGTGCTGTTTCCTCCAGTGCTGGAGAGATATTCACATGGTTTTGAGCAGGGGAGAGGAGGGGGCAAGAGGGAAGCAAAATCTGCTTGTATCCTCGTTGCTTGTGTCTCGTGGCTAACAACTTTTAATGTGATTTAGCAAAAATAAATGACCAGGAGTAGCTGAGAGCCAGTGGGAGGCTGGAAGACGTTCTGGCTGGCTTCTCTGTAGCTGCTTATATGCTACAGCACTTAATTGTGCTAAAGCCAGATCACGACTGTGATGAATGATTGTTTAGGAAGCAATATGGGTTTTGCTCGTACACACCTTTCCATTAAAAAGGCTTCATTACAAGGCCTTCAGGGGCTTTGGCTACTCATTAATCATATTCAACCATGTGCAGGGGAATGTGAGATAATAACTAATGCATCCCAGCTAATTTCAATTATCTGGCTCGGAGAGAGAGAGAGAAAACGATCAAAAAAGCAGCTATAATAGAGTCCACTTAATCCATCCATAAAAATCTATCAAAAAACCCGCTTGCAGTCTTTTGTGATGTTTGTAATTTGTTTTGGACTAGAGATGGAGTTGTATGGTTGAAAAGTCTATTAATGTTAGGACTTCTTTGTGCTCTCTCTCACTTTCTCACTCTCTGAAAACCTAGTTTTTTTTAACAGCGCCTCATCAGGCCAATTAAAAACGCTTCAAAGCGCTGCGCATTGCAATTGCTGTCGAGTGTAGTGACTGTTTTTGTAGGCTCTGCTGAGCAGCCATTTTTCCCATCACAAGACCCCGCAAACAATCAATCGTCAGGGAGTTGGTTAGCAAAGACATTGAGGGAAACTCTCTTCTCTTTTCAAATAGGGTCATGGGATCTTCAACCACCACAACTTGAATTTATATAGCGCTTTTCACGCTGGACTAGTGACTCATGGTAGAGGGTCGGCCTAGTCTTCAAGTTCAAGTGCTGATAGAGGGCTTGAATCTCCAGCCTTCTGACCAAAGGCAATTAAGCGTGTTGGCAGCTGAGCTTACTTAGCTGGCGTGTACCAACTTCTGCCGTAGTTAAAGAGATGTGTTTTTATTGTAGAGGTTAGTGTCAGCAGAAGGGATTTTGAATCCTATTTTTTTTCTGGACTGACACGTGCAGAAATCCGTCACCATGCTTAAGAATGCAAGTTCCACATACGCATTCCACTTACGCATGAAAATTTCCCTGCGTGTGGAATGGAACGTGCACTCTCTCCCTGGAGGGACGGACCCTGCTTACTTTAATTCCGGAGAATATCGGATGCAAGCTGGCGAGAGCCAAGACCCACATAGGGTAGCTGCTGGAGTTTAACCCCACAGCTTGCCTGCTTGTAAAAATAAGTACTTTCGGGTGTCAGTTGGCTCAGCAGCTAGGACACTTGCCTCTGAGTAAAAAGATTAGGCGTTCAAGTCCCACAAGGCTTTGAACTCGCATAATTTAGGCTGATTCTCTAATACAGAGCTGGGGAAGGGCTGCATTGTCGGAGGTGCCTTTCTTCGTATGAACCAATGGCCACCTCTTCAGGTGGATGTTAAAGATGCCAACGCACTATTCGAAAAGAGAAGGGAGTCGCTTCCAGTGTCCTGCTCAACAATGCGCCAAATTAAAATTGCCACTCATTTCGTGGCTGTTTGTGGGCACTTGCCCATGTGCAAATTGGCTGCCGGGTTCACCTACAAAATGTACAGTCACTACACTTCACAGTAAAATCGTTTACTGTGAAGCGCTTCGAGAAGACTTCCCAATGTGACATGGGCGTGATATCGAACGCGAGGATTTTTTTTATTTCACACTTATTCTTGGTGCAATCTTCCTTCCCATCCATCACAGCCATATCATTACCTTTTTGGCTCATCTACCTTGCTCTCCTGTTGCCTCTTTAATTTTTTTTACAAAACCCCTGTCTCTTCTCTCTAGCTATCGCTGTTGAAGTCTTCATTCCTCTCCCTCCCTGTTCCCCATTTTCTTCCTTTACTCAAAATATCTTTCTCTCTCACAAAATATACAGCCAATTCACTTTACAATATGTTCTGTGAAGCTCTTTGACACGTCTCAACGACAATGATAAGGCGCTATATCAAATGCGAGGATAATTATTATATATATAATCGTAACATAGGTGGGATTTTTCAAAACTAACTTTGCAGATTTGTCTTCGATTTCCCCCCACAAAACATATACACATTTTCTATATTGTTTTGCCCACCTATCGATCTATTAGCCAAGCTCTTGCTCTGACTTTGTCCAACTTCTCGACCCCCACTCCCAGCTCCCGGACTAAGATCTGTCCTGATAGCTTTTAATTGCCTTTGCTTTTCCTTGTTGCTGCTGCCAGATTAATGCAGTGTACTGGAAGCCTGCGGGCCATCACATTAACCAGACACACATCTCCCTATATGCTCGCTCTACACTGCGTGCTTATTGCTACAATAGCGGTGGGCTTGTCATATTAACATCACAATTTTTCAAATCAGGCGCCCGTGCTGGTTAAAACCAGGTTGAATTGAAGTTTTTTTTTAATAAAAGGACACTTAGGCATGTGTGTGCAGCAAAAAGGCACTATTACTCCTGGCATTATATGTTGCTCATCTTTTGTGTGGTTGTTTGTGCTGATCCGTGGGTGGGTGATATTGCACAACTCAGTTACCCCAGGATACAATCGCATTATTGTATGAAATTCACAGAGTCCGGCTGCAAACTGTAAAGCTGATGGAATATTACAGGATAATTCCTCCACTGTGCCGTTCATGCTCTCCTGAGGCTGCAAAGTGGTGCAAGTACCGGTTGAAGGGGTAGAAGGGGGGGGGGGAATCCAAAGTATGGGTTTATTTTATCTTAAGGAGCACAAGTAAATATATATATAAAATTGTTTTGTTCCTTCTGACGAATTCTACTATTTAAAATTTACATCTGTACCTGTTGGGGATTTGATGGTTTTGTTCCGTTGCCCCTTCCTAGCCAGATATTTTTGAAAATTGTGTGTGTGTGAGAGAGAGAGAGAGAGGTAGGGGAGGGATCATTTCACTATTTAGTTGGTCAAATATATCCCATTGTGACAGGGGTGAATTCTCCCTTCTTCCTACTGACGCTGTTCTCAATAGACAACCCTGTAAAACCAGGCATGTGGTAATGGACTTGCAGGCTGAGACTATCACTGATAAACCGAGGTCTCATCTGCCTGTTCAGGGGGACATTAAAGATCCCGTGGTAACTATTCGAAAAGAGAAGAGAGTTTCTCCCGGTGTCTTGGCCAACAATCCCTTAAATAGAATTGGCCGTTCACTTCATGGCTGTTTGTGGGACATTGCTGTGTGCAAATTGGCTGCCGCGCTTGCTCACAAATACACAATCACTCCACTTGGCAGTAAGTTCTTGAAGCGGTTTGGGACGTCCTCCCGACGTAAAAGGCGCCTCTACCAAATGCAAGGATTATTATTATTATTAAGAAAGGTTCAGATGAAGAAGGCCCTTTGGCACATTTGATCTCATCCTTCCAGAATGCCCACCCTACTGCCTCCACTACCCCACGCAGCAGCAAGCCACTCTTAAGTGTGTCCAGCATCCCTGGACTCTTGCTGGCACACACCCTCATAAAGAAATACTTCCTGGTGCTTGCCTTGATATTGCCCTTTGCAATGCTAAACCCTCACGTCGTGCTGTCTCAAGCATCGAAACTAACTTGCGCTATCAACCTGTCGGTCAGTGCGGGTTCACATCGCTTTGAGAAACTCTTTGCAAACGGGCTTCTTGTGAATAGTGCCGACCTGTGGCCAAGGAGGAACAGTGCAGCTGTGATACAAACAGGCAGGTTTTGACTTGCCACAGCATTGAATCTCAAATGTTTTATTTGGGGATTTGTTCTCCACGATTGAATCACCAAGCCCATACCTCCCTCCAAGGTGTGACACTCAATGAGATGTAGCCAGAAATGTGTAGTTGCCTCTGAAGGTGACCCTGACTTACCTGGAAGTGCTGAGCTGAGTGCCTGGGAGATGGGAGCTGCTTGCTTACTTGAAACTGCGAGGGCAAGTGGCTGATATTAATTACTGAGGATGTCAGCAACATAGGCCAGCGACTTCATTGTGACAGCAACACACCAGGTGATATTTCACACCAGGGCCCGGGGCCAGGTTACTATTTAACTCAATATCTCTACATGTCTTTAAATTGTTTGAATTCAGTGACAGACTTTAGATGTGGCTGAACCATATAGGCTCTGGCAATGTAACTTTTTTTAAGTGGTTTTAGAATTTGTCCCTGATTTATAATGGCTGTTTGTGAGATGTTGCTGTCTGCAAATTGGCTGCCGAGTTTACCTTCCCCTACCAAACAAACCACACAATCACTAAACTTTACAATATAATATTGCGAAGCGCTTTGAGACGTCCTCCTGACATGAAAGGCGCATTAAAAAATGCAAGGACACCAGGAGAAACTCTCTTCTTTTTGATTAGTGCAATGGGATCTTTGATGTCCATATGAACGGGCAAACAAACAGGACTTTGGTTTAACATCTAATCCGAAGGGCAGTATCTCCAATAGTGTAGCACTTCCCAAATACTGCATTGGGTGTCAGCCTGGACTGTGATCTCAAAGTCCCAACTTGGGGCTTGAACCCACGACTCAGCCAGCGTGCTGCCAACTTGGCCAGGCTGACATATTTGTCCAAACCCCTCAATCCAAGTGTGTCTCAAATAAGATTCAGAGCTTTAAAGGGAACACAAAAGTCTCCATTCGACAAAGCAGAGTTGCAAAGCGACATGAAATGCAAACAAATCTTTCGTTGGATGAATTGTGAGTGGAACTAGAACTGGAGATCGGTGGATCTTTTGGTTCTGATGCGTTCCAGGAAATATGGCCTGTGAGAATGTTTAAAACTATTCACGTTCAGTGCCAATCAAAGCTTTCGTTCTAAATACAGTTCAGGGATCCATTTAAAGTGTCATTAGCTCTTTCCACTCTGCCTTTCCCTAGCTAGTCCACAGGGTAAACTCTCAACACACAAATGAGCTCCACTTATTTTCATTCTTTTTGATGCTGCCTTATCAAATAGAATTTACAATGTGAGCTCATTAATAATAATAATGATTTGCGTTTGATTTGGCGCCTTTCACTCGGGAGATGTCTCATAGTGCACGCAGATATCATATAGGGGTGGAAAGGAAAAGACGATATGTGATGTGCAGCAGATACTGGGACCTTCTGCACTTGGATGTACCTCATTCAATAGTCAGCCAAAGTAACATGTTTTTTTGGGCGGATGTCCTGTTATCTCTTGGCACAACAGTGTGTAATATTACTATTATGGAAGGTTGGTGCAATTTACTTGTTAACAGTAGTGGTAAGAATTGTTGCATTTGATGCAATGCCCCTTATTATGTCATCGAACATCTCAAAGCCCTTCACAGGATTTGCTACGAAGTGTAGTGACTATATTTATAGGTGAATGCGGTAACCAGCTTGCACACGGCAATGTCCCACGTACAGCTATAAATTTTATTTGGGGATTGTTGCCCAAGACACCTGGAGAAACTCCCTTCTCTTTTCCAATAGCTCCAGGAGATCTTTAACGTTTACCTGTACAAGCAGGACCTTGGTTTAACATGACACCCGAAAGTCGGCACTCCCAACAATGCGGCCCACGGACAGCACTGTACTGAAGTGTGAGCCGAGACTGTGAACTCAAAGTCCTAACGTGGGGCTTAAACCCACAACCTTCTGGCTCCAACGTCTGAGACGTTATCCTGTGTGAAGGGCGTTATGTAAATGCTAGTCGTCGTTATTGAAGTGATCAATTGATCGATCCTAGTTTAGTCTGCGTTCGGAGCAAGGTATAACCGAGGGAGTGAAAGAGAAGAAACGTAGAGGGGAGTAAGATGAGATTTAAAACTTGATCTAGTTCAGGTGATTTAGAACTGAACAGGAATACAGGTTTTTTTTTGCAAGTAAAAGTACTGGATGAATATTGTATCCTTACCAGCGGTCAGTTTCGCGGCGGTGTGTGGAATAGGGTTCAGAACTCTTCGGCTGCTCAGTCAACACAGGCACAACCTCCCAAATCCTGGTCTTTTCCAGTCCTGCATGCTCCTTAAATGTCTGGCACTTCAAATAATGGATCAAATCTCTAGCACTTGTAAACGGAAACTAGGGAGCACGCATCTATTACTTATAAAGTCCCACGTCCACAGACGTAATGAGCGAGGTACATCTCTGAAGTGGGAGAAGTCGGAAACGTTTACACAAGACTCACACACACACACACACACACACGTTGCAGGCAGCTCAGCTTTCTGTCCACTTCTTGTTCGATCAGGGTTGCTAAGCAGCGGAGGCCTTCGGGCCCTAGTGATAATTAGCATATTGTTTAGCCATGGTCGACAAACAGCATTCAGTCCCCAAGAAGACTTTGAACTGCTTTTCAATAGTCCTTGCATTTGATACAGCGCCTTTCACATCGACAAGAAGTCGCAAGGCACTTGAAGGGGTACACTATACAGTGCAGTGACTGTAATTTTGTAGGTGAACGCATCAAGTGGTTTGCGCACAGCAATGTCCCACAAACACCATGGAGCGATTGACCAATTTTATCTGGGGGATTTGTCAGCCAGGACACTGGGAGAGAGAAAGTCCTTTCCCTTTTCGAACAGTATCAGAGGATCTGCAACATCCGCCTGACAGTCAGACGGGGACCTCGGTTTAACATGTCGGGCACTGGTTGCGACTGTGGACAGTAAAATCATGTAATGTTATAATAATCCTTGCATTTGATATAGCGCCTTATCACGTCATCGACATCTCAAAGCGTTTGACAGATTATATTGTAAAGTGAATTGGTTGTGCATTTTGTGGGCGAAACGCGGAAGCCAATTGCGCACAGCAGTGTCCCACAAGCAGTCGTGGATTGATGTACAGTAACACTTTGAAAACCGTCTTATTGCTGGGGCACAAGGCAAATAGCACGACATCGGATCGTGAACCCATTTTTTCTCTCGAAGGTGGTGGGGGAGGGGGAGATTATCCTGATGCCCCTAAATAAGTGCTTGTGATGATCTGATCGAGTTGGTCAGTTGGGAGTGGGTGGTAGAAACGGCCCTTTTATCGCCTGACTGCTTGTCCACGCATTAACCTTTGATCTCAGGAACTGTTGTTTGTCAGCCCTCAGCTGGTTGTTATGGTGTGACTAATGCAGCAAGCCTTGACCGAAATAACGTCGTTCAGTCAAACTAAATGGAATGAGCCCCACTCTTTACCCGAAGCCATGATGTGTGCCAATGAGCAGGGAACATGCTTTAACTTGCAGCCGAGGAAGTTATTTAGCCAGTGATTTGGTTTCCACGCACTAAACCTTGGCAACGTCTGAAAGAGTGCAATGCTCCAGTAATTCCTGCCCAGGGTAGGGAGCGCTCAGGAACATTGCTGGAGCGGTCCAAATACCACTCCGTATGCATTACACAGCATCATCTACTGTGTACAAATCAGCCTTAATCAGAGGTCAATCTCACACCAGGAATCCTGATGAAATATTTGTTGTTGAAAGTGGCTTTATAAATCCTTCCACTTGATCGCTCCTTTCACGTCAAGAGGATGCCTCAAATCGCTTCACAGGATTTACTGTAAAATGCAATATTTTTTGTAGGCAAATGAGGCAGCCGGTTTGCACTCAGCAATATCCCACAAACAGCCGTGAAGTGAAAGGACCAATTATACCTGAGTGCAGTTGGCCAGGACACAGGGAGAAAAGTCCTCCTCTTTTCCTGTAGTGCCATGGAACCTTAAATGTCCACCTGAACAAACAGACTGGACTGAACAGTTTAATGAAGCACGGTGCCTCTGACAATGTAGTGCTCCCTGTATTGGAGTGTCATCAGCGACTACGTGAGGTTAAAGTCTCAATGTGGAACTTGAACCCACAACCTTCTGACTCAAAAGCAAGAATGCTACCAACTGAAAGCCGGGCTGATGCTCTTTTCTAAAGGGAGTGAATTTATTGGCCATTTCTATTTGCCTTTTATCCATGCACGTAGTAAAACAATGCTTCCAGCTAATTCCAGATTATACAACCCATTCAGACCATCTGACCCTTTAAACCATCAAGCATTCTGCAATATGCATTTCATCTTCAGACCTTTAGACTTGCAGGATGTATTGCAGAATGTCTCCGTAGCAATAACTCTCCCCACCAAACAGAAATAAGCTCAGCGTGGAGAAACATGAGAATTATCACACTGTTGTAATGCCTGAGCCCTTTAATAGGTTAGATTAAAAACAGTGTGAATCTAGGTTCCCTTTCCTGTGGACTTTAATTATTCAAAGGCGGCTTTGTCACTCAAAAGGAGATGCTTATGGAATTGAGATTCTAGGAGCCAAAATGAACTACTGTGTGTTTTGAGAGGCTCTGCTTTAACTGCCCACAACCTCCAATATGTGCTGCCCTACCTAATGCGCGTTCTGTCAGTTTCTCTACGTTAATAAGCAGCTCGGAGTAACAATTTTAATGGAGCCTTTGCCTTCCGTAGGGTTTGATACCATGAGCCAGACTCTGCACACGGTTCTCCATTCCCCCTGGGTACCCTTACCACCTAAGCTCGTAATCTTGTTTTTTTAATAACCTGCCGGTTTGGGTGGTTTAAATTGAGAATAACGCCATATATATATATTATATAAAATCAAATTATTAAATGTTTGTTTGAGTTTTGTTTTCTTTTAAGTTTTCCAGCTGGATATGGAGGTCGGTGTGCGCGTGCGAGGGGAGGTTATTTGTCAAGAATAAAAATTGAGTAGACTTGGATAGGCAGTGTTATCATGTCTTCAGTGAAATGAATGGGGAACTCACTGCGTGTTGAGCGATCATGAACACACACGCACACACACAAATCTTGTGAAGTTCTTTGATGCCTCTCGACAATGTGATAAGACACCATATCAAATGTGAGGGTTATTATTATTTAACACCCCACTGCAGAGTTCTGGAGCGTTCATTCAGCGGTGTAGGATTCAAATGCCATATTGAGTCATGGTCCATCACAGATCACACGGCAGTGCATTGATACATTACACCTGATCTATCCCATATTTTGCATCTGATGCTAATACCGTTTAACGATCTTGACCTGCATGAGTTACGAGGAGAGGAGGAGACAGTAGAGAAGAGAATGGCTGTCTTTTGTGTTTAACTGGAACCACTCCGTTTGAGTAATATATCAGAACTCTTGTTTATAAAGACAGTGAAAAAGATTGTGTTTTAGCAATCAGAGTACATTAATCCCCTCATACGGGATAAAATTCTAGCCTGACAGAGCGAAACCTTAGGCAAGTTTCTTTACTCCACACGACTCTGTTTACCCAGCAGTAAGTAGGAATCTGGTATGTTAGTCGATTGGCAGATCACTATCCGGGGATAATAATTCCCTGAAAAAAATTATAATAATAATTTGGTCACTCAATCCACAACTGTTGCTGTGAGCAATTGGCTGCCACGTTTTGCTCACAAAATATGGTCAATTCACTTTACAGTACATTCTGTGAAGTGCTTTGAGACCTCTTGACAACATGATAAGGCGCTATGTCAAATGCAAGGATTATTATATTATTATTCTAAAGTGGCATTTCAGAGTGCACAGAATTTGGCCAATTCTTAAATACAGCCTTCATTCTTAAAGCTTGTTTTTGTAAAGTTCTGTAAAACCTATAGAAAGTCGGTTTCAAAACTAAGACTAAATTCAACAATTTGCCAGATCTTGGACACTGAAAGATTGCCTTAATTGAATAATTCTCGACCCAGATGGAAGCATTTTAGAGCATCCAGGATTTGGCAAGTTCTTAAAGACTTTGAAGTCTTTGTAAAACGTTGTGAGTTATTTCAACAAACCACAGAAAACGGACTTCAAAGTTAAGACTGGAGAACTCAACAATTTGACAAATTCAGCATTTTGGCTCTTTTGCTATGTTGATTGAAAATATTACCATTTTATTTTCTTTCCCTTTACAGTGGATCTCTGAATCCCATGGTGGGAAACAAAGGAATTACCCAGAAATGGCAGGTAAGAGGTCAATATTTCACAGTTACCACAAGAGATTTTCAGATAAAAAAGGCCCTCCGACTCACTTGATCCCAGAATACCCACCTACCCTCCTCTCAGTTGGAAGCACTCTCGCCTTTGAGTCAAAAGGTTGTGAGTTCAAACCCCTCTTTGAGACTCACACAATTCAGAGCTGACACTACAGTGCTGTACTGGGAGAGCACTGCATTGGAAAGGTGCTGTCCTCCAGATGAAATATTAAACCAAGCTCCCGTCTAACCTGTTTGGGTGATGTTAAAAACCTTATGGCACTATTGGAAAAGAGAAGGGAGTTTCTCCCAGTGTCCTGTCTAACAACAACAACAAGATTCCATTTATAGAGCGCCTTTCACGTCGGGAGGACGTCCCAAGGCGCTAACAATCCCCCAGATAAAAAAAATTGTCTGTCACATTCGCCTACAAATTAACACCGTTTACAGTAAAATCCTGTGCACAATTTACATAAAATCCATGCATGATATCAAAATCAAGGATTGTCATTATTATTAGTATTTTAAGGTGTTTCAATAAAATTGGTCATTCATTTCATGGCTGTTTATGGGATATTGCTGTGCGCAATTGTGATGCTGTGTTTGCCAGTCACTCCATTTCACAATAACTCCTGTGAAGTGCTTTGAGAATAAGGTGCTATATCAAATGCAAGAGCTATTATTATTATTTTAGTGTGTTTAGCCTCACCGTCACATTGCTGTTGTGTCCTTACATGTGAAATTCACCGTTTGTTATATTGTCAGCAGCAAAGGATCCAACCCATAGAGACTGATCTTTGCTACCAGTGTCTCACAACAATAATTATTATTATTATAATCCTTGCGTTTGATATAGCACCTTATTACGTTACCGAGACGTCTCAAAGCACAGCACAGGATTTTACTGTGAAGTGACCTGACTGTGAGTGAAAGCAGCAACTAATTTGTGTACAGCGCAACCTTAAAATTGCTCTTTAAATTTGTGTGCAACAGAAACGGGAGATCAACAATTTCCAGTACCTCATGCATCTCAACACTTTGGCTGGCCGGACGTACAATGATCTTATGCAGTACCCCATCTTTCCCTGGATTATCGCAGATTACATCTCGGAGGTAAGGGATCAGTGGGGAAAAACTCCCACCCGCGTCTAGATTTACTCCCAAGTGAGTGGCTTGCAGAGCCTACGCTTCCAGGCCGATGACCTGGTAAGGCGCTCGATCATATACAAGGATGATTGTTATTTGTTTATGTTCCAGGTCTTGGATCTGTCAAACCCAAGGACATTTCGAGACCTTTCGAAGCCGATGGGCGCCCAAACCGAGGAAAGAAAGGCAAAGTTTATCAAGCGCTACCACGAGGTGGATCATGATGGTGAGTCTCTGCAGCTCAAATACCGGAGACTATAAGACGCTGGCGTGGGTAAAGGACACAGGCTTTATCCATGCCCGAAACCAGCCTAGTGAGCCAATGAGCAAAGTAAACGTTCAGTCCAGCACTGAATACAAGTGGTTCACTAACCGAGACTGCGAGCTCAAAGTGCCATGTGGAACCACTGCTCTCTACTCTCTCCATCAAACCTGTGTGTGTACCAGCCACAGCAAGGTAACTATTCAAGGCAAATTTGAAAGTGTTCCTGAACTGAGTCAAAGGAGAATATATCTACGCCCAGGACAAAGAGATTAAAAAGATATCATTTGTACAGTGAGAATAATTCCCTTACAACTGGCTGATATAAATGTGGTTGGTTAGAGCTTCCTCTTGCCTGGTCTCCTCAGGCTCTCAAAGTTGTAGCTGAATCAAATTAGGAGGAAACATTGGGTGGTAATTCTCAGGCAGATTGCGAAATGCATTTGCGATTTTTATTTTGTTTGTAATTCACCATTTAGGGATCAAGCGAAGGGTTTACGCTGCAAGCGGCTTGTGAGAAACCATTATATTTTTAATCTCGCGCAGAAGTTTTCCTCATTCGCTTTGTGATTTAATAGGAACAGCTCTCAAAATTGCCTTGAACAATCATCTCGCTGTACTGGTGCGCACAAGGGCAGGGCGGTCAGTTTACAGAGCACTAGATCCAAATCAGGCCATCACTTTCCACCTCACTTTCACTGAGAATAATAAAATAATAAGCCTTACATTGGATTCAGCGCCTTATCATGCCGTCGAAATGTCTCAAAGCACTTTGCAGCAGTTTATTGTGAAGCGTAGTGACATCTCACCAGTTCTGGCCCAGGCTCCACTGGCACCCTATCACCGAACGGATCGACTTCAAGATCCTCGCACTTGTATTTAAATCCCTTCACACCCTGGCACCTCCCTACCTCTCCGACCTCCTCACTCCCCAATACACCACCCGCTCGACTGGCACCGGGCTCCTGCTCCTCCCTCGCGCCCTCCGCCCCACCGTCGGAGGTTGCACTTTCGGCCACTATGCCCCGAAACTCTGGAACATTCTCCCTCAATCTCTCCATCTTGCCCCCCTCTCCTCTTTTTCATGTCCCGCCTGAAGACCTTTCTCTTCACCCGTTCTTGTGGGCTAAGACTGATCAGAATTTCTGGACATGCTCCTCATTCCTTTATATACTTAATAATAATATTAATTCTTGCATTTGATAAAGGGCTTTTCATGTCGTTGAGACGTCTCAATCGCGCTTCACAGGATATATTGTAAACTGTATTGACTATATTTTGTGGACCAAACACTTGTACATCGAAAGGCAGCAGCTGTTCGTTCATTACCCCGTGTGTCCTGACAAAAGCTCTTGTTATTTTTTTCTTCCAGAAGAACTGTCGGCGCGATGCCATTACTGCACTCATTACTCTTCCGCGATAATCGTCGCTTCTTACTTGGTCCGAATGGAGCCATTCACTCAGACCTTCTGCTCACTGCAGGTACCGCTCGCCTCGCTCGCAGACCTTGTGCCCAGGGTCATTTTTTCCCCCATAAAGTCCATCTCTAACTGTGCACTTCGGACGGTGAGAGGACATTACTTTAAATGGATCCTGAGGTGCCGTTCTTCAGATGAAATGTTAAACCGATGACCCGTCTGCCTGTTCAGGCAGCCGTTAAATTCCTGCAGCACTATTCAAAAAGGGAAGGAAGTTTCTCCCAGTTTCCATAATAACCCCCAAATAAAAATTGCCCATTCACTTCATAGCTGTCTGTGGGACATTGATGTGTGCAAATCAACTGCTGTGTTTGCCTATGAAATACACAGCCACTACAGTTTATAGCTTTGAGATATTTGAATGGAGTCGCTAGGGGTTAGGTGGTGTTACTCTAGGATGGAGTTCTAGAAAGCTCACCCACATACAGATATACTGTAACTCTGGATGTAGAATACAGTTCCCACTGGCAAAGTAACTCATTGTGAAGCTCTTCGAGATGTTCTGATGTGATAAGACGCTGTATTAAATCTCACCATTATTATGAGGAGCTCCTTGTGGATCTCCTGTTATTTCAAGGCTTTCAGTGATGCAGTTAGTACAGGGGAGTCTTTCCTGTGTCAGTGTCCAACAATGTCTACCTCGAATGTTCATTTACAGACCCCAGAACGAGAGAGAAGGGAATAGAGAAGGGGGGATTAGGAGGCAGGAGGTTCAACAACAACAACTTGCATTTAAGTTGCAGGGGAGTCCGTAGCCGTGTGGTTAGAGCACTCGCCTCAGAAGCGAGAGGACCTGGTTTTGATCCCAGGCGCGGCGAAACGTTAGGCAAGTTTCCTTACTGCACACGCCTCTGCTTACCTAGCAATAAGTAGGAGCCCGGTTGTTAGTTTACTGGTAAATCGCGTTCCGGGGGTAATAATCCTTTAAAAAAACAATTGGTCGCTCAATCCATGTTTGTGGAACACTGCTGTGCACAATTGGCTGCTGCGTTTCACCAACAAAATGCACAGTCAGTCCACTTTACAACGTATTCTGTGAAGCGCTTTTGAGACATCTCAACGACGTGATAAAGCGCTATATCAAATGGAAGGATTTTTAAAAGCATTTTATTTAGTGCCCTTCATGCAGAATACAGTAAAGTGTGGTGTAAAAGCAAACGTAAGGAAACCGTGAAGCCTGATGCTGCACATGTTCATGTTGCTCTCAAGGAGCTGATTCTTATTCTGCATTGGTCTGTGTTTACAATGTTTCGAACGTCTCAGTATCATATTACAATTAAAACGCTTAGCGAGTGTGAACCTTGCGTTGTGATTTAATGAATGAGGAGCACCCGGCTATTAAATATACCAATTAAATATGGGATAAACGGATTGAGTTGCAAAGCAGTTACACAGTTGGCAGCTTCGGAAAATTGTTGCCCATTTTCTGCGCTCTGTTTGATTATATTTACCAGGGCACATCGTAGAGAAGTGCGTCACGCACCACCCTAGGTTCGTGGATCGACTGTATACAGTGAATTACTACCGTACTGAATGCCTGTTCAGGTGGGTGTTAAAGAGCCCACGGTGCTTATGCAAAAAGAGAACTGAGCTTCTCCCAGCGTCCTGATCAACAATCCCCAGATGAAGTTGGCCATTCACTCTCCCACGTGAAGCGTGCTATATAAACATACAAGTTGTTGTAGTTATCGAGACAGACAGACACAATAGCTTCATTGCGTTGCAAACGGCAATCGATTATGCAGTTGGTTTTCAATGGGTTCCTTTAACCATGAGGATGGCTTCACTCCTCGGACTGACCTAGAGCGGCAGTCACACAGCCAGCAGCTGCGTAATCGCCTGGCATTTATGTAGCGCCCTTTCAGGCAGGATAGTGTCCTAGAGCGCTAAGTTGGGGATATTTTTGAGAGCGTGGGGGAATGTTAAATCGTGGGCGACATGCGCACCGAGATTAACAGCAGGGGAACAGCAAGGCACGGTCAGTCTGTTGGCATGAGGAGACGATGGGAGACAGCAAGGGAGGGAGAGAGAGAGAGTCATGGAGTGCTGGAAATGGCGCTCGCTCATATTGAAAACAATTTTTATATTAGTCTTAAAATGAATAAAGAGTGGCTGAAACAAACTGCAGCATTACACACGGCACTTGGCACTTTTATAACTTTGATACGGAGTCAGAGAGAGATAGAGAATAAATAACTTTTAATATTTTATGGAAAGTTCAGAATTGTTTTGGCAGAGTGCAAGCCGAGGAGAGGGGATGAGGGGGAGAGACAGTGAAAGAAAGAAAATAATGATTTGGAAATATGGCATTGCGTGCTATGGAACAATACAATGCAAACTAATAAAATGTTGTCTATTTTATTAGAGAACCGTGATGCATATTTGATGGAAGTGAACCAAATCAAGTTGTAAAGAGATTAGCTGTTACATGAAGCATTACAGTCAGTGAAAATCTGATTTTTTATTCGAGTAATATCTATAACCCAATTTTCCACACTAACAACATTCTGCATGTATATTCCTTTCTTTTATTCAATAGAGCTAATGCTTTTATCAGATATTATTGTCTTTCTCAAGAGACTGCTGTCAGTACCAAAAACAAAAGTTGCATTAATGAAAAGTATCAATCATTGAGTGTTTGCAGTCACTGGGAAGTGGTGTTGGACAGTGAGGGCCCAGACTGTGGTGCAATACGCTTTATTCCTAATTTATTTTCCTCACAAACTTTCCTGCTGTTGATCTGTTGACGATTGTTGCTTTTAGCAGTGCAATACTCTCACATGCATACACTGGTATCTCTATCCGAGTAAGGTGGTGGAGGCAGAGTCCATTGTGGGTTTCAACAGGGAGGTAGATAGGTATATGAAAAATAGAGGCTTGAAGGCGCAGAGGGATAGGGAAGGGCTTGTGGGATGAAAAGAACAGCTTGTCCTGAAAGCTGGTGCTTTAAGTTTCTATGATTCTATTCTATGATTCCTACTCAATTTGCATGCCACTTATTCAGTTTGTTAGCCAAGGGTTGTGGTTTCAAGCCCCACGTCAGGACTCTGATCTCACAGTCTCGGCTGACTCTCCACTTGAACAGGGCAGACTGGACTTCGGTTTAATGTCTCATCGGAAGGAACGGCATTTCCGACATTAAAAGCGCTTCCCCCCCCCACCCCACCCCCCCACCCCCAGCGCTGCCTTGGAGCGTCACCTTAGACCGTGTGATTCCAAGTCCCGACGTGGGGCTCGAACCCACAACCTTCTGACTTGGAGGGGAGAGCTCTACCACTGCGCCAGGCTAATGCTCCGAGGTACACGGAACCCGTGAGCTTCCACGAGAGCGGGCAAGGAGAGCTGTAAAAATGAAGGTTTTGTTTAAAAAAAAATAAAAGATGCCTGGAGGTAACTGCAGGCTAAGCGATAAAATGTAATAAAAATGGCCTTGGCGTAGCTGAGAAGGTAAACGGGTAAAATTTAATAAAAATGGCCCGAAGGAGTTCACGAAGAGGGGAAAATATAATAAAGACGGAATGGGGGAGTTAGAGTCAGACGATTAAAAAATGAGCAAAAAAAAAAAAGGCTGCGAGAGTTGTAGAGTATTAGGAATAGATTAGAATGAAATTTGATATTCACGTCTCACTGTGAGCGTGGGGGAAGATTAATGACGTAGCACAGAGGCTGTAATCAGTTGCGGGAACATCTGACCTGTTCGCTGTCACGTGGTGTAACCACTTTATTGCGTGTGGCAGGTTCCCGGTTGTGCAGACCAGGTGTGACTATTCATTCACTGAGTGTGGAAAGCGACCCACATCTTTAAACGCTTCCTCAACGATGGCCGTCACCATCTGTCCCCTGAATAATAATTCCCTTCATCCGACCGGCCCCGATGATGAAAGCGATCTCCCAACAATAACAACTTGTGTTTATATAGCGCCCTTCATGCAGGGTAGCATCCCAGAACTCTTGACGGTAGCGGACCGGAAGATAGGGGCAGGAGTGGGATGGGGGCAAGGCGGAGGGATTGAGGGAGAGTGTTCCAGACTTTTGGGGCGTAGTGGCTGAAAGCGCGGCCACCGATGGTGGGGTGCGAGGGACGAGCAGGAGGCTGGAATCACAACGTGAGAAATTGATCAGATGTGAAAAACAATAATTAATAATAATAATAATTCCAGCATCACAGGCAGGGTGATTTTTAGCTGGATAACCAGCGGGGAAAGCTTGTCGCACAGTGTTGTTGATGACAAGCCGTGCAGTTTTAGCGGGTTAGAGTCCAGCAGGTACCCCAACGCACACTCTGGGATCCCCAAGCCTTGGCTCTCACCAACCTGCGCCTAATACTTTCCAGAATTAGGTGAGCCGAGTGCGTCCCTCCAGGGAGAGAGAGAGAGTGCGCATTCCATTCCAACAATCTATCTCAGGGATTTCCACGTGTAGGTGGGATGCATGGCATTCTTAGATACTCTTAAGCAGGTGTTGGCTTTCCGCATGTGTCAGACACCCGGCTGACCACCCCCACCCCTCAAAAAAAATCCGGGCATTTGATGATTCACCTTTCACACAGGAGGATGACTCAGTGCGCTTCACAGGATTCACTGATGTGCCACCGGCTGTGTATTTCGTAGACAAACATAGCAGTTAATTTGCACGCAGCAATGTCCCCCAAACAGCCGTGAAGTCAGTGGCAGTCTTTTTTTTAATTCGGGGTCACTCTCGGCCAGGACACTCCCCTTCTCTTGTCGAGCAGTTCTGCAGGATTTTTAACCTGCACTTAGACAGGCAGATGGGACCTCAGTTGAACATCTCATCCAAAGGATGGCACCACGGACAATAAGCCACTCCCCCAGCACTGCATTGCGGCATCAGCCAAGACTGTGAGCTCAAAGTCCTGACACGGGGCTTGAACCCACAACCTTCTGACTCAGAGGCAAGAATGCAAGAATGAGCCAGGCTGATACAACACGTGATGGTGGTTTGGATTTGAGTGAGTGAGTGAGTGAGTGAGTGAGTGAGTGAGTGAGTGAGTGAGTGAGTGAGTGAGTGAGTGAGTGAGTGAGTGAGTGAGTGAGTGAGTGAGTGAGTGAGTGAGGGTGAGTGAGTGAGTGGTGAGTGAGTGAGTGAGTGAGTGAGTGAGTGAGTGAGTGAGTGAGTGAGTGAGTGAGTGAGTGAGTGAGTGAGAGTGAGTGAGTGAGTGAGTGAGTGAGTGAGTGAGTGAGTGAGTGAGTGAGTGAGTGGTGAGTGAGTGAGTGAGTGGTGAGTGAGTGAGTGAGTGAGTGAGTGAGTGAGTGAGTGAGTGAGTGAGTGAGTGAGTGAGTGAGTGAGTGAGTGAGTGAGTGAGTGAGTGAGTGAGTGAGTGAGTGAGTGAGTGAGTGTGAGAGTGAGTGAGTGAGTGAGTGAGTGAGTGAGTGAGTGAGTGAGTGAGTGAGTGAGTGAGTGAGTGAGTGAGTGAGTGAGTGAGTGAGTGAGTGAGTGAGTGAGTGAGTGAGTGAGTGAGTGTGAGTGAGTGAGTGAGTGAGTGAGTGAGTGAGTGAGTGAGTGAGTGAGTGAGTGAGTGAGTGAGTGAGTGAGTGAGTGAGTGAGTGAGTGAGTGAGTGAGTGAGTGAGTGAGTGAGTGAGTGAGTGAGTGAGTGAGTGAGTGAGTGAGTGAGTGAGTGAGTGAGTGAGTGAGTGAGTAGTGAGTGAGTGAGTGAGTGAGTGAGTGAGTGAGTGAGTGAGTGAGTGAGTGAGTGAGTGAGTGAGTGAGTGATGGAGAGTGAGTGAGTGAGTGAGTGAGTGAGTGAGTGAGTGAGTGAGTGAGTGAGTGAGGGAGTGAGTGAGTGAGTGAGTGAGTGAGTGAGTGAGTGAGTGAAGTGAGTGAGTGAGTGAGTGAGTGAGTGAGTGAGTGAGTGAGTGAGTGAGTGAGTGAGTGAGTGAGTGAGTGAGTGAGTGAGTGAGTGAGTGAGTGAGTGAGTGAGTGAGTGAGTGAGTGAGTGAGTGAGTGAGTGAGTGAGTGAGTGAGTGGACTGTCAGACTGAAGTCATCTCCGTCGACGACAGAGGGTCTTGCAGTTAAGTTTCGATCAAACAGCGACGTTAAGTGCACGCAGCGAAGAGAGCTGCGCAGAGAGCAGTGACGTGACAGTGAGTCCTTTTCAGGGAGGGACCTTCGACGTGGCCGACCGCATGTTCTTCAGCGTCAAGAAAGAATGGGAATCGGCTTCAAGAGACAACATGAGCGACGTGCGGGAACTGACCCCGGAGTTCTACTACCTGCCCGAGTTCCTCCTCAATCTGAACAACGTGGAGTTTGGTAGGTGGTACGGACAGCAATGACTCCAGCCCAGGCTCCCGACGGGTTCTTATGCCGAACTAATGAGAATTAACGTCCTGTGTAGTGCTGGTGTCCCACACGCAGGTCATAACCTGTGTAGAGCTGCTAGGTTACTGAAGGGCATCAAATTAAAGGCACGGCCACAAATGAAGGGTATGGCTGCAAATTAATCTAATCGTAACGCTGCAGAAGGTTAGAACTTAATCATACTTTAATACTAATATTCCTTACGACTGATGTTCCCGCCTTCCACGTCAGGAGGACGTCTCAGAGTAAGGAGTAAATCGCAGGATTTACTGTAAAGCGTGCGTGTTTGACTATGTGTTTGTCGGCAAAGGCGGTAGCCAATTTGCACACAGCACTTTGACGGAGAGTGAAGGCCTTTACCGTCCCTCGTGTTAGCACAATTATTCCCGTGTCCTGGCCAGCAATCTCCCAGGCAAAATTGGTCATTCACTTAACTGCTGCTTGTGAGATGTTGACGTGAGCAAAACAGCCGCTAAGTTTGCCTGCAAATACAGCAACAGTTTGCATTTACATAGCGCCCTTCACATGTGGTAATATCTCAGAGGGCTTTTCAAATATGGGTCAGACACTTAAGCGAGGGAGGGAGGGGAAGGGGGAGGTGATCACAGGCACTTTTAACAGTAATTACTGTGAAGCACTTTTGAGATGTTTCAACGTGTTAAGGTGTTTTACCGAAAGGAAGGGTTGTGATTATTAAAGTAGATTTAGCCAGAGTACACTGGCACTGTTGAACAATCTGCCATACCCTTCCCATTTAACTATGTTACATTATTTGCAGGCTCCATGCAAGACGGCACCACTCTGGGAGATGTGCTGCTTCCTCCGTGGGCTAAAGGAGATGCTCGAGAGTTCGTCCGTCTGAATCGCGAGGTTAGTGGGTTGACCTGTGTGGAGGGTCACATCAGGACTTGCTCCGACTTTAGCGCCCCATCATCGATGGTCTAGCTTTCAGCCTTTCTGCCCCCACCCTTTGGAACTCCATCCCACAGTCCTTTAACCTCGCCGCCTCTCTTGCCTCATTCAAGGCCCGTCTCGAGACCCTCCTCTTCAACCGCACCTTCGGTGACCCTCGGACCACCCACCCTTCCTGCTCTCCGACCCTTCCGGTTTGGGTCCAAATCTTTGACTGTCTACTACCTTGGCATGTCTTCCTGATGTGAAAGGTGCTAAACAAATGTGATTTGTTGTAGCTGTTGTTATTATTCAACACTCAGTGTAGTACGAAGGAATTTTTATTTCACCCACATTACACGAATGGTTAAAACAAAATGCCTGCCCATCGGTTTTCCTGACGATGCAGCCGGCAAGAGGGTGAAATCGCAGCTTTGTTGTCCACACGCACAATGCACATTTAAGCCGTGATTAATAACCTCCAGTCTCACCTTTGCAAATGCTAATCTGTTAATTGTTCGTCTAAATGGATCAATTTAATACCTCATTATTCACTAACTACCAGTCTGGCCCATATAAATGTCATATTTGCGTGCTAATCAAGTGTCCTAATTTGTCTTCTAATTGTAATTATAAATCACTCCAAGGCACCACTCACAATGAGTGCTCACGCCACACTGTGTGGTTTGGGTATTTTCTGGGCAATTTTACATCTGTTCTGTGGTACACTTCGTGGCTGTTTGTGGGGTTACTGTTGTGCACAAATTTGTGGCTGTGTTCACTTGCATATCACGCAATCATTAGATATTACCACAAGCTCACAAGATTGGTCTGTAACAGCCTTTATAGAGCCTATCCTTAAATAGGATTGAAAACGTAAACCCAGATCAATATTCTGGGATGCAACAAGACAGTAGAACAAGAGGACACAGGTTTAGAGTTACAGAAGGCACTTACAGGAAGGACAGAAGTTTTTCCTTATCCAAAGAGTAATTAACGATTGGAACAAGTTGCCAGGAAAGTTAGTTGAGGCCAGGACACTGGACTCATTTAAAAAAAGCAGTTTGATGGATGACGGTAGGATGGGTATTCTGTAGAGAGAAAATCAAATGGGCTGAGGCCTTTTTCATCCAAACTGATCTGCGATCTTCAGTTAAACTACAATAAAGAATACATTTTTCCTTAATTTCATGGTTAATAAAGCGCTAGCCGTGTAGATTAAGTAACTGTACAAAAGTATGTTGTTGTACACCTTGTTCTGTTATCTCCTTCCAGGCACTAGAGAGTGACTATGTCAGCGCACGACTTCATTACTGGATTGACCTGATCTTCGGTTACAAGCAACAGGGCTCTGCTGCAGTGGACGCAGCCAACGTGTTCCACCCTTACTTTTACGGTGACCAGGCTGACATCAGCAATATCAATGATCCTTTGAAAAAGAGCACAGTCATTGGCTTTGTCAGTAACTTTGGGCAGATTCCAAAACAGGTACTGGCCAGAATACATCCCTTTGAACTTCACAGATCAGGACATACACTGGGTGCAGGAATTCCTGTTAACCCTGTAAGCCAATGCCCTAATAGGTAGTGCGGTCCAAGCTGCACAACCAATGGGAAGCTTGCTCGGCAGCGTTCTCAATGGGAAGCCTTGTTGTTTTAGCTGGTTAAACTCCAGCAGTTACCCCAACACCCTCTCTGAGGTCCCCAAGCCTTGCCTTTTGCCAAACTGCGCCTAATACGCTCCAGAATTGGGTAAACAGAGTGCGTCTGTCCAGGAAGAGAGCACGCACTCCATTGCACACTTGGGCATTCCATTACAGAGACAGGAATTCCCAATATGTTGGTGGGATGCAAGGAATTCTCAGCTTGGTTTGGATACTCAAGCTTGGTGATGGGTTTCCCCATGTGTCAGACACCAGACACTTGGGGGAGGTCACTGGTTGATTCTGTATCAGCCACATCCTTGGTGATTTAGAAAAATGAATGCAACATATAAAAATGATTGACACTTGGAATCTGCCTCCATGTACTGTGTCAGCGGAGGACTTTTAAACACAAAAACCTGGTCATTCACTTTGTGGCTGTTTGTGTTTTCGCACTGCTGTGGGCCGCACGTGCCTACAGAACACACAGTCACAACACTTTACAGTCGATCCTGTGAAGCTCTTTGAGACGTGCTCCCGAAGTGAAAGGCGCCTTGTCAAATCTAAGGACTATTGTTATTTTATTTAGTAACATTTTACCTTTTTACATCTAGTTTTACCTGGTATGATTGTAATTTGCTCACAGCGGACACGAATTCAATCAATGTTGACTCCCAACCATCTCTCTGTTCTTTCCTTTCAGCTTTTCAGTAAGGCTCACCCTGCACGCACTGTCCAGGGAAAGCATTCATCGGGCAAGGAGTCAGTTTCCTCTCTTGCCTCTTCCCAGCCCTTTTTCCACCAGCTGGAAAACCTGAAGGTCTCGCCTCTTCCAGTGAAAGGTATAGAAATCTACAGGTTCCTCTGTGTCCCTGATTCTCATTGCCGTGGGATAATGCTTCTCATCTTTCGATTGAAAACCTATGAAATACTAGGTCTTTGGCCTCCCAGTTTGGAGGATAAGCTTAAAGTACAATTCTGTTGTAAAGTTCACGTTCAGAATTAGATGGGTTAATTCGCCAGCATTCATTTTACAAGAAAAATTTACTGATTGACCAATTTACTTATCAGACACGCTGACTGTATCTTGAGGTTCAGTGTATTGACTAAATCGGTATCTATGCAGTGCTTCACTGCCCAGTGTGTCAACCTGACTCAGTCAGTCGTCCTCTCTACTCTCAAGTCAGAGCTTGTAGGTTCAAGCCACATTGGGATTTGGAACTTATATAGTCTAGACTGACATTCCACTGCAGCGCTGGGGGAGCACTGCATTGTCAGAAATGCTGCCCTTTGGACGAGACGTTATACCGAGGTCCCGACTGCTTGTTCATGTGGACTTCCTAGATCCCATGGCCTGAGAAGAGAAGGCCGTTGCTCTCGGTTTCCGAGTCAACAAGTCCCCAGATAAAATTGATCATTCACTTTATGCTTGTCTGTGGGATTTTGAAGTGCGCAAATTGGCTGACACATTTGGGTTGGGGACAAAATATAGTCACAACTTTCCAGTGATATTCTTTGAAGCGCTTCGAGACCTCCTCCTGATGTCTTGAAGCACCTTTTACGTCCCATCGGAGGTAAGGATTATTATTATTATGAGAGTGCTCTGCAGTTCCCTTTTAACGCTGGTTCTCTTTGTACAGAGGTGACTAAGGGTGCTGTCGGGCAGATCGTGTGCAGTGAGAAAAGCATGCTCGCTGTGGAGGAGAATAAATTATTGCTGCCGCATGACTGGACCAAGACCTTTTCCTGGGGCCACAATGATTTCACCTGTTGTCTGGGCAACTACGGATCTGACAAGGTACACAGTGTGTGCAAACCAAGTAGGGCACACTTAGGACCAACGAGTCCACAATGCAGTCAATTCATCTTTAAAGCCCTCCACGGTCTTCCTCAGCCTTACCTCTGTGACCTCCTGAAACCTGCCCGCTCCCTCTGCTCGGCAATTACTGGTCTGCTCCACACACCCTGCCCTGCCCGCTCCACCATCGGAGGTCGGGCCTTTAGCCTTTTTGCCCCCACCCTCTGGAACTCCATCCCGGAACCCCTCCGTCTCGTCCCTTCCCTCCTTCGACGCCCATCTCAAGACCCTCCTACCATCTATCTCCCTACCCTCTAAACTCTCCTGATCCCAACCCTCAACTCGGGTCCAAATCCTTGACTGTCCAGCACCTTAGGACCTCCTCCTGATGTGAAAGGCGCTGTACACATGTAATTTGTTGGGGTGTGTGTGTGCTCTGCAGGTTATCGCCACCTTTGGGAGTCTGGCAGCCTGGGGACAGTGTCTGTGTGCCACATGCCCAGATCCCACAACCATTCTCACCGGAGGCACGAACACCGTGGTGTGCGTGTGGGAAATTCCCTCGGTCAAGGATAAAGTGAAACGCCTGAGGCTGATGGAGGTCATGTAACGCTCTTCTGTATTTGCGTGACTTCTGTTCCCTTTGTCCGGTTTGAAATCTCATTTCACAAACGGGGTGTTCCCAAAGTCCTGTTACTCTGTGTGTGTTTTGTTTACACCGTGCACTGAACAACACCTGAAACATATGGAAGAACGATGGTAACTGAATTTAGAAGTACTTAATTGTATTCAGTATACAAGTGTTTAACTGTATTTAGACGTCCAGAGGATCAGTGTGTGTGAGCGAAACCGTTTTCATGGCACTTAATGATCCATTGCCATGTTTGATGTTACATCTTCTGGAACCTGGATGGAGCGAGTGGGGGGCGGAAGTTACTGGTGTCAAACATTGTTACGCTCGGCAACAGAAAATAAAAATCATTATTTTTNAGGGAAAAAAAATCACACAGACAGGGTAACAGGACTTTGTGAACACCTTGTAGGATTAACCTCCCAAAGCCTTCGAGTGTCAGTCTGGTTCAGTCGGTTGTGCTCTCACCTCTCGTCCATAAACATTTGCCGGTCGAGGCTGACCCTCCAGTGCATAGCTGGGGGGTGGAAGAGGTGAGGGGGGAGGAGAATGTCTTGGTTAGTGATGTTACTGTTCACAATTATTCAATTTCAGAAGTTTGCGTAGTGCTCAGCTGGACATAAAATAAACAATAATCCTTGCCTTTCACATGGGGGGAGACGTGGGGGCGTGAAGACAAAGGGAGGGTTGCCTTCACAGAATTTACTGTCAAGTGGTGTGACAATGAATTTTGCAGGCGGACAGATTTGGGCACAGCAATGTCCCGAAAACAGCCATTAAGCGAGCGAACAGTTTTATGAAAGACATTCCTTTTATCTTCATAGTTCGGAGCAAGACGGTAATTGATGAAAAACATAGAAACAGATACTTTTCGGCACAGGAGGACTGTTCTGCGCGTAACCGGGATAATGTCTCTTGCTGACAGGTGTATTTTTGCCCGTCCTTCCCTTCCCTTCATCTCCATCTCCTCCCCTGTCTTCCTCCCAACTTCCCTCATCAGGTGCTTTATGGGCACACAGAGGCTGTCACTTGCCTGGCAGCATCGCCCGCCTACCACGTGGCGGTCAGCGGATCACGGGACAGGACCTGCATCGTGTGGGACCTGAACACGCTGAGATACAACACCCAGCTTCCGGGGCACGAAGGGCCTCTTTGTGCCGTCGCCATCAACAATTCCACCGTAAGTTTGTCTGCTGGAGGTCGGGGCCGTGTGTCACTGGGTTCCTCTAAGATACGGGGACATTTCCACGTGTAGGTGACAATACACCTGTGTAGCTCTCAGCCCGGTTCGGGTACTCTTAAGTGGTTCCAGTGAGCACAGTGCCTGCTACTGCTGTGAGGGTAGTGAATACAGGGCTGAACACAGTGACTTGTAGTGTAGTGCAATGAGAACAGTGGGGCGTCTCGTAAGCACAGTGCCTCACAGCAAACCTCATTACAGTAAACCTCACATGAGTCGTATCAGTTGGGACCATACATTTAATATGACTCATGCAAAGTATGAGTTACGTCAAACTTGCCTGGACTAATAAACTATTGAACGGGACTTTGGGCAGGTGTATGACTTAGGCGATTGAAGCAGATCAGAGCTATGTGAGTTTTACTGGACTGAGCACAGTGGGGAGCGCAGTTAGCAAGGTGTCTTGTACTGTGGTGAGTACAGTGATGAGTACATTGATGAGTACAGCAAGTAATAGTAACCCTGGCATTTGATCGCCTAATCGTATATTTGAGACGTCTCAAAGCGCTTCGCAGAATATACTGTAAAGAGAATTGACTGGATATTTTGCGGGCGAAAAAAAATGTACAGCGCCTGTTTTTTTNCTCTCACTGTATCTTCACTGCTCTTCGAATTCTCCCCGTGTTTCAGGGTGACATTGCCTCGTGCACGGGAACCTCCCTCCACCTCTGGAGCATCAACGGGCAGCCGTTGGCCAGCATCTGCCCGGGCCAGGAGCCTGTGGCGGAAATCCGGTGCCTCTGTTTCACCGAACTGAACGAGTGGGACCCTCGCAACGTTATCGTAACGGGCTGTGTCGACGGCGTGCTGCGTGTAGGTGTCAGCAATATTAACCAGGGAAAACCATTCGCGTAATAATCCATATAATTTATAACCCTCACACTGCCGGCAGCTTAGAGACTCCTATCTCCGAGCTGACCACATCACTTCCAGTTTCACCCACGTTTCCGTACTCTCCGTTGCCCGCCACTGCATACATCAATGGATATTAATACTACAGCGACAGAACTGCTCCCTCATTGGGATAGTTTGTTTTTTTTCACCCTCGACTCGCCACTAAACCTTTGCTGGGACTCAATGGCTCACGGGCTTGTTCACACTTGGTGGTACACCAGTTTGTTCCTCTCTAATGTCAAGCTGCAGCTCAGGTACAAACCTCTCATTGTCCAGCACCTTGGGACGTTTCCCGCCCCCCCCCCAATGTGAAAGGCGCCATATAAATGCAATTTGTTGTTGTTGTTGGTGATCACTCAGCCGTACACTGGATTTTTCACACTCGGAGCTCCGCTAGTGCATTCACACTCGGTGGAATGCTGGTACTGGGGTGTGTTCACACTCAGTGGTGTTCTGGTGTACTCAATACACAGTACACTGGTGTGTTCACAACTGGGACGTTTATGACAAACAACAACAACAACTTGCATTTATATAGCGCCTTCCATGCACGGTAGCATCTCAGAGCGCTTAACAGTGGCGGAGCTTGACTCTAAACCAGGGGGTTTGGGGGGGGGGGAGGTGGCCGTAAGATACGGTCGAAGAGGAAGGTTGTCAGATCCAGTTATACAATATGAGTAAAAAATGATAATCCTTGCATTTGATGTAGCATCTTACCACGCCATCGAGACGTCTCAAAGCGCTTCTCGGGATGTACTGTAAAGTGGAGTAACCGTGTGAAGTAGAATCGTATCAGCTTATTATTTTTGGCCGCCTCTCCCGATGCTCGCTCCTCACACACGCTTCTCTTGTCGACAGCCAAAGCATTTACATAGAAAAGACTGCCGGCTCCTCGAACAGCTCCCAGCAATTTATACATTAACTTTATTACCGATGTTTTTCTCTGTTGTAAATTTGAAATTGAAACAATCTGAGAGACATATTAGGCTGGTGATGCCAAACAAAATAATGGATTTGTTTCTTATAATCCCTTAATGAACAATATTTGAAATTATTTTAACTTACTCAGGGAACTGCAGAACCTCAGATGTACAGACGCAATTATTAGACTTTCTCGTGATTGCTCTTCTCGAACGTGGCGTGGAGACTTTAGAAAAAGATTAACCTGGATTTTGCACTAAAGGGTTAAATTGCGGAGACCGGTATTGCAAAGTGATTTTTTTAACCCCCTCTTATTTTACCTGAATGCAGATATCACCCCTGTACACCGCCCCTCACCGCCTCACCCATTACTTCTGTCATCTTTAACTTTATTCTTCTGCTCTCTCCCCCACCTCTTTTCAATCTGCTGAGCTTTCAACAATGTACCCCTAATCTCCTGGAACAAGGCACACTCTGGGGCCCCCAAGCCTTGGTTCTTGCCAAGCTGCGCCCCTCATACACCAATTTCCGGGATTAGGAAAACAGGATTGCGTCCCTCCAGGGAGAGGATATTTCATTCCAACAATCTATCTCTAGAATTTCCACGTGTAGATGGGATGCATGGAATTATCAGTTTCTTTTGGATAGTCTCAAGCATGGTGATGAAACCCATGTCAGACACCCGGCTGTCCATACATAAATAATTAATCTCCTGGAACTCCCTGGCTCTCTCCACTCGCTACCTCGTCCCCTTCTCTCTCCATCTTGGAAAAACCATTTAAAAACCTGTCTCTTTAATTGTGCCTATGATTATCCCCGCCCACCCCATCCCACCTCCCTCCCTGCTCGGGCTCCCACTCACTCTTTGTGAGTTTCTTCGAGGAATCTCCTGTATGAGAAGCCTAAACTTGAGCACAACCTGCTGTCACTATTGTTGAAAAAGTTTCTTTCTTGTCTGTGTTCCCCTCACAGCTGTGGAGGACAGAGTACGGAAAGACCCCAGAGATGCAAGCGAACCACAGCAACGGAGACCCTGCCTCGAAACAGCGCCTGGCATCAGCCTCAGACATCAATGGTAACGTTTATGTGGTGCCTATTTAGTTGCTTTGCATGGAGGAATGTTGTCAGCCTAGCTCAGTTGGTGGCACTGTGGCCTCTTGAGTCAGAAAGATGTGGGTTCCAGCCTACGACGGAACCTTAATCAGATAGAGTCCAGGCTGACACTCCAGTGCAGTGCTGGGGGAGTGCTGCATTGTCAAGGGTCCTTTGGATGAGACATTAGACGCAGTTCCTGTCTGCCTCTTCAGGTGGACATTAAAGATCCCATGGCACTACTCGAAAAGAGAGGGAATTGGCCAACAGTCCCCCAAATAAAAATGGTACCCAAACCATCACGTGATGATGATGTGGTTGAGGGGGGGAAGAGTGTGGGAGGTTGGGCGGGGAAAGGGGAGAGGTAGTGAGCAAAGGTAGGTCAGAAAGGAGACCAGACAAGTCTGATCTTTTCAAGTCTTGTATGCTCTTGAGTTTCAAACATAAAGAGTTACGTTTTCCAAGAACAAGAACACAAAGAGATGCACCCAAAGAATTACATTCTCCTCACTGCGTCACTCACCCGATGGCCCAAATCCGAAAAGATGGAGTGAAGGATAAAAGATGACGGATAAAAAAATCTTTACACAGACGGTGAAATTCTCTTGACACGGTCTGCCCGCTGAGACAGAGTACATTATGTACTTTTGTGGAGTCCTGTAGCTCAGTGGTTAGAGCACTCGCTTTGCAAGTGAGAGACCTGAGTTCAATCCCAGGCACAGGGCGAAACCTTGGGCAAGTTTCCTTACTCCACACGCCTAATAATAATCCCTCCAAAACCAAAAAAAATAATTAAATTGGTCAGTTTCAATCTATGACTGTTTGTGGGACATTGCTGTGCGAAATTGGCTGCCGCGTTCGCCCACAAATATACAGTCAACTCACTTTACAGTATATTCTGTGAAGCGCTTTGGGACGTCCTCCCGACGTGAAAAGCGCTATATCAAATGCAAGGATTATTATTATTATTATTATGCACTGAAAGGGGAATTAGATAGACAGCCGATTTCCGTGCTTCACTCTATGACACGCTTTGTAAGATGTGAGAAAAAGGGAAATATTGAAGAGTTTTTTGGTCAGCCAGGTGACTGTCACATGCGGAAACCCATCACCATGCTTAAGAGTATCCAAACCAGATTGAGAGTACACCTACGCTTGGAAATTTTCTTGTTTCTGGAACAAAACGTGCACTGTCTTCCCGGAGGGACACATCCTGCTTACCTAATTCTGGAGAGTACTATATTAGGCGCAGGTTGGCGAAAACTGATGCTTGGGGACCATCTGAGTTTCCATCTGCGTATCTGCTGGAGTTTAATGAGCGAAACCCGCACAGCTTGCCATTGAGCGCGCTGTCTGGCAAACTTCCCGATGCTTGTCCAGCTAGGACCATCCTACCCGATAGGATTTGGGTTTGCAGGGTTAACGAGACGAGTGGTAAGAATCTCTGCTCTCAGTGCCCCTCCAAGGCCTGCTGGCGAGCCAAGTCTGACAGCAGCAATCCCTTGGAGTGAAGGGAATGGTGAGCAAGGAGTAGAATGCGATTAGATCAGGTGGAGCAAACCCCATGCGGAGTTTGCAAGGGCTGAGTGTGTTGGTTCCGCGCTTTCACGATTCTCTGAAAGTACCATTCAGCGTCAACCTACACAATGCACCCTTTCTGGATTAAGAAGTATTTTTGCTAATTAATGCGTACATTATCGCCGCATGTCTCGCAGCAGGGTACAGCAGAGCTGTGTGCACAGTGCTCTTGGTTGAACTGAAAGCTCACGTTTGCTCAGCAGAGAGATCGGATAGCAAGGAGGTGATAGATACATTTCACCCAGAGCCGGGGATTGAGTCAGTAGTCAGTACGCTGACCTAACCCTGCAAGTTAGAAGGCATTTAATAATGCCCAAATCTGAAATCCTGATTAGAGCACAGCTCTGTTGAACATCACCATTAAAATTTAATTAAAATGGGACTTCCCCTACCATTTACTGTACGGGCCGGGATTAGCCCTGGCTGTTTCCTCTGAGCAGAACCTGTTTACCGCTCGGAAGGCAGCTGTTTCGACGGCGTAAGTAAGGGCAAATTGCACTTTCAATACCCTCCACCAAAGCAATAACTGCGGCTTTTAATCATTTTTTCACAGCGGGAGGCAAATGGGAAAAAAGGCTCGTCTTGTGTCGACGCCTCGACAGAAACGCTGCCCTTTCTGGCAGAGCGAACAAGACAAAGTCTGCCATCACTGCAGTGGCTGTATCCAGGTAATGGGCACACGCTTCCCTTACGTGCGCTAATTGAGCCCAGTAGAGGGCGCAGTGCTACCAAGCCACCGATTCCAAGTAACATTTACCACTCAAAGGACAAGGCTTGGTGCTTGCTGATCCTGCATCCCGTTTGCTGACGTTTAATGGCGAGCTCTTGTTCCAGGCCGTACAAGGTCGAAGGGAAGAGCAGAGCGATCTGCCAAGGCAGGCAGCCGAGCCAGTCGGCACAGACAGGTTCAAGGTCGCAAAGGGCAATTTCAGGACAGATTCCAGGAAGTATTTCTTCACTCAAAAGAGGATAATTTGCAGATTGAGAAGGTGATCGAGGCCAAGACACTCGAGCTCATTTACGAAACAGCTTGATGCTGTAATGGGGGGACAGTAGGTAGGGTTGATATTGCTCCACCGTCTTGCTCCTGCCTACCTCCGGAACCGACTAAAACATTCCCAACCTGCCCCTCCCTTCGCTCGGAGGGCACAGGCCTGCTCCATGTTCGCCCCTGCCTGCCTCACTATCAGCAGTCAGGCCTTCAGCCTTTCTGTCCCCACTGATTGAACTCCATCCCGATGCCCCTCCACCTCATCCCCATCCTCACCTCCTTCAAGGCCCGTCTCGAGACCTTCCTCTTTAACCGTACCTTCGGTTAAAGCATCCTGCTCCCTCCATCCCCTTGCCCTCTACCCCTCTTGATTCCAACCCCCATCTTGGGAGCAAACCCTAGACTGTTCAATGCCTTGGGATGTCCTCCCGACATGAAAGGCAGTATATAAATGCAATTTGAGCTTCTTCTTGTGGTATTCTGGAAGGATATGATCAAATGGACCAAAGATCTTTCTATATACGAACCTCTCTCTCCTGATCTTCTGAAGCCTGCACTTTTAGAATAGTGCCACTTGTGTTCATTTAAAGCTGGTTTGGATTGTCGGACCATCTTTCCTTTATAATTGGATATTCAGCCAGAGTTGATATGGCCTTGTCAAATGGGACCTGGAAAAGTATTTCAAAGATCACAAGATCTGTATTTGAAGATCACAAGTCCTGTAGCGTATTGATTAGAGCGCTCGCCTCACAAGCGAGATGATCTGGGTGCGATTCCCAGGCAGGGCAAAATGTTAGGCAAGTTTCGTTATTCCACATGCCCCTGTTTACCAAGGAGTAAGTAGGAACACGGTTGTAAGGCGATTACTGGATCGCTTTTCCGAGGGTAATAATTGGCTGCCGCGTTTCGCCCACAAAATATACAGTCAATTCACTTTACAGTATCTTCTGTGAAGCGCTTTGAGACATCTCGAAGACGTGATGAGGCGCTGTATCTAATGCAAGGATTATTATTGTCTGCTCCACATCCGCCCTTCGGTTCAAGTTACTTCCAATAGTGGCTAAAAGTCTCTGGATTCTCTTCTTTGCAGAAATCACTCAAAACTATTTGCCGGTGATTCATTGGGAAGAATCTACAGTTGGTCTTTTGAAGGGTAAGATAATAACTGGTAGTGAGAGATTGATGGTGATGGAGTCCATTATGACGCAAAGGGCCTCCAGTGAAGGATATATTGATTGACGATACACCTGCTCAGAGGATCTGCAGTTACTATTATATTTACATGTCACACAGCCCCTCTACTGCACCACTATCTCCTAGACGTCTGGCAATCTGTCTCCACCTTCGGGCAACTGATTTGTGAACTGCTTTTCAAGGGGCGTCATTTTTATAACTGTTCAATGGAAAAGAGAGAATTAAAACATTTTAACTTTCAAACGCTAGCCTCGGTGCTTTGACTACCATGATGACATTCACTTTGTTTCTTAACCGACTGTATTTACGTGAAGCGCTTTGAGAAGCTTGTTTTTCTTTTATGGAGAAACCAAAGTGAAAGGTGCCTTATAAACACTATTTATTGTTACTATGCCATTTCCGAAAATGGACATCAGATTTCAATTTTCAAATGAAACCGAGGTCCCGTCTGCCTATTCAGGTGGGTGTTAAAGATCCCATGGAAGTGCTCAAAAAGAGAAGGGGGTTTCGCTCGGTGTCCTGGCCAACAATCCCCCAAAATAAAATTGGTCACCCACTCCATGGCTGTTTGTGGGACATTGCTATGCATAACAGGCTGCCAAGTTTCGCCCATAAAATACAGTCAATCCAATTTACAGTAGATCCTACGAAGAGCTTTGAGATGTCTTGACGGCTGGATAAGGCACTATATCAAATGCAATGATTATTATTATCAGTTTGCCAATCACTGCAGATTGTTGAGCTGGGAAAATGTCTGTGTTCTTGCATTGTTTTTTGAAGTTGCTTGTTTATCACCCGACAATCAAGGTTCTACAGCTTCGAAGCTATCAGGACACAATGCAATCAGTAATATAGCTGTTTGCTCTGCTGCCAGCATCTATTTTCAGAGTTATACAACACATGAACAGAACTTCTTTGCGAGTCTAAACTACTTGTAAAACACACACAGTTGATTGCATCTGAGAAACGAGTTGGGTCATGCACTTGTGTCTTATTGACACTTCAGTAAAGATTAAATCATGTTAAGAGGTGCTTAAATGCTTTTGGTGCTACAAAGAGAAATGCTGCTTTTTCTCTGTGGTCTCAATGACAAGCTATGTAGTTTGCCAACCTGCATCTGATGCTCTCTGGAATTAGGTTAGCAAGGTGTGTCCTTCCAGGGAGAAGGTGCACATTGCATTCCAGACACAGAGAAATTTCCACGTGTAGGTTATGTACTTACGTGAAAGCCGGCTGACCAAATGTTTGGAGTCTCGGTTAAGAATGAGTTAGAGTAGCTTGGCTTTACAGACTGTCTATGAAATCATTGCAGAAAAATAAATAAGCAGAGCCTGAGGTCGGGAAGAAACGGTAATTTGTGGTGAATTTCACTGGCGCAAGCAACTAGTGAGGACAGGTAAGTCATGCCTTAGAATTAGTTTGGAATCTTCTGTGAATTGTTTAAACTCACAGTGAGCAATGGGTCTGAAAGTCAACAATGCAGGTTGGCTCATTCAGATACTCACTCCACTGAGTGTAGACCAGAGAGCACCAAAATGCCTTTGCTTTACAAGAAGAGGCATTTGGGGAATAATGTCTCCATCACACAAATTGTGTCAAGTTTGCATTTTTGCATAGAATAATAGATGGGGCATGGAAACAGGCCATTCGCCCCAACTAGTACATGGTAAGTGTTCATACTCCTCACAAGCCCCAGTTCCTCCTATTCCCCACTTCTATTCCTTTCTTCCTCATTTGTGCTTTGTTTACTCTTAAATATGTTAATGCTATTTGCTGTTAACCGCAGCTGCTGTCAGTGAGTTCCACATTCTCGGCACCCTCTGCGGGAAGAAATTCCTGCTAAACTCCCTATTAAATAAGACAGGCTATTTTATATGTTTGTGTCATTTCCGAAGCAGCTTTTGTTCTCTGTACGAACCAGTGACAACTTGGACTGTTTCTCCAAGTTTATCCTTCCCTCAGATTTTGATTGAAATAGAAAGGAGTCTGCAGCTGATGTTTGAACTGCTCACAACCACTGAATACAGAATTCTTTCTCGGATACTTCAAATGGAATCGCGAAATTACAGCCAAACCTTTTTTCCTCTTCACTAGGATATTGTAAATGCTCGCAATCCAATATAGGTTTTGGTAATTGGGAAGGTCATTTTGCCAAGCTTTGAACTTTTGCTGCAGATGTTGGGACTCGTGGTTTTCAATACCAACATGGCTTTCAATACCAACATGCTTTCAATTAGGGTTTTTACATTATCCCATCAAGCTTTGTTTTAACATGGTGAAACAAGGCCAAGTGTGTATCGCTCCTACATGTTTGAGAACAGACAGAAAACTGTTTGCATATGTTTCCAGCTGAAAGTCCCCACTGTTCTGGAAATAGGAGTTTATCCAACTAATGTTCTTGAAATGTAAAACTACTCACATTTTAAAAAAAATTATCTCTCCAGTGTTCTGTTCTAGAAATATGGGACAGGGGTGATACAATACGATTCAGTGTTCGTGAGCTAGGCAGTTTCCCAATTCTGGAGGCCTTGTGATGAGATTGCAGACATGTGAGCACAAAGTACCAGTCACACATGAAGATGTGGGGTCCTGTAGCTTATTGGTTAGAGCACTCGCCTCGCAAGCGAAAAGACCCAGGTTTGATTCCCGGGCAGGATGAAACCTGAGGCAAGTTTCCTTGCTCCACACACTGTTTAACCAGCAGTAGGAAGGAACCCGGGTGTTAAGTCAATAGGCAGATCGCTTTCCAGGATAATAATCCCTTCATTAAAAAATGTAGGAACTCAATCCAAATTGTTTGCGGGACCCTGCTGTGCTCAATTGACTGCCGCATTTTGCTGACAAAATACACAGTCAATCCACTTTACAGTATCTTCGTGAAGCGCTTTGAGATGTCTCAACGAAGTGAAAAGGCACTATGTCAAATGCCAGTATTATTATTATTAAGATTAGTCTCAAGTGAGATTGTGACCCATCTACCGAGGAACCTGAGCCACAACATGAAACTTCACACCAGCAGGAGCCTCGGACCAAGTGAAGGTGATCTAAACTCTCAATTGAACCACGTTGACAGGTAAACCCATTTAAAAGTTTTTTAGATTGGTGCCCAGAAGATCTTTGTTCTACCCTTGTACCTCTCCACCTCGCCAAGCTGCTCACACCGCACTTCTCTGCCCTCACCTTTCCCTTAGCCCGCTCATAACTTCTGCTTGTCCCTCGACCCCTCCAACTCCACCATTGTGGTAGCACTCTCGCATCTGAGTCAGACGGTTGTGGGTTCAAGCCCCACGTTGCAACTTGGAATCACACCGTCTAAAGCTGACTCTCCAATGGAGTGCTGGCCATCTGTCGCATTGTTAGAGGTGCCATCCTTCGGATGAGACGTTGAACCAAGGTCCAGTCTGTCTGTTCGGGTGAAGCGGTCCGGGACTGTACCCTGCGTGAAGGGCGCTATATAAATGCAAGTTGTTGTTGTTGGATTGTTAGTGAACCCATGGTACATTTCGAGAAGGGAGTTACTGCCAGTGTTCTGGCCAAAAGTCTCCCGAATAAAACAATATTACTCACTGCATGGCTGTTTGTGGGACGTCGCTGTGCACAATACGTTCCTGTCGTTTTGCTCACAAAACAGTCAATCCACTTTACAGTATTTCCTGTGAAGCGCTTTGAGACGTCTCGACTATGTGATGAGGCGCTATATCAATGTCATGGATTACTATTATTATCATTATTATTGGCGACTGCCTTCAGCCACTAACCTATGCAACTCCTTGCTTCAGTCCCTCTGCCGATGCTCCCTCTTTGCCCATTTCAGATCGCACCTTAAGACTTTCCTCTGCGACCATGCCTACGGTCCCCTCCCCTTTCTCACCTGCTCGGCATTAAACCACACCATCGTTCGTGGCTATGAAACGCTGGCCTGTATGAAGGGGGCTACATAAACACAAGTTGAGTTGTGATTCTGGGAAAGTTGGCAAGTACGATGGCTTGTATCAAAAATAAAGCGCTCGAGAAATTTACAGAGGCACCAAACTAAAGATTATTGAGCAACTCATATGGACAGCAAAAGAAACCCAATATTTATTCTTTGACTCCTGTCTGAATAGAACAAGAATTGAAGAAGGGCCAGGTTTATGACTGGAAGCCACTAGGGTGCAGCATGTTTTAATCTTTAACTTATGGTCGTACTGAAGCTCCACTGAAGGTGCAAAGGACGAATGTGAATATTTCAGCCTCTGTGATAAACGGGATGGTATTATTGACAGCAAAACGGGACATCTGATCTGTTGTGCATAGCAAAGGAATCTAAAACAAGCTCTTTAAAGTGCTTATGACAAACGTGAGCTTTCATGGTAAGATTTTCCTGGCATTAAAAGGACCATATAGACTCGAGGAACCCCCATATCTTAACAGTGAGCATCCTGTCAGATGTTGCCTTTCAAGTCATTCATCAGCAGAAGGGGAAGAGGAACGTAGGAACAAGAGGAGGCCATTCAGCCCATCAAGCCAATCGGTTCCAGTCCGTTTATTCAAACTTGAGGAATTGTTTATCCCAACGTCCCACCTATTCACCCTTAATATCTCCTCTCCCCAAGTCTATGTCTATCGGTTCTGCAGCTTTCTGTCCATTGTGTATCGCTTTCTGGACCAGACCATTCCATGTCTTCAAAATTCTGCCGCCTTGTGACAGATCTCTAGCAGATGGAAGAATCAGTCCGCCACTATCTGATAAGTTGATTTCTTTCATTGGTTTAAATTGTCTCGTACAGACGTGGTGGATTACAGTCTGACACAGGGCTTTGCAGGCTTGTCTCTTCCAGCGAAACTAACTCCGGCTCACTTCATTATATGAACTCCCAATCGAGTTAAAGGGATGTAGAAACAAGAGGAGGCCATTCAGCTTGTTTTATTAGACAATTGCAGATCTTTTGATCTGGTTTCCCCGTTACTCAGTACAAATGCAAATTGTCACTGTTTTCCTGTGGCTTGAGAAAACAACCCATTTTAATCCTTTGCTCCAGAACCACAATCTTGGGGGAGGGGAGAATGTGGTCTACCTTGTGGTACAGAGCCACTTTATAAAAGTAACACTCAGCAAAAGCATTAGGGATTTGGAGATATAAGCAGGAAGGATTAAAAAAAACACATGTCTACAGTGCCTCTGGCAGTAGTTCAGGCTTGTCTGAGCTTATTTTAGTTCTCTTTGGGTGTGTTAGAAGGGGTAGGCACAGCTCCGAGATGAT